AACTATAATAGAATTACTCTTATTTATTTTTCATATTCCTAGTTTATATACTAGGAATTCTGATACTAGGAGTACTCAAAATAATTTCACTATTATATATTATTTATCTCAGGAACAGCAAGATGAGTTGAATTATTTGAATTTCTTATTTTTTATGTAATTTTTATTTTCGTACATTTTTTAGTTTTATTTTTTTTTATTTTTTTTTTTTTAAGTAAAGGAAAAGTTAAAAACTTTTTTTTTAGTTTTCAATTCTAAAAACTACTCTGTTGTATTTAAAAAAAATTAACGTTAAATGAAATAAGAAAGAGTATAACAATAAAAATGTAAAAAAAAAAACAAAGAAATAAAAAAAAAATAAAAGTAAAAACTTCAAAGTATGTCCTTGCACGAAATATTCAAATTTGTTTCGCATTAATTTTGTACTTTAAGTTTTTCTGTTTTCCTTATTTTTTGTACTTTTTTTTTTCATTTTCATTTTAATAGACCATAGAAAAACATCAACTACTAAAATTCTAATTTTTATTATTAATTTTCTTTTAGATTTTTATAATTTTTTTTTTTTGTTAGTTGCGATATTTCCTCAAAAAAAAAAAAAGCCAAAAATATAAAGCCGAAAATTCACCCTCTAAAAAATTAAGAAGGAGGAAAAAAAAAATTATGAATTGTTATTTTATGTATTAAAATTTCCAGTTTTTTTTTTTTTATTTTTTAATGATTTCAAATAGCAAGGATTTTTACTGGTATATGTATGTATGTGAAAAAAAAAAACCCATTTCATTTTTTACTCTTCATTTTCATTTTAATTATATGCATAATTTTGTCCCCACGTGTATTTAAAAAAAAAGTATAAAGGCATATTGTTACGCATAATATAGTTTACATATACATATACATAATATAAAATAAAAGAAATTAGGTAAAATGTATAACGTTAAAATATACCGTATGTATTTATCTAGTTCATTACTGTTTATACTAATTTAGAAATTCATTAAAAAAATTTTAACGAATTTATATATTAATTTTGGTTTAACCTATTTTTAAATTGATGACGCTACGTAGTTTGTGTCCAGTTTATCATATAGTATGAAAGTAATATAGAAGCAAAAAGAAATATCCTGTGGACAGAAATGAAAAATTTTCATTTATTTACTATACTCAGCAGTACATATTTAATTGTTGAATTGAATAAATTGAAAACTATTTTACATTTTTTAACTACAAGACCCCTTTTCCTACACAAATAATTTATGATTTTAATTCAAATAATACTACTTATAATAAGGACCCAAGCATTTATATACATATATCAAATTTTTCTGTTTGTACGGACTTCATAAAAATTCGACAAAATCATATTGAATTTTATCACCTAAAAAATTTTTATAGAATTTTAAAAATATAAATTTTTTTATGTTGTAGTTAATTTATTGAATCAATTACACTTACAGTAAAATCAAATATGGTATTTAATATAATAAACACAATATTAATAAAACAAATTACCATGATAATTAAAACGTCGAAATAAGCATAGCGTTCAACTTTAACATGGCTTATATATTCGGAAATAGAATTTTAATTATACTGAATTATTCAACTTAGATAATTAAATATATAAATCTGTGTTTATCCCTATTCGAATGTTTTTTTAATTTCTGTAAGTAATAGACCTATAAAAGACCTATATTGTCTTTTATTAAATTATATTAATCAGCATGGTAAAAAAGGCATTTTAAAAAATTAAAAAACAAAATTAGATTTCATTACATGTATTTTCTTTTTTTATATTATATAATATTATTTTAAAATTATTAAAATATAATATTTATGTATATATTTAAAATTAATAAAAAATTATTTAAAATATACAAAAATTATATTATTATTATATTATATTATTATGTACAAGTACCTATATAATTGTATGTTTTGATATACATAATAAAATATGACACCTGTTGAATGAATATATACTTTCAATATTTTTCATATATAAATTCACAAACATAAAAGTATTAGCAAAAATACATAAAATTATAATATATTTGGTCATAGTGTTGCTAAAAATGTTTTAAGAATAATAAACTTTAATTAGAAAAATTGCAACTGCCAATATATTATAAAAAAAAAAGAAAAAACCAAAAAAAAAACCTGAAACTACCTCAATAATATTTTAAAAATAAAATAAATAAACTCCATTCAAATAATTTATAAACTCAAATAAAATATAATTACGTATTATACAGGATAAAATACACAAAAAAATGCAAAAAAAAAAAATAACTTACATATAAATTTTTTATTAAATGAAAATAATAATGTGTCAACAATTTAACAAAAAAAAAAGGAAGTACCTCATTAATTAAATAAAATTATTCTAATTTTTTTATTTAAAATCAATTATTTTTTAATTGTTCAATTAAAATTTATAACCGTATAATTATAATATTTATCATATTCATTTTCATTAGGGTTATTATAGTATCAATAAATTATTTATTAAAATGTTAATATTTATGAGTTTACATTTATAGAGTACCATTTAAGAATTTGATTTTGAATTTAATATATGTAGGGTCACAATATTGAATAATTCTTTCAATGCATTCTTTGCATTGAAGTTTTGCATTACAAAATTTTGAAATGAATTTAATTAGATAAAATTTTCTTTATGAGATTTCTTATGTCATATGACTGTAAAGAATCATTACACTAAATTTGAAAATATTTTCCAAACAAATATATTAAGTAATTTAATAACTATTCCAACTATACTTCAAAAATTACTAAATTTTTTACCCATTAATTAATTCATAACTTTACATAATTTTGATTCTTATTAATTTTTATTACAACAATTTAATTTCAAGTTTAAATAATTTTAAAATATGTATGATTAAATTAATATTTTGAAAATTTAAATTAAATAATATAAATTTAAATAATTTAAAAAATTAAATGTACTTATTAGAAAATTCAAAAACATACCTACAAATTTTAAATTTAATAATCAAATTCAATAAAAGTGGTATAATCATAATAAATATTGTATAAGAATAAATAATATTGAAAAACGATGAAAAATTGTATGTTTTATAAAAAATAAGATAATATATTTGTCATCTAATGAAATATTAATAAAAAATTTTTCTTTTTAAATTTTTAAATACTTAAAATTTTAAAAATTTTTTACCAAAAATTACCTATAATTTATTTAAAATATATAATTTGAAAATAAAATATTATCTTATTTTTTATATAACATTAATTTTCTTTTAAAACCGTATTTTTTTATTCTTTATCATAATTCTTATAACATCTCACTTTATTATTTTAATCAAAAGTTTACTAAATCACAAAATTAATAAACAAAAACATTCAAATTATCTTTAGTTTTTCAAAATACATAAAAAAAAATAAATATATGAAAATAATTAAAATTACAAAAACAAAACATATGTTAATAATGATAAAATCTTAATTATATATATATAATTAATATTTATGAAATTAAGTAATAAATAATATAACAAAAAATCATGATTCCTATTGAAATTTTTAAATATTGCAAGTTAGAATAATCATAGTACAAAGATTTGGTAACAAATCAAAGTTATATTTATTATTTTCTATTTTAAGTTTTTGTTTTTTATTTCTAATTTTATTTTAAAAAACTTTTTAGTTTAATAACTTAAATAAGATATACATATATATATTTAAAAAAGAAATTAGAAAAAAAAAACAAAAAACAAAACACATACAAAAAAAAAAGTTAATTTTTAGTATTTACAGAAATATATTTGTATAATATTTTATTAAGAAAAAAAAGGAAAAAAAATTTAATAAGAAAATAAAAATTCCAAAATGAAATATAAAATACATTATAATAACATACATAAAAATCTTGATGAAAAGAACAAAAAACAAATTAAGAAAATGAAAAATTAATTTGAAATTGTAAAACAAAAAAAAAAAAATTAAAACTATAACTGTATTGTAATTTGTATCCAAAAACCAAATATAAAAAAAATTAACTGATAAAAGAAAATAAAGATAAATTAAATAAATGCTGCAAAACAAAGATATTTTATTTAAAAATCGTTTTCTATTGGGGATTCTCTACAAAAAAAAAGGTAAAAGTAATTTCCTGGACCCTATTGCACCAACCAGTTTTTTACTTTCATTTTTAGTTTTAAAGTTTTGGTACATTTTGATTAATTGATTCAAAAAGCACAAAATGATTGGTGCAACAAGATCCTGATATCGATTAAATTAAATAACTCTATGCCTATAACATTATTTACAGCCTATTTATATTTATACGAGTACGTATCCACAATATAAAAGAAATCTGATATCAATATTTTCATTGATTTGACCAAACATCACAAAATTAATCAAATAGATATAAAAATTTGAAAAATATCTAAATGTGTAACATTTATTAATTTTGTTTTTTGTAAATTATAAATTATATACACTTACCCTCTTCTAGAAGCACATTATATTTCGTTATAAGTATGGGCCTTCTGCTACTGCGAAATTCTTATAACGGATAACTCTTTACATTTATTTAAGAACTTTAAAAAATTTTAATTAACTATCTTGTTCATTTAGAAAATGGATTGATATCATTATTTTAAAGATATTTTAATTAATAAAACAAAAACTGTTTTATTTAAAATAAAATATTAATAAGGGTCTAATCTTAAAAGTAAAAAATTACATTGTAAGCCTTAAGTATAAAACCGAGTTTTTGTCTAATTAGTTCGTTTTTTGTCTTAAATTATAAATTATAATTTTTTCGCACACATTATTATAAATTAAATTTGTGTTAATGATTTATTAAAAGGTATTAAAGTTATTCAATAATTTTTCACTAAATAAGTAAAAGTTTGATAAAATTACAGTTTTGTAATAACTTCATTGGTTAAAGAACTGAAAAACAGTTTTCCGTTCAAATGGAAACAATTATCAATTTTAGTTTAATGGTTTTATTAAAACATTTTTTTTTCATAATATGTACTTTTACGAAAACTAAAAATGAAGCATTAAATAACTAAAATATTTATATTATATATTCGCATACAAATACATATACACCTATTAATTAAAAAATTTCAAAAATTAATTCTAGATAGCAACTTTTTCTATGTCAAATATTTTATAATACATTATCTTGATCATTCGAAGTCTTAACTATTGTTGAATTATTAACGTTATGTTATTATTTTGAAAATGATATTTTAAAAATTTTTTTCAAATTTTTAAGACTAAGTATTATCTATTGCTCCCCTTTTCTTTCTTTTTAAATATCATTTAGGTGGATTTTTTACAATCTCCTTAATTTTTTCATACTGTTTAACTGAGCCTTCTTCAAAGTGTGATAAAGCTTCACTTTTACTTTCACGTCTTTCTATTATAATGTCTTGTTGCTGTTGTAACTGCTGTTGTTCTTTTTCTTTTTCGGCTTTTTTTGATTTTTTGACCTTATCTCGTACTTTATTCGCCAATTTTGAAGCTGCTAAAATTTTACTAACTTTAGAACTTTTCAACCATCTATCATTCCATGAGCTATTCTACAAATAAAATTATTCAAAAATGTTAACATATTTTATAATTTTTTTTTAGTTTATTTTATACTTAAACAAAATTCAATTATGATACCTCTTCAGGACAAACTTCGTCGCCACTAGAATCATGTAAATCAATAAAATCACTCTTTTCATGCAAATTTTCATTATCACATTCTTCGTTATCTTCAGGCTCTGATTGATTAACTTCAGGAGAAAGTGGCGTGTCAGGTATGTTAATGTTAGCATTGGATCTTTCTTCTACTATATGATCAATACCATAATCAAGTTCAGCATCTCCAAGAGAAATAGCATCATCATTATGTTGATCATCATCTTGCTTAATTCGCTTGTTTGAAGTATCTAGTGATCTTTCACATTCAACTTTGCAAATATCACAATCAATGACAGACTTTTCTAACTCCATATTCAAGAGAAGTCTATCTTTTGGTTGTTTTCCAACATTTAATACACTATTTTCTCCTAATGATACATTTGTATCTGCAAAATCTTTATAAGCAATTTCTTTTTCTTGAAGGACGGGGAATGAGGATTTTTCTTTTATTTCTTCATTCGACGTTTCATTTTTCTCTGAATTGATTTTATTATTCTGTTGGTTTGGCATCCTCTGAGGAGATTCATTTGAGTGCTTATGATCTTTAGAACTAACATCTGTTGAAGATTGAGGTTTTTTAATTTCCGTTTCTTTATTTTTCTTTCTTTGTATTACATTCCGTAAATCTTCCATTTTTTCAGGATTATTTTTATCATCATTGGAATATTCTGAGTCAGATTCTTCTGACGACAAAGATGTGTCAGATGATTCTGTTAAAGAAGAATCTGTTTCCGAATCTAAATCGTCCATCTTTTCCTTTTTGATTACCGGATGATTTTCCTCATCACTTGAATCACTTACAGATAAAATTTCAGGACTAGGTAAAATAGCCAAAACATCTGGGGACTGTGATCGTCCAGATCTTTTTTCATTTGATTTTTTGACTTCAATTTTTTCGCGCGACCTCCTTTCTATACGTTCTAAATTATGATCTTTACGTCTTTTGTGATCTTTGACTTCCTTTTTAATTTTTTCAGGAACATCTCTAATTTTTTCGACTGACGGGATTCTGGAAATATTATCTGAAGAACGTATTTTTTCCGTAAAGTTTTCACTGTGATTATTCCTTGTTAAATTTGTCGGAATGCATTCCAATGATGGTTTTGAATAATTTCTTTTTAGTTTGATTGGTTTAGAGCTTGGCAAATTAACATGATTTGAAGATTGTGCCGAACCACTTTTTGAGTATTTGGAATTTTCAGTCGCTATAGTTTTAGAATTTGAAACAGAATTAGATTTTGATGGAATTGAATGGTTTTTCGAAGTTCTTGATTGATTGGATTTTCGATCAGAAGACTTGGAACTAATGTCTTTCTTCGATGAATCTTCTGAATCATCCAATTCAACTTTAGCTATAGGTTCAAGCGCTAATTGAGATCGTATAGCTCTTGCACGAGCTTGTAATTCAAGAAGTTCTAATACACTCATTTCTTTACCTTAAAAAATTAAACATTAGTAATAATTATGTATACATGCATGTATATAGTAGCTATTCAACAAATTTCAGTAATTATTCAATAAATTTTATTTACTAGTATCATATCTAATTGACTTTCATATATGTTTATATTTAAAATGAAAAAACTTACCATTTTCATTTTTGGAATCATTTTCAAGTTTATTTTTATTTAGTTTTCCAATTTTATTTCCTAAAAGATAAAATTGTTTAGTTATAAAAAGAAAACCAATTTTGAAGTAAAAATTTTGCATTTTTGAATACATTTTAGGTACTTATTAACTTATTATTTTTGTGGTCTCTGAATAATTTTCATTCAGTAAGTATTACTTGGGCATTCTAAGAATTACCTATGGTATAACTAAAACAAAAAAGTTAAATTTTAAATTAAAAAAAACTTGCCTTTTTTTCTTTTAGGCTGATTTTCTCCGTCTGAGTCTGAGGAAATTTCTTCCAAAGAAATATTTTCTAAAATTTATAATTTCAATTTGAAAAAAAAAAAACAAATATTAAAGTGTCCATACCCTCGACATTGGAATCAGACGACTCAGTATCTGTTGGGCATTTACTCGCATAAATAATAGACTTTAATCTTTTTGATGATATTCCAAGTAACTCATTCAAGCACATCTCTTGTATATCTTCAATGGTGGATTCCTAAAATGAAATTTTTGAGAAAATTAAATTCTTGTTGTGTTATTTAAATTGTGTATGTACACCCACCTTCAAAAAATCTGGGGACAAGCTTTTGATGGTTTTCGGCTTCAGGGTCGAAAATATTTGTTTTACCAATTCCAACCGATCGTCTATGTAATGCGATAATGGCTTTAATTCCTCATCGCCTTTCATGTCGTTTTCACTAGGTATTTCAACCTTTTTACTCACTCTTGAAGTCATTTTCAATATTTAATTGTATTTTTAATGTTAAGTTTAGTGCTATGCTTTTCCTTGTATAGATATTTATATTTCATATATGTAACTGGATAATCACATAAACCGAAAAAAACTGACGTGAAATGACATATGTCAGATATGATGACATATGTGACACTTAAGTTAACATATTTGAAAAGCATATACTAGATGGGTTTATGCTGGTATATTAGTCATTTCTGTAAAAATACATAAACCAACTACATATAAACCAAAATTAATATTTGTATTTTTGTTATTAAAATTGAAACGCGGAACAATTAAATACATTGCATCATGCAATTAAAATTTGCAAAGTACTCAGCTGAAACTTAAAAGTGTGAGCCTTCTACCCCACGATGTTTTAACAGAATAAGTAAACCCTTTAAGGGTTCCTAAGAAAAACCTTATCAAAGTTATTAATTTTTTTTTGCATATTTTATTTATTACGATTTTAACACCTATTGTTTTGTTGTTAATTGTATAAAAATTGAAATATGATTATCAAGTATTTTTAATTTTCTAAACTAAGGCAACTCCATTTTTTAACTTTTGATTTTAGTTCAAATAAAATTCCATTCGTATTTATATTATCTAACGTCACCCCTTGTAACTTACATGCTCATACAAATATATGTACATATCTAGTATTATAAACATGTCTAGTATTATAAACACACACATTGCATTTTTAAAACGCTGTTGTTTGAAACTTTATTTTACCTTTGAATTTTTAACTTTTGAAGCACACAATTAGGAACGGTTGAGTATTTTATTTTTTGAAGCCGGATTTTTTTTTTGACTTAAATTGTATATACATACATATATACATATAACATATTGTTACATACTTATTTATTTTTATTTTTGATATGTCCTTTTTTTGTGTATGCAAGGGCTCTGACTAGGTGGAACTTCTGAACAAATTTCAGATCTAGTTTCAAATTGCTCGTTATTTACTTCAGCAGATTTATTCATCTTCGAAAATTCAATATCTGCAAATCTACTACTTGTCGTCAAATTGTCAATTAACGTTTTCCTACAATATACGGCTGACTCTGTAAAATATGAAGGAGAAAATTCTTCGGTATTATAAAATCTTTCTAAATTGCTCGTGATTTGTTCAAAACAGTTAGATTCAGTATATAATAACCCGGAAGATTTTTCTTCTATTTCATCAAACATCGAAGTTAAATCATAATATTCGTCCATGTTCTCGCAATCATTTTTAGAAGATTGCTCTATAACACTATCATCGCATAAATTAGGAGATAAATCCAGGTAACCAGCAACTTTTTCAAGCCAATTATTGCATTTGCCTTGTATTTCACGATCTTTCAATTCTTGAAAGATGTCATTATTACGACAAGGAGATCGACATGGTGATGAACCATTTTGTAAACTTTTTAAAATACTCATCTGATTCTTCGGCGAATAAGGGGGTGTTTTATGCATAAATAAGGCACAATTTGAAATAAAATCTCCCATCATTTCATCGACTTCTACTACTAGTTGTGTTTTAGGTGAAAATTCCTTTTGGATATTCATATTGAAAAAACTCGTAAAGGTGTTTGGTACAAATATCTTAGAATCCAAACAAAAATCTTCGCTAATATTTTGCGTATTACCTATAAAATCCTTTTCCTGGAATTCTTTAAATTCATTCAAGTAAAAATCTTTTATATCTGTAAAAACATCTTTCATACAAGTAAAAAATATGGAAGTGTTGGCACTTTCCTCATTAGTTTTATGTTCATGTCGTTCTACAACAGCTTCTAATTTTTCATTTGCTTCTATTTGAGTTAATATTTCTTCAGAATTTTCAAGAACTTTTTGAATATTTTGAAGATTCAATTTTTTAAACGAATTTTTATTTTTACGAATTCGAACTTTTTCTTTAATAAATTCACTATTAATGTTTCTTGATTTGGGATCATATTTCATCAATTGATTAGAAGTACCTTTTTTACTTTTTCGGCAATCAATTTTTCTCTTTTTCGCCATTGGCAGAGTTTTAATTTTCCTTTTAGTTTTTGGTTGATCAGCTAACATTGTTGGAGAACATTTTTTACGTTTTCTTTTATTATTAACACTTATATCGAGTTTTTTTCCTTCTGAAAATAATTTCATTTATTAAGATTATCATCATAATTTATTAATATAATTATTTACTATTAATAATATTATTTTATTTTGTTAGCTTTTTTAATTTGAAATTTATATCGCAATTTTAGAATTTTTTTTTTAATAATCTCACCTTCAAGATTTTCAAATACAATATCTAATTCTTTATTAGGTGGTACGTCATTCACATTTCCTGCAGCAGAAATTTTACTTGCTTCGTTATTAAATCTATTATTAAAACATTGCGATTTTTCTTCAATTACTTTCAATACATTGAAAGTATTAAGAATATCCTAAATAAAACCATGTGATTTAATTTTTTATTAATAATTATTGTACGTGATTATAGTTCATATTTGACGTATGCGGATTAGTTAATTATTTATAAAATATATTAGCATTTTTATATGTACGTATGCTTATACATATTATTACTTACTTTTCTTAGAATCGGGTCAAGCCATTTTATATTCAGAAAATATTGTAAATCTCTTATATGAGACTTTAATATCTCTGCTCTCCTTGTTTTAGCGTCATATTTTATATACGCCCTTATACTTCCTAATCTTTTTAAAATTCTCTGTAATTCTTCGTCATGATTCATTTCCTGGTCTAAAAATTGAAAAAAAAAATTTCTAATGCTAAATGTAAAATTATATACTAATTTTAAATTTACCTGAATTTAAATTTATATTTTTATATGTAATTGAAAAAAAATTACAGACTTTTAAAAACATTTTGAGATAACAAATTTTTAAACTTTCTCTACATATTAAAATTGTATTTCTTGTCTTATTTATTAAAAATTCCAAAATTCAATTCTTTCAAATTAACGGTTTTGTGTTATAAGGTAGATCAATATTTATTCAAAACATCGTAAACGTCAATAAATAAATTTTAGGCACGTTGCTAATTAAGTGTTGCCGTTGTTTGAGGTAATGATTATAGACTGTGCATAAAGGTAGTTTTATAGGTTCCAACCTATAAAATGAGGACTTTACAGCCTAATTGTGTATCTCACTTTCAAAGAACTTTTTTAATTGTATATGTCAATTTTTGCAATAAGATTACTCAATTTTTTAATTGGACTTTAACCATCTTTTTCAAGATATCAACTAAACTCTATCACCCTCAAAACTTAAATTAATATTGACCACATTTTGAATACGAAAACCATGAAAATTGCTTTATACAAATATATGATAGTCACTCATTTCTATTCACTTGACGAGTGAGATACATTAATATTATCTTAAAGTTCGAAATCTTAAAATTTTCGTTATAAATATTTCGAAAATGCCTTTTAGGTTCCACTGTTAAGCATAACAATTACTTATTTAAAATGTTCAATGTTAAAAATAGTTTGTAAGTAGCAATATGTTCTTTTTCATACTTTGCAAATATAAAGTAAACGAAAAAATTATAAAATAGTTTTATTTAATATAAATATTCACCTATTAATTTATTTTTTACATAAATTAAAAAAAATTCTTTTGTACATAATTAAAAACAAATAAAATAGCTTAAACAATAATGAATTATTTTTAATTGGTAGGTACATAACAAATTTACTAAATAAATGGTTTCATTTAAATGCTTAATAATTTAAAGTCACTTTTCGAAATTATGAATTCTATTATAAACTATAGTTAAAATAAATTTCATTTTGCATTAAATAATTTTCAATCTCCTAAAGTTGCTGTTTGCTATTAAATAATATTCGTACGTAAATAAATTGGTGCATAACAAAATTGAAATAATATGAATTTTTTATTGAATTCATAAAAATCTTTATTAAATAATTTACAAACAGAAAAGGAACAAGTAATATTTTCTTTTGTAATATGTAATTAAGTACCAAATAACCTTTTAAAATTAATTGAGGACCGTCCATTTTAAATATTGACCTAATTAATATTATATTAACAATGTTCTTTTTCAAAAGCTTTTTTTATTTGAATTTAAGTAATTCTTATTGGAAAACACATTCACTACTATCTGTTCATTTCCATTTATTTTGATAAGTGCATTTATTAGGATAGGAAACATAATGAATTTCTAAGTCATATTTAGAATTGCCTATTAATATAATAACATTATATTGTCAATTTTTCCCTATTTCAACTTCCTTTTTTTTTTTAATTATTTGTTTAAAATTAATGCATGAGATTATTAGTCCAGTAAAATAGCATGAGAGAAATGAATAAAACATTATAAAAATATTAATGAATTATTCGACACTGAAATTTTTCATAAAATAATGCAAAATGAAATCGAAATTTTTGCGAAATTATCCCATGTTTTATCTGTTTTTCTATTATTGCAAAAGTAATGCATCTTATAAAAAAATTTTTTAATATTAAATGTTTATAGTTCGAAATAGATTTTTGATAAGCGGAAACTTTGAAATTAAAAACTAAGATTTATAACGGCAGCCCAATAACAAGAGTTCTTCAATTTTATTAATAACTAATAAAAGTTATTATTTGATAGTTATAAAAAACCTCTCATAATTATTTGATTTTATTTAATTCCAAATTTTAAATTATGATTAAAATAAAATTATAAATAAAAAAAAAATATTTGTTTTTTTAAAATGAATTTTTATACACAAAATTATTCAATTTTTATGTATAAATTTCAAAATTTCACTAAAGTATATGATTTTTGAAATGCCATTATGAATTCTTTTTTAATTTTTATAATAATAAGTACATAGTTGATTATTTCTAATTGTTTTAGCTAATTTTTAAATGTGTTTCTTACAAATTTTTTTTTTTAGTTTTTTTTTTGATTTTTTGTTTTTGCACATGAATTTAAAATATTGTTCATTAATTATTCAAATTATATTCCAATTTAGTTTTTTTTTTGTTTTGTTAATATAAATAATTAATTAATTTCAATGGAAGGAATTTTTTTAATTGTCTTTGTAATAAATTTTTATAGTTTTTTTTTTCGCCGCATATTCTTATTTGTGAATTTTTTCTACACAAAACCTAACTAATGCTTTTTTAACGCGATTTTAAAAAACTGCTTTAACAGCTTTATTGGCTTTTCTTCCAAAATAATATTTATTTAATTTCTTAGTATTTATATAATAATAATAATATGTATAATTATATATGCTTTGCTATTAACATTTTTTGTTTATTTAGTTTTTTTTTTTTGTTATTCTTAATTTATATTATTTAATTTTATTTCATCTAGACAAAATATATGAAAATACTAAGGTACTTGTTTTTTTTATGTTTTATACATATAATTATATGCATGTACTTGTATAATGTAGGTGATAAAAATATAATTGATATATGAGTAGTCTAAAATCAAAATCTTAATTTTCTATGAATTAGATTATGATCAGAAATAATAAATAATTTTATTTGAAAACTTCAAATTAAAATGTATATGTATATGTATAATTATTAAAAATATTCTTCATAAAATCATTAAAATACTAAATTTACTTAAAATGTTAAATTGCAAATTTTTTTTACAATAGCATTAATTGAATTTTATTTTAATATAATTTTTTTATAATCCTGCCAAATGTACCTATAATATTTTTTATATTATTTTCTTTTAGACAACTCATATATAATTTTTATGGTAAATCATCAATAATTATTATTTAGACTGATTATTTATTTTATAAGAAATAAAATTTTATTTTGTTACCAAAAAATTAATCATTTTGCCAAGTAAGAGTCAGTCTTAAAACGAATGTATAAATTTTCAAACTCTTTCAATACAATTTTTCTACATTCCCTAAAAATATTTATATTATTTATTATAGTAGTACTTAAACTATTGTAATTATTTTTATTTTTCAAATGGATTGTAGTGATTTAACATACATATGTATTTAATTCTTTTTATCTCAATGCATTTTGAACATAATTAAATATTATACTTATATAAGTTTTAATAAGCCAAAATATTGAATGAAGCAAAAATATATCCCAAGCATTTTCCACAACGTCTGAAATTTTTTTTTGTTTTGAATATATTTGCCTAATCAAGAAATGTAAATTCTAGAATTGAAATATTAAATAAGTAAAATATTAATAATGTGTTTATATTTTAGTTTTATGACATATGTGATTTTTTAGTAATTTAATTTAAGAAAAGTTTTTGTTTAAATTTCATGAGTTTTATCGGAATTGAAAACAATAAACTGTGAGAAATAGAATTAATTTGTAATGGAATTTAAAATGTTGTATTTGTTTACAATCACATTGTTTTAAAATTAAATTAAACTAATAATGCAAATCTGTTTTTTGATTTATTTTACTCAGTTCTGTTATAGAATATTTTTGTGGTGAACTATTAATATGGCGTAACATAACTTAAGATTCAAAACATTCAAAATATCTTTGAAGAATGTGTCTATTATTTATCTGTTTTCAACAAGATGAAATGTACATGTTTTAAAAAAAAAGCACATTTTTTCATTTAATAAATACAAAATTTCATTAAAACATTGGTTTTATGAATAATTAGTAAATTTAAAATAATAAGTATTAACTAACATCTTAACCAAATTATCCCTATTATTATAAGTTTCGTATAACAATAATAAATATTTAATGTATTTGTACAAATATTTTTTTTTATTAGTTTGTTCTATACAGGCTTAAGTAAATAAGCACAATTGTTTAGCAAAATTTTATTAAAAATAAGTTAAAAATAATATTATCTACCCTTTAGTGAATATTTTTTTTTATTCTAAATTTTTATTAAGAACACTTAAAAAGAATAATAATTAATAAAAAAGTAAAAGATAATTATTTAATAAATATTGAATAATAAAATACATTTATATTATAAATATTAAAAGCATTTTTTAATTATATATTTTTTTTTATTTTTATTTTTTTTTCGTTTTATCTACTGATATTCATCATCACTACTTAGTAACATTGTTTTTTCATTATAATTTTGGCTTATTGTCGCTACTCTTTGCCCCGGCATGAATTTTCTTTGATTTCCAAGTGTTTTAGGAGCAATAGAACTATTGGTAGTTGCCGTATAATTTGCAGCACCATTACCACCATTATTTCCTCCATAATTTTTTTCATTAACTTGATTATTAAGTTCATCTGGATCATGAGATGAAACTCTAATGCCTCTTGAATTTTTGCCTCCTTTAATTAACATATAAATATTTTTGTTAAAAAAAAACTATACATTTTTTTAAATTGTGTAGCTGTTTTTATGAATTTCATAAAAATTAAAAAAAAAAAACATAAATAAGAATCAAACATTCCAATGACAATTTGCAAAAATATATTATATATAAAAATCATAAATTAAATTAAAAAAAAATGAATAAATGTTTATCTATTAATTAACATGCATTTTTAAGAAACTTAAATGTTTTATTAATTTAGCTATAAAAATTTTCTTTATGCAATTATTATTAAAAATTATAATGGTAAATAAATTGAAATTTTCTATTTAAATACGTTTATATTTTTGGTAATGCCTATATAAAAATTGGTTACAATTGGAATTATTCTTAATAAATTTGCAAAAAAAAAAGTAGTGTTCTAAATTTTATAAAATCAAAACAAGTTTGTATATTCATTTTTGAACTAAATGTCTTCACTTTATTTAATAAAAAATAAAATATGTATATATATATCACATAAGAAATTTTTACAAGTTTTACTTATTAAAAAATTAAAATAAAACAAAATAAAAAAGATGCATCCAAGTTAAGACTAAAAATTAAACAACTGTACACAGAAAAGATTTTCAAATAAACTTATGTCCACAGCATCGTATACGACAACAAAAATTTAAATATTTATTAATTGTGATATTATATTTAGAATTATAAAATAAATAAATTTTGTTTAACGTACACAAAAATTTTATTTAGTTTTGAAATAGACTTAACAAATTACTTAATTATTAGGCAAATTAATAAATGCTTTAAAAAGTACTATAATTTATACTTAATTTCTTTAAATAATAAATTTAATGTTTTAAATCTGTTATTTTTTTTGTGCATTTTTTATATTATACTTTAATTTTGCTTTCATATATCTAATTACCTATTCATGATTAAATATATGTAAACTATATTAACTAAATATTTTGGACTTAAGATTTATTATCTAATTAGTATATTTAATTTAAGTACGTTTATTGAACAAAAACTATATCCAGCCACTTTATTGGCATTACATTTATTTTACTCATATTTTTAATTGATGCCATAACTTAAAAATAAAAAACTTCATTTAAGAGATGCGTAAGAAAAATTATAATTTTAAAGATAATTCATTGCTATTCAAAGACAAAACCAGTTATTGTTCTATTTCTTTTGTTATATAAAATTAAATCATAAATTTAAAATTAGCATAGTTCATGAGCAAACAATACAGTTTTATAAAAAATGTAAGCCACTATCATTTAGTCCAAAAACTTTTGAATGTTTTTGAAATTAAAGACTAAATGTTCATCATTCATTTTGACGAAAATTTATATGAGCTCTAGGTATGTAATCTCCAGAATTTTTGGACAAAGCGATAGCGACTCAAAAATACATTTAATGAAATTATGTTTGAAATTTTAATTTATATTTTAACTGGCGTTAATAGAATAAGTTTAAAAAAAAAAAATAATAAAAACAAAACTTTCTATGAAATCAAGATATTACATATCCAAATCAAAAAATATCATAAAAGTTGAATAATTTGTTAAAGCAAAAATTTTAAGTAATAAATTCATATATGAATAAACAAAAGCAAACAAAAATTATGTACACAAAACTTATTTGATTTATTTTCCTACACGATTTATTAAACTCAGTTAAAATTACTTTTTTTAAATGACTGAAAATCTAGGTATTTTTAATTTATTTTTCTTATATTATACCCGAAAAATTTTTTCAATAGTTTTTTAAAAGCGAGAAAAATTAAAATAAGCAAATAAAAAAAGGGTTAAATAATATAAAATCTTAAACTATAAATTAAACTAAAAAAATTTTTTATTCAAAAATGCAAATAAAGGGGTAAAAAAAACATTCATTCTCAATTTTCTTTTGTATAAAAAGCGTCCTCGTTCGAACTATAAAACTCGATCGCTTTAAGTAATTTACTATATAGGTACTATATTTTCATAGTTTGTTATTTATTTCAAAGTTTTTCATATCGCTGAGATGATGTTACTTCTGCGAAAAATAAAGAAAAAAAAAAGAATAACAAAAATATGTTTTAAAAACCAGATTCTTAAAATTTTTTTTGTAAAAATTTGTTTTAGCAAACAACTCACAAAGTGATAAAAAGAAAATATCATATAAGTATACCACCACCTCTTGAAATATTTGTGTAGAGCGCAAAAATACTTGTTTTTGATTGCAGTGATAAATACGGTGCCGTTTCAATTTTTTTATTTTTTTAAATAAAAATATCAAATTTTTAATTAAAAGCAATGTTCTCTATTTTCACTTTGTTTTACATATGTAAAAGATTTTTAGAGCAAATATGTTAAATTTTCTATACATTAATAATGAAAAAAAAACTATTTCAATTTAATGACAACAATTTGATTCAATTTAAAGTAATAATTAAAAATTGAGAAAACAAAATATCACATGCAAACATTTACAAAGCATTTAAAATAACAAGCAATAAATATTTTGTTCACATAACATAAATGGACTTTGTTAGAAAAAATTTTGTTTAAATACATACATACAGCAAAAAAAAAAATATTTAATATAAAGCTTCCACTTACCAGAACTATACTGAGTGTATTGCTGATATTGCGGGTGGAAATTGTGTATAGCATCGGTCATTATATCTTTTGGATTCATTGTTTCCTAAAAAAAGAAAGCAAACAATTTTTGTTCACCAAAAATAAGCTAATAAATAATGTACGTCTTACTTTTAAGCTACTTGAAATTGACTGCATAGTAACAGAACGACCGTGTGCATCTCCGATACAACTGCGTGAATATATCTTGGAAAAAAAATAATAACATTAGGAAATATCGCTACACTTTTTCATGATTAGGAAACTTACTTGATAAGGAAAAGCATATCTTAAGGCAATTGCTGCGAAAAGCATTTCAATACATATAAAAAAATTTTGGTATCCAGCTGAAACTGTACCAGCTGAAGTTGTTGCACCATTACTATCAACAATTGGTGAGATAACTTGCGCTTTTTCTAAAATAGCTAAGCCAACCCCTAATATATGAATGTACAAAATAAAAATTTATATATATATAATTTTTTAAGTTTCAATGAACTAACCTTGCCAAAATGACAAAAAAATAACAGATTTAACTGTGCAAAATTTTAAAACAGGCTCAAATGGAGTAAGTAAATCTCTTGTGGCAAAATAAAATAAATAAAGTCCGTAAAGGGCAAGTGATACTGATATATTATATATAACTGTTATGTATATGTAACCACCATCAGCACTGTAGAAAATTTAAAACTTATTTAATTGTTGTAATATGATATAATATTCAAAGAAATTTACCTCCAATCTCCATCATGATAATGGCCAAACGCTTGCAAAAATATAATTATAAATGCCATTAAAGGCTTAACCAAACAGAACTGCAAAGTGGCTTGTTTGCAAAAACGTAAAAATCCAATAGTATAAGTTTTCCCTGTTAAACAGCACGTTCCATAAAGACATGAGGTTTTGATAGGCTTTCCTCGAATTTCAGACATTATATTACCTTCTCCCCCCAAATATTCATAGCATAACGACAAAAAGTTGTAAATTACAAAAGCTAAATTTCGTAAAAGACAAAATCAAATAAGAATAAAATTTCAAAATATTTTAAATTAGCTTTACCTTCGTAACAATCTCTCACTGTGAAAAAATATACATAAACACTTTCTGAATTGAAAAATAAAAGACTAATCCAGGAATAAGTAGCATATATTGGTACAATAAATAGAATTCTCACTATCCATCTTTGTTCTTGAGGATTAGTGTACCATCTTAAATGTTGATATATCTAAAAGAATAAGAATATTTTATAGAAAACAAAAAAAAAAAAACAAATTTTGGGTTAATATTAAAAAAGTTTATATTACCTGTTGGCATGTTATAAATAAAGCCACCCAAACAAATGCACCAGCTAAGCCTTGAGCTGTTTTGGTTTGCAGAAAAATACCATCACCAACGTGACTTAAAGGATCCATCGGGGAAGCACGCGAATCTGATGTTACAACTATAAAACTTGGTTTCTCCGTTCCTAACACACTACTACTCGTTACATTCATCTTCATAAAATAAAAAATATTGATAGGTGTTAGTACAAAACATAACATTCATAATATTCATACGACATCCATCCACAATACTAAACAAAAAGCAAACAAATCAATCTTATTATCTTAAAATTCTTATCAATGGTTGTAAAAAGATAAACCTGTGAGATTAATTTTACAAGTTTCGAATAATAATATTGGTTTTTCTTTAAACATCATAAGAATATCTTAAATGACGAAAATTTGTGGAATTCGATAATTATACCAAACTCAAATATTTTAAAATTGAATACTTAACATGTTAAATATCAATAAAATATAAAATGGTAGAACATAGTTCCATTATTTTTTTCTTTATTAGATGTAGTTATCTACTCCATTTATTTCCAAAAAATTATGACGTCACAATTTTCATGTCATTTCAAGGAAATTATTTATCTTTTCAATTAAGTTTTTTACATAATTTTTTAAAAACATTAAAAAAATTAAAAAATTTAAATTTTTTTAATATGGCAATTCATAAAGCAGTGGAATTTAAGAAATTCCTGTTTTACGTTTCATTATTTACCCTTTATAACTAGTGCAAAAACAACACATTTTTCTTTATATTTCGAATTTTTTTTCGAATTCTCTAAAACGATTCATATTTAAAATCAAATACACTAACTGCAAACAACTTAATTTCATTATTAAAATAACCACTTTTAACCAATTCTGGATATGAAAATATTTAAGTTTTTTGGACAATATGTCTACCCAATTATTTTGTGCCAACCATTTGGAGGTCAGTCAATCTAATATTTTTTATCCACTATCCCGAAATAACTACATATATTATTAACAATATAACTTTTAATTAAATTTTAAATATATGTTGCATAAGATTTATGAACTAAATAAACAATACCTTAATAAAAACTTAAATTTCTTTAAATTTATTTTTTTGTTTCCTTGTCTGAAAACACTTATAAAAATACATCAATGTACATACAGATACACAGAAATTACACCATTCAGCCAACTAGCAAAAAAAATCTTAAGCTATCGACTTTTATGAAGTGTCATAATTTTTGTTTATAATTAAATGTCATATACAAAGTTACCGTTTTTGAAAAATACGTAGCTACATACATAAAAATAAAGAGTTTTGTTAACAAAGAGGATTTGAGTTAAAAAAAAAAACCGACAATTAATAGTTAATTTTAGCAAAAAGTTTTTAAATTTAAAATTTTTTCTTTGTGAAAATTTACAAGAATTTTTTAAATACAAGTTGGACGTTTTTTATTGTTGCCTTATTCTCTGTAATTATATTAAATTCTTTGACATTTCTTTATGAATGATAAACAACAGATCATCTTCTATTTTTCGAATAAAATCAAATCGATATCGAAATTGTAATTCACTTGATTTAAAATTCGGTTTTCCAAAAGCCAATCGTTTAACATATGTTTGAAAAAATTTAATTTAATTTTCGAAAATGATTATATGATTGCTTTTTTCTACTATCAACATAAAGCAACTCGAACTGTAGAGCACAGGAATATTGATTTCGAAAAACAAATGCTAAAACACTAGTCAAAAATCTTAGTTTATAGAATACCAAATTTGATTTTTACATTTCATATCAACTAAACTTAAAAATAAAACATGGGTCAACGTATTTATGAATTTTTAGTAAAAAAATGTCGGTCTAATTTTTTTTTTTGCAAAATGAAAGAACTAACTCAAAAAAATACTTTCCTTTTTATTTTTCTCGAAATTAAAATTTTATCACTTTCTGAAATTCGAAAACAAATAAACGGACTTTTTCTAATTAGTGATTAATTACTCGTCAGTCATATACTTGCATTAAATCTTATTTGTAATTGCGAGCTAAATTTTTGCGATCATAAAATATTTACATTTAAAAAAATTACATTATTGCTATTTTTCTCCCTTTCTACGTTTTTCAAAATTATATCTTTCATCTTACTTTTAAAATGTTAATAGACATAAATCTGTTACTTTCTAAAAAAGAGCGTTGTTGACCAATTTAAAATAATATCTTTACCATTTCAGGAGTCAACATTCACTACCGCATATACAAATTATATACAGTAGTAAATATTTTATTCCCTTCCCAGTTTCGTGGTATTAAATTTTGACTTAGTTATGTGAGTGAATAATAATTAACATAAAGAGGGTAAAATGATAACTTGAAAAGATTAATTAGCCTGGCGAAGTTTTTTATTTTCATTCCCACAGTTTGAAAGCAACAAGTACTTGTAAGTTGTTTTCTTTCCTTTCAACACTTTTTCATGTCATAGTCATAATCATACTCTCTTCCCTACAAAACCGTTTTGTTTCAAGGACACAAAAAAATTATAGCTAGAAATTTTTTTGATAACAGAGAAGACAGAAATTACTTTACTCTAAATACGTAAGCGGAATTTTTTTTCCATTTTAAATAAAACCGTCTAAGTGCAAAAGTTCAAATGTATTTTCGCCTAATCAAAAATTGAACTAATTTAAATTTTCATCTGAAAACATTTTCTTTACATCCTATATATTTTATATCTTCTGTTTTACTGTGCTAACACTTCTTCACTTTTGAATCAAATCGCTGCCAATTATTTCCTTGTGTGGCAGTCGTACATTGTGACATCACAGTTGTCTTGTCACTAAAAAAACAGGGTTATATTAATTTAATAAATAAAACAGAAGGCTTTTTTATCAAAACAAAATGCCTTGAAATTTTGATGAAGGAAACAAGTAAACAGGAAGCAGTAAATATTACGCAAAATCGTGTTGAGTTTTATCCTTTTATTAATATCTATTCAGTGTATTTAAAATGAAAGAGGAACGTATTTTTATAGATAACAAACATAAAAAAACTGAATATGATCCAGAAAAACTGCAAGTTTTATGTTTTGATATGACATATTATAATAAAAGAACTCAATTCTTGCTTTGTACCCTAGGAGTTTTTGGTCTCTATATAATATACGGCTATCTTCAAGAGCTAATTTTTTCATTAGAAGAGTTTAAACCATATGGTTGGTTTTTAACACTTATTCAGTTCCTATATTATATTATATTTGCTGTGATAGAGCGAAGAATAGATGGTACATATCAGCAGAATCGTCACATTCCCATGAAAACTTATGTATTATTGGCTGCTTTAACTTTGGGCACCATGGGATTGTCTAATTCAAGCTTAGGATATCTTAATTATCCAACACAGGTCATATTCAAATGCTGTAAGCTGATACCAGTTTTAATTGGTAGTATAGTGATACAAGGCAAAAAGCACGGACCAATTGACTTCTTAGCGGCAACGACAATGTGTGTTGGTTTAGCATGGTTTACTTTAGCTGATTCAAAAATTTCACCAAATTTTGATGTATTTGGAATAATGATGATATCTGGTGCGTTATTGTGTGACGCAGCAATTGGCAACGTACAAGAAAAGGCGATGCGAGACCATAAAGCGCCTAGTAATGAAGTAGTTTTATATTCATATGGATTGGGGTTCGGTTACCTATTTTTTATCATGCTTATATCACGGAATCTCATACCAAGTATTCAATTTTGCAACAAAGTGAGTATAAATGTTAAGTATATATATGTATATACCTGAAATATAATTAAAGCGAATAATTTTAGTATCCCAAAGAAACATATGGTTACGCCTTTTTATTCAGCTTATCTGGTTATTTAGGAATGCAGTTTGTACTTTCACTTGTTCGGACAGCTGGTGCACCATTAGCTGCAACAGTAACTACTGCAAGGAAAGCTGTAACAATTGTTATATCATTTATTTTCTTCGCAAAACCATTTTCAATTCAATACCTATTATCAGGCACAATTGTTGTTTTAGGAATAGCTTTAAATGTTTATAGTAAAAAATCCAAGTTAACATTTAATGATATCAGACAAAAATTTCAACGGTTTAAATTGTCATCTCAAAGTAAAACATTTTTGCTAGACGTTTAGTTTAATGTATTTCTAAGTGCATACATCACGTATTTTAAAAATAAATAAATTTAATTATTTTTTAAGTTTACAAATATATTAGCTTTATGTGGCATTACTTATCATAGTGATATTGTCTAAATAAAATAGAAATTTGATTTTAAATTATATTTAATATTTTTATTTACATAAAAAATGCGACAATGTAAATTAAAATTTACTTAATTCCAAACAACATTTTTATTGTTTAATATTTATGATTTAAATATTTTAAAGATTTCATTTCCTAAACAAAAATTTATTTATTTGTAGTATCAATATTTTATTCATATAATAACTAATATTCAAAACTAAGGGGAAAAAAAGTTAAATTTTTAACTTTTTTCCTCAGCTCTTGTCCTCATTCGATGAATAAAAGCCGCACCTTTATTTTTTCGAAAATTTTCGAAAGGGTCATTCATATTTAAACCAACGCCCTAACAAAAAAAAAAAAGATAGAAAATCTTTCTATTTGATTTTTGGAAAATATTGATTATTCAAACCTTGTACATATCCTTTTTATCACGAACTTCGCCACCTTGAATCGGTGAATCAATGCCTTGTTGTTTAGAACCGAGTCCTGTGCCTGATCCACCCCAACCCATTTTCATCAACATTTGATGACCTTTATTTGATTCTTCAATGAATTCATTTGACTTTGCATAATTACTTCCACTAAAAAAATAAGAAGTAGTGAAAAATTTTTGACCTTAAATAGTTCAATAACTTACAAGAAACTAGGTGGTGAAATAGATCTTTCCCGTTCTCTGTCTTTTCTATCTCTAATTGGATCCCGTTCCCTATCGCGCTCTCTGTTCCTTTTTGGTGATTTACGACTTCTACTTTTAGTTTTTTCTAATAAAGGTGAATTGGATCTCGATCTTTGTCTACGAGGGGGCGTTTTAGATCTAGATTTAGATCTTTCTCGACTTTTTGATCTAAAAAAATATCGTAAAAACAAAAAATTAAAATGTATTAGGAAGTTATTACCTATAACGTCGCTTGTTATTTCGTTTAGGTTTTGGTGATTCTAAAATAACAGGCGTGGGAGATCTGGATTTCTGTCTTTCACCTTTCAGAATTTCTTCCTCTTTTTGTTTCTTTGCAGCATTTTTTACTTTGTAGTATTCATATAATCCTAATTTCTCCCAACCCTCACTAAAATTTTGGAATTAATTTGTTTTAAAATATAGTGATTTTAATATTTGTTTTAAATCAACTTACACATCCCGAGGACGATCATGTGAAGGCAAAGAGTAAAATGCGGCTAAAGCACTGGTCAATCTTTCACTTTGAGGTTGCGGAGCAGGCAAACGAATATCTTCTGGATCTAAAGGCTTATAATTATAATCTTCAAGACGAATAAATGGCACCATTAATCCTGCTGGAAGTTCATAGTATGGAACTGTAGGTTTTATGGTTTCTTCTGAATTTTTATCCATGCTTTCAACTTTATTTTCATCTCCTGCTACAGACATATCATTTTGTGTAGAATTAAATTGATTGCCGTCCAGGTTTGGTGGTGGTTTGGAAAGGTCTGGAATAAGGAAACTTGGTGGTGGCGCAGAAAAATTATTGGATTGACTTGTTTGCATAAAGTGGGATGGATAACCAATCGTTGGCGGTTTTGGTTGTGGTGCTAGAGGTGGCTGCTGTTGTTGTATGTGAGTTTGTTGCTGTGAAAATATATGATTTTCCGAGTTAGGGTAATTATTATAGTAGTTATTGTATTCATTTTGAACTGGTGTGGGTTGCGAAGCTTGTTTCACGCTAGCTTCTATGAAAGCACCAAAAGAAATATCTGAATCTGAAGGCGGTTTCTGATACTCTTGTGCCATTAATGATGGCGGTGGATGGCGACTTGATGCTTGCTGCTGCCCTTGTGATTGCGCTTGTTGAAGGTGCTGATGTGGTGGAGGTTGATGTGGAATCCCAATAATTGAGTAAATTGCTGCTATATGTGAAAAAGATGGATCATGTATATTATGAGGTGGAGGCTGTTGCTGCGTTTGCTGCGATGGTTGCTGTTGCTGTTGTGTTGGCGGTTGCTGCTGAGATGGTTGAGGTAAAATCTTTCTAGCATCATCAAAGTTATTGTGAGGTAAATAAGAATCATAGGAATTTTTATCTGGCATATTATTTTCAGGATATGTTGTGGAAGATGAGGAAATCAAGGATGGTATTATATTGTGATTTGCTTGTTGTGATTTTTGATTTTGCGGAAATTGTTGCTGATTTGGAAGAGAAAATTGTTGTTGATTTTGTGGGGGATACTGTTGTTGGTTTTGTGGGAATTGATGAGCTTGCTGCCCGCTTTGTGGCGGCATCAACGTGGTATTTGGAAGATTATTAGCCATTATTTGAGCTTCAATTAATTGCTTTTGATTTTCAAGTGCAGCTATTTGATTTGTTGTATGTTGAATAAAAATTTTGTGTTGCTGCTGATAACTAAAAATTAAAACAAATAAGTATGTATTTTGTTTTTCTTTTTTAATTTACTTCTCTAGAGTTGACTGCACTTTCTGAATGCACATTTTAACGTATTCATTATATTTATTTCTTAAATTAGTTTTATATTCTTGCATTGATGATTCTGGGGACTCCAGTTTAGAAATTACGCATGCATCAAAAAATTTTGCTTTTGATTCCCATAAGGACAAAAGTTTAGTCAATTTTGCCTTTTGCTCTGGCGTTGCAACTAAAATGTAAAAAAGATTTATTTTAAATATGTTCTACTAAATTGTTTTTAAATCGTGATTTTAATTTTTTACTTAAATCAGCACTGCAAAACATAGGAATCACAACATTTTCCAATTCAGACTTCAAGTCATTAGCATTTTTCCTCACACTGTTAAAAAAAATCAAACAAGAATAATATAAAAAAAAGATCATTACAAAAAAATATAGTTGATAACGTTAAGCAGTTTTTTTTATTATGGTCAATGTTAATCATAAAAAATTTTACGAAAATAAAATTTTAAAAATCTTACCAATGATGCAGAACGTCATTTACTAAATAAATAAGATGTAATTTTTGAGAGAAAGTCGATCCTTTAAGCAATGCCCTAAAAATAAATTAACAAATGTGTTTTTTTCTTTCCTTTTCTTTCTCATTTTCTATTAACTAATTGTTTCTTTTTACTACTTTTTATTTTAGTTAATTTTTTTCTGATATTTGTATTTATATATATTTTTTATTAGCTAAAACCTAAATTTTTTCCATATATGATTTTTTATTTTTCAAATTTACAAATATCTACTTATTAGAATTTTTAAAAAATAGAAAAGAAACACGCGATAGATCATCAACCCTAACTCGTGACATTCAAAAAAAAAACATATTAAGAAAACATTTTCTGTTAAAACAAAAACAATACAAAACAAAACCCTTGTCTTTTTTATTATTAATTATAGGGACGCGTACTTCTTTAAAAGATATTGTAATACAACATTGCATTTTGCTGTGTCGGTTGTATGCTGTAAAATCCAGTTTTTGCCTAAAATTGCAATTACAAAAAACTCTTAATCATTGTCAATAAAAATATTTTTTTTAACTTATTACAAATATAATAAAATAATGAAATCTTTTATTTATTTGTTAAAATTAGTCGTGAATTTATTAAACAGTATAAGTAATATAATAAAATTATGAAATAAGAATTTCACACAAAAACTAGCAAACTTTCAATTTATCCCGTAAATTTGAAAAAAAAAATGAGAATCAAATTTGGTCAAATTTGTTAAAAATCTATTTTTATATATTTTTTATCAAAACTGATTTTTGATTCAAAATATATAAAAGATCCATCCATATATATTGTAGCAAGTAAATTAACATATTGTTCAATTGAACTATATGTTTAGAGAGCAAAATGTTTCTTATTTAATAATTTTACTTCATACTTTCAAGTATTTTAAAGGTAAACCTATTTGAATCAACAAAATTATACACATGATTTCTTTGTCAATTACCTGCTGAAATACTGTCCTTTGTACAAGATTCAATAATTGGTTGCAGCACTAAGTCAAAATCAGCTAAGCGAATATTGTTATCATCCGCCTGCAATTCTAATGATTCATTTTGAGCTTTTTCTATCGCATCATCAATTTGATTATCTTGTTGCTGTCGTAACGCCTAATATTTTCATTGAAGACAAAACATTGTAGTAAAACCAACAAATAATTTACAACACAATTCAATATTTAATTTTTTAATACTCTAAATATGAAAATATCTTTGCGTTTATAAACACTATTTTTATTAACGTTTTTTTATCCAGGTAAGAACTGACTCATTCTTTCGAGAATAAGAATTTTCAAAAACTAATAATCTTAAGAACTGTTAAGAAAGTCCATAGTAAAATATTAAACTATACACAGATTAAAAAGTATGCCTATAAAATTTTGTAGGAAGGAATGAAACTTATATATATATATATATATATATAGATGTACATACAGAAACATATAAGAAATGCTTGATTTTAAGTATGAATTGGTTAATTGTTTTAATATATTAAATATTATGTTTTCATCTCATCAACCATGTTTTTATTGAGTATAGATTCTGTTAAGCTCATTACGCACCATGCACACAGATATTTGTAATGCACGTTGAAAAAAAATTTCAATTCCAACACTACTTAATTATATGAAATCAATTTTTTAATAAAAATTACCGAATGTTGAGCTGTTAAATTCTTTTCAGACTGATGTATTTGTTCTCTTAATGCCATTTGCTGAACATTAATAGCTTCTATTTGATTTGCAAGACTTGCTGCACTCCCACTTGAATTACTTGCTGTCCAATTAACTGGTTGTATTTGTTGCGGCACACTCGTCATTATTGGCTGAGTTGAATATGATGCTTGGCTGTTTCCAATATTTGTTTGATTCAATGTACGTGAATTCGCGTTAGCTTGAGTATTTTGATTTGATGAATGCGTTGTTTGCGAATTTAATACTAAATTAAATATTAATATAAAATTATAAATGTATTGATTTTTTAAGTGCGTTACTTGATTGTTCAGTGGTTACTCGATGTTGATAATATGTAAAATATTTTCCACCAAATAAAAACTCAAATTTGGGATTCCCATTTTGTTTTTGTTTTGTTATTTGTTCAAATTCTGGCCCATTTCTAGCTACAAATTCAGCTAACTTATCGATTAAGTTTTTTAAACTTATATCTAAAAAAAACCAAAGCTTTATCTGTAGATACATATGTGCACATCCCATGTTGTAGACTAAAGTCAAATTTTTTTTAATAACTTACCGCGCGGGGGGCTTGGAGGCTCCATATTTTTTGCTTTTTTTGAATAATTTTACAAATTTTACTTTTAAACGCTATATTAGGACACAAATCATATACTTATATCCTTTTTAAATGAATAAGATTAGAACTCTAGACGCCATTCTACCAAGTTGACGTAACTTTTGAAAATTATTGTTTTTTGACATTCCGGTTGTCGCTACAATTTTTTAAACGCCTGAAAAAGCGTTCAGAAAATATCTTTTTGTTTTGAGAATACTGAAAACAAAATACGCCATGTATCCAGCAGTTGAATTTATTGTTTCTCATCTCTTAATGCCCTAAACACAATTAGGCAGCATTTTAAATTCTAAAATTACTTGATTATTTTAATAAATTAATGCCATTTACGGCATCGAACGCAATGAATCTGCACCCGCAAAATGTAACTTCAAAATAAGCTTATTTGCTATTTTTAGAACTGCTGACTAGACACTATCATTTACTATTTTTTTATTGCATATTATTGTGGGTATGATACTTACAGCCTTATTGTATTTTACAAAATGTTGAACTTCAAATCGAACTAATTGTTCTTTTGATTCGTCGCTTTTAAGCTGAGTGGATTTTTCTTACTACGCTTCATTTGACACTGACAAGAACCGTATGTAATTTAAATAGTAGCGTACCTACACTAAATAATTATGTAATTATAAAATTGACGTTTGAAAAACTCTGCACTAAAGTTAAACTTGATTGGACTTTTTGAGAGAAGAAAAATTCTGTATCAAAAATAAAAGACATAAAATTAAATTTTATGGAAAAATCAGAAAACTATTCGATTATCGTTTCAGTTAACATTTTAAAAACAATATGCAAACTAAATTTTTGGAAAAATGTTCTACGACACCGCCTGATTTTTTTTCCTTAATTTAATGTCGTAAATTTATATATAACAAATATTTAAAACAATTTTGGAATTATTTGTAGCATAAAATAGACTTAGACAAGCCGTTACACTAAATTAGGACATCAATAAAGCTTTAATTACAAAATCTGATTTAATTAAAAAATCTCAAAATTACAAAATCTGCAGCTCTATTTGTAATTGTTGTAAATAAATAGTTTGGGTAGTTTGTAAAAATAAAAATTGATGTCTGAAAGTCCAAGAAATCGAAGTTAAAAATATGAATTTGAACAATTTTCATACATTTTCTGGAAAATTTAACTTATATTATGTGTTTAGGAGATTGTGTAAACCTTTTAAAATTATTTAATTGTTCTACTGCAATAATGACATCTTTTATATGACATCCAATTCTGGCACTAATTATTTTCCGAACTGCGCGTTTAATGTCAAAATAAAAATTTTTCATTTCAGGCTGAATTTAAAGAGACTTGTGTTGAGGTTAGAATTTGACAAAATGGCTGTGGACGAGAAAGTTCCCCTTGCAGGTAAATTTGTTGAAAATGATTTATTTTAATGCTTTTAACAAAAGTGCAAATTCGTGGTAGTTCATTTTGCCTTAAGTGGTAATATTTAAAAACAAAAACACGATTTGGTTTTTTAAAACAGGTGATTTTAAGTACAAAAATTTCGCGACTAATTTTTATATAGATGTAAAATATTTGATTCCACCCAAGGAAATTGTACAAAAATGTTATTTTCTTCAACAAAGTACACATAATATTAAAAAAATATATTCCTTTTAAATTCTTAACAATAAAAATATAAGTAAATGAAGCCTTCAATAAAAACATTAATATTCTTAAAAATACGTGGAAATATATTGATTAAAATTACATACACATGTACATATCATTGAAATAACACGCATATACTTGTGTTTATAATATAGTAATTTCTTATTGAATATTTCATACTGTATTAGAGCATTCTATATGCAAAATATAAAGTTAATATTGGTGGAAACAATTCTCGATTAAGGGGTTATGTTTTAAACATTGCTTTTGATTTTTTTTATAAAATTCAAAAGATAAATTATAAAAACGGCGGAGTGAAGAAGAATGCAAGTGAAATTAAAAATGAATACTTTTTTTTGTTTATTTAGTTCGCTCAAACCTTGGAGTTGAACTTTGGAGTGCTACAGATTTAAAATGTCCTTATCAACAAGATATTCGATTTCCACGAGAAGAAACAAAGAATTGCCGAAATATGGTGTTTAGTCCTGATGGAGCTTATTTTGCCTACACAAATGGAAGCGCAGTAAAAATTGTTGACACTTCTACTTGGCAAGCAAAATGGGTTTTGCCTCGTCCAAAAGCCTTTTATTTAAAATTCTCCCCTCGTGGCAAGTACTTATGTTCATGGGAGCAGTATAGTATAACAAAGGATACACCAGAGGGCACTCCGAATTTGTTCGTGTATAGCTGCGAAACCGGTGAAGCTGTTTTTTCTTCCGTACAAAAAAAACAAACTGACTGGGAGCCTGGATGGTCTTCTGATGAAACCTTATTTGCATTAATGGTTGGAGGTGAAGCGCTATTTTATGAGTTAGACAAAGGAATTGAAGGATTCGAACGGTTTGCAAAAAAATTAGGGGGTGGTAGTCGTGGTATTTTATCTATTGCGCCAGGTCATACTCCTCCAAACGTACTTTTTTATACTCCCGGAGCTAAAGGTGCTCCCTCCATGTGCAAAATATATAAATATCCGGCTTTACAGGCCCAACAGAATATTGCTTGCAAAAGTTTTTATCAGGTATTTTAAAATGACCATAAATTAGTTAAGAATTTTCAAAATAAAAGAAATTTTTCAGGCTGATCGCGTTGAAATAATGTGGAACAAAAGGGGCACCGGAGTTTTGTTGCTAACAAGTACAGAAGTGGATCAGTCTGGCGCTTCTTATTATGGAAAACAGGCCTTACATTTCATGACAATTAAAGGAGAGTCCTGCTCAGTTCCTCTTTGTAAGTTTTCTAATGTGTTATCATATATCTATATTTACTTAAATAATTTTTATTTTTTAAAGCCAAAGACGGTCCACTTCATGCTGTACAATGGAGTCCAAAATCAAACGAGTTTGTCGTAGTATACGGATTTATGCCGGCAAAAGCAGCATTATTCAACTTAAAATGTGATATGATTTTTGATTTTGGCGATTCCAATAGAAATTCAGCATACTTCAATCCATTTGGAAATCATATCCTTTTCAAAACTTTTATTTAATTTAATAATTTATTAAAATAATTTTAGATTATTTTTATTTTTTTGTTTCAAAAGAATATTTTTTAAAATTTTCCTTAACTGAGAAACACTGCTTTTATTAGCTGGATTTGGAAATTTGCGAGGATATGTTGAGGTTTGGGATGTAAATAAAAGAATCAAAATATCTGAGTTAATGGCTCCAGATTCCACATATTTGGAGTGGTGTCCTTCTGGAGATATTTTTGTTACCGCAACAACTGCACCCCGTTTAAGAATTGGAAATGGGTAAATATTTTAAATGAAAATTTATAAAATAGTTACCAAGAAGAGAAAAAAATTTAAATCGTTTTAGTTTTAAAGTGTGGCACTATTCTGGTGCTCTTCTTCATGAAACCTTGTGGCCACAAGGGCAGGAGTTATTGGGTGTTGAATGGCAGAAATTTGGTGATAACGTTTTTACGGAACCTGCAATAACGAACGTCAAAATCGAAGGTATAAAATCTAGTCAACCAGAAGCTTCAAAGCAAGTATATCAGCCACCAAATGTACGGTTAATGCTGGAGGGAAAATCAAGTGATTCAGTTCCTCAGCCTTCAATAATACCGGGATTAACTTTAGGTAATGATAGAAGAACAGAGTTTTATTGGAAAAACCGAAATAAGAACAGATATAACCCATATAACAATAAATCTCTAAGAAGTTGGAGAAAATGAAATTTTCTTTTAAAAATTTATTCTAATATCAATTTTAAATTAACATTTTTAAAACTTTTAACCAGAAGACGTTTTTAATGAAATAATTTCCATAAACCTAATAAATTAATGTGAATTTGTCTAGTTTTGTGAATGACGTGTTTAGCTATATATGAAAATTTATTTTAAGTAATAAAATTGAATTAACATTGCTTAATAATAACGAAGTTTTCTTTTTTCTTTAGGTACAACAACTAAGAAAAATCAGTCAAATTCTAATCGACAACGCAAGCATTCTAAGAATCAAAGACGTGATAGCGCTACTAACAAAAATGAAAACTGTAACACAGATATTCAATCACAACCAACACAGGATCAACAGCAAAATCAGAACAATTTGCAAAATCAACAAAGAAGAAGGTCTTCAGCGGCTAATACACAATATCAACGTAGAAGGCAATCTACAAAAAGTGTTAGTATTAATGAAGTTACTTCAAATGGCTCATCAACAACGGTTTCTAATGACAAAAATAATGAGAACAACCTAAGTACTGGAAGCGGCAATAATGTTAACAACAATAATAATAATAATAATGGTGGCCAACAAACTAGAAGAATACATCGTAGATCTCACCATAACTCTGTTTCATGTACGGGTGACCCAGAAAAAGATAAAAGAATAAAAACTTTGTATAAAAAATTGTCTGATATTTCAAAGCTGAAAATAAAACAAAGCAAGGGTGAACATTTAGAAGCGAATCAGTTAACAAAAATTGCTGCGGAAACTGCTATTGTTGAGGAATTGAGAGCGCTTAAAATTTCATCGTAAGATTTTTTTATAGCATTTACATAAGACAAATACAAAATTATTTCGAAAAAGTTGCGTTTTTTGTTGAAGCTTGAATAATTAGTCTACATATTTAGAGTATGAATTTTCTTAGTGATGCTTAAAATTTATAATCCAATTTTATAATATGATGAATTTTAATACTTAAATCGTTAAAAAAGACACGATCTCATAAGGCTTTTCTATTGGATTACACTAATAGAAAAGTCTATGAAATGAACCTTGAATGATGCTGATGACTAAGCATCATACTTCAATATACAAACAACATGTTATAACAACTGTAAAACTATCTAAAATTTTTAATTTTAATTTACTTTAATTAAAAAACTTCAAATAACAGCGCTCCTTCTTAAAATAAAATTGAAGGCAATTATAAATATATTTTTTTTTACCTTTCTATTCAATGCTTCAATCTTTTTTTTTTTTTTGTTTTTCGAATGTGGGTCACGAGAAAATTATAATTTCAAACAAATAAATTTTTTATACAAAAACAAAAATTTTTTTTAATATAACCTAATAAATTTCACACAGGTGTACATTTAAGTATCCCATCTAGATTTCTTTTTCGTAAATACTTCGGTTCCATCAGGTTGAACTGCGGCGTAATATCCCATATCTAAAAGATAATTTTTAAAAATCTAACCAAAAAACATGAATTTAGTACCTTCATATTTAGATCTCATATATGCTATATAACCTAAAGCAGTAGCAAAGCACACACAACCAATTGCCATTATAATCGCGTTCTATAAAAACTTTGATTAATGAATTTTTTAATTAAAATTATAATATTATATGTATTTTGCTGTAAAAACCAAAATCACATTTATGTACATATACAAATGTACGTACATATATATGTTGATTAAAATTTAATATTAATTTACTATTGCGATAAGTTAATATTAAAAACTATCAGTTTTGCATCATGTACAGATGTAATATGAATAAATTGTAATATGTATATATATACTTGCATATCATACAATTCCATATAAAAAGGCATAACATACCGGCTTAGCGTATAATTCGAAATTTAATGCTCTGAAAGCAGTTGAGGTTCTCAATGATCGGATCCCATCTCCTGGCTTAGCTTCATATTGTTGAGAATTTTGTTTTGGTGTATTATCTCCCATAATCAATAAAAATTTCTTTGAAACTATTAATTGTCAATAATGTTTTTTTTTTAATTAAAAGATTTTTATACACTTTATTTGTAATATAAAATTAGGACTAGAGTAATTTCAATTTTTAGTTTATTTATATAATATAACAAGTGAAGAAAAACTGCAAAGAAAATTTTGGTTTAACGTTTTAAACGTCAAAAAATAGAATGCTAATTGGATATCTTCGCATATTGCAAACATGACCTATGTTCCATTTACATGAGCAAAAAACCGAACACAAACATAACTCCTCAAACAAATGAGTAAAAATTATCTTTGTTTTTGTGAAGATTTATTGTTCATGGCAGCTGTTGTGTACAAAATGCACTCGCCTTTTTATAGGTTATGTTAATAACGGAAAATTAGCCGAAAATATTTATGTATTTAAAATTTTTATCACGAAAATTGTACCCGTGCATCAAGATACCATTTCTGTCTAGTTATGGAAATTTATTGCTCATTTTCGCAAAACAATATTCGTGTTCCGAACACATGTTGCACTTTTGTTGTTATTCCACATATGCATATTCTATACCGCCCACTCTGTTGTTGCTTTTCGACACTTTTCTTTTTTACACCAACTTCCTTTTTTCTCTTTTTAGTAATGCGATTTGTGAATATCAATATACATATTTGTTAAAAATTCTAATAATGAAGCTGAAGTAAAAAATATTTGCACAAGCATCAGTGATAACGTCGTGTTTAAAATACACCCTTTTATGTAGATATGAAATGGTTGAAATTACACATTTACAACACAAAACGGGACATATTTGATCAAATAGTGTATATACATATTATGTATGTATTAAAATTATGCATTTGCAAAAATTTTGGATATTGTATTGGATAAAATCGTATAAAAATTTAAATAAATACTTAATGAAAAACTTCTAGAAAAGTAGGTTTTACGAGTATTTTTTCATTACGAATATTTGGTTTACGTATAAAATGCGATTTTTTGACCTGACTAGTTATGAATGAAGTTCAAATAAAACATAAAATTTTAATGTATTTAAAATTTTTATCACGAAAATTGTACCCGTGCATCAAGATACCATTTCTGTCTAGTTATGGAAATTTATTTATATTAATTAAATTTCATTACAATTTTAAGTATAACCTAATATACTTAATAATTTATCAATTTATCAAATTTTTTTTATAAATCTACAAAAAGTAAAACTTTCCGTTAATCTGGGAAAATGTATTAAATTTACATTTCAACATTTAAATTAATTAAAATTGTAATGAAATTCTACCTATTTAAAATTTTATTTAATTTTATATATATTTTTTTTGATTAAAATTGGAATATTTTTGGATTATTTAAAATCGGCTTAATTAGCTTTATACAAAATTTAACAATAATGGCAATGATTGTAGCTGTCATAATTATGTGAAATCTCAGTAATTTTTGTAGCCTACTGTTATTTGGATCTGTCAAGTGTTAGAAAATTTCGACCTATATTTATATTTTCGTGGAAAAATTTTAATAAAAATTATTATTAAAAAATAGAATTTAATTACTTATTGTGTACAAAAATATAAAATTTATAAAAATTTTTACAATTTAATTACTTAGTAAATTATGTATGAAAAGCATTTTTGATTTGACAAAATTTTTATAAAAGAAAAAATCATATTTTGATGGTGTAAATCAATATAAAAATTTTATTTCTTTCATAATAATAAATATTATGGAAATTGGAAATTCAGCAAAGCAATTTCATATAAATGATTATTATATCGAAAATAAAAGGTTTGCGTTAATTAATTATAAATGTGGCGACTTTTATTTTTCGTCCAATTTCGACTCCGGGAATTTGGGTAGAGTTGAACTTTACAAAGATTATTCAGGTAAGTTCAATACTAAAAATATTTTGAAAAAATGATTATAAATTTTAAAAAATTTTTTTAAACAATCGTTCATTATATTTGCCTATTTATAAATATTCTTTTGTCTTAATCTCAGCTGATGTTAAATAAACAAAACAAAAAAAAAAAAAAAAAACAAAAAAAAAATATCACATATTGTATGCCAAAAAAAAAAAATTCAGGCTTATCTCATCAATATATGTAGCTACATAGCATAATTTGTAATTTACATTAGTTGGATAATGACACCAAAAAATTATTTACCCTCTATAGTTTAAGCTCTTAACTGAAATCTACTAGAGTTATTTACGTTACTATAAATATTGGTATCAAATTTATCGTTCTTGTTTTTTGTAATAAACAAATCTATTTTGATAAACCCTGAACCACAAAAGTGCAATGACATCACTCTCGGTTACATAATATTGAATAAACTTTTTGATGCATACTAAATATATGACTTTTTACCTATGTATATACATATCTACATACATAATATGAAAGGTATTTTGAAATTTGTAAGGATTATTAAAGAAGCTATGAAAATAGGGCCTATATTATGTTATAATAAGATAATTTATATCACTAAAAATAATCTTTACAAAGTTTATAATATAATACTTAAATGACTTCACTGAAAAATTATGCAAAGAAAACTGCGCCCCATGCAAAATAAGCCTTTATAGGAAAATTTCAGGCATCTTGCAATTTTAATAAACGTGCATACCCGAAATACATTTTTTGCAATTCTCATTTCCAATGTATGTAGGTAGGTTATATTATTATTAATAATATAAATATAGACGACCATCTAAAAGATTTTCATGATTTTTGGGTGGTTAATAAAAAATTCTTGTTTATAAATTTTTATTTATTTTTTTGTTTTACAACATTATTTAAGTATTCAAAGATAGGTGCTTACTATTACGTAGTAAACTATGTTTTTGGAATTGTGTGAATACTGTGTAGACTTTTCATAGACTTCAAACGGATTTTCATAAAATTTGCGACATTTACCATTAGTACCATTTGCAACAATATTAGTTTGTGTTGAAGAGAATACGCGTTATGGCACACGCATAAAAAATATTTATAATAAAAAATGCAACAAAACAATTTGTATTAAGTAGAATTTTGTTTTAAGGGAGTTCGTGTTACAGAGGTTTGACTGTGTTTACTTTTTAACTTTTTACTGTTTACTGAGTCTCAGTAAAAGGGTTTTTTTTTAATTTCTACTTTTTACTAGTTACGATTGTAACAACATAATATTATAAATGTATCTAGTTATGATTGTAACTACATAATATATGAAATGTATGGGACTACTACTTTCAAGGCTGTAAAGTATAAACTTTGGCATGTAAAGTATAAACCTTGATTTCTGAACTTTCTGAAATTATTTTTTTTTTCTTATTTTTAGAACATGTTTCTAAATGCTTAATTTTAGAGAAATTTGTGAATATTTTCGTTGGTACTATTGTTTTACATTCATCTTTCTGCAAAATTTTTTTTCAAATGAGGTGTAACTTAAAGTACATATTATGTAAGTATGTACATAGCTATCTCATTCTACGAATCAAAAATTAACGCATTTTAAAATATACTTCGGCGCATATTTCCATGTAAAAATGCAACTTAAGGTTTTCATTTTATCCACCTATATTGCTTTTAACTTTATTGTTTATTTTGTTTATCGTATTGCCGAAACTAAATTCATTCATATTAATATCCAAAGTAAGTATGCACCTACCTGAGTAACACTATTCATTTAATTTGAAAGAATCTTCTCTTGTTTGACTTTTTTGCTAAAATTTTGTCTTTTAAATAGGAATTAATTTTTCTTTTACAAGTATTAATGCTTCCGTTCTAAGCGCACTTCTATATATAATTTTGAAGAACTTTTTGAGTGCGTAATATTTATGTGTGGGGCTAACGTTCACAATCCACAGATCTAATTGCGATTTTAATCGGAAGTTTTCCTCATTATCCCATTTAAGAGTTTCAAAATTTGTCATCAAAAACCTATACCATTGTTTGAGGGAATTTCGCCATGCATACATAAGATTTATTTCTCTTATTTAATAAAGAAAACTTCTTTTAACCATCATTTCCCGAACTTTTTTATAAAAATTTTAAATATTTACGTAATTGTTGTTCATTTGGCCTCCAAATTGTAACAGACCTGATTAAATATCTTTAATAATAACTAAAACAAGACGTTTATTTTTGCAATTATAAACGACATACACAAATATTTAGGTATACTTTTCTCTTTTTTTTACGAGAAAATCATACCTAAGTTTTATCAGCTTATGTTTTATTTATATTTATTATATTCTACAACATTGCAATATTTGTTGATGATATAACGCTGCTTGAACATTTTCGTGCCCAATTGCTTGCTAATTACTTTTGCAAGAATGAAACTTAGATACATTCCTTATTTGGACTATATAAAAGAGTTAATGGCGTTTAAAAACAAAAAAAAATATTTATATTTAATTTAATACTTATTAACGATTTATAATTTTTTTCATGCAATTCCTGTAAATGTGCATTTACATAATAAACAATTCGTCTAAAATGAATTTACACGATTTGACGTAATTGACCTAACGAATATTATACGTAATGGCGTAACAGAGCCTGAAAATCCTCTCGATATAATACGATTTTGGTATTTGCAGAGATGAAAAGGTATAATTTTTCCAAATACGAAAATCAAATTACATAGTAAGGCCCCAGATGTCGCTTGTTGTGTTAGGTTGAATATAATTATGTTGTTTTTTTTTGTGACATTTCAATTTTGACATGAAAATTTTTTTTTACTTGAGTAATGTATATTTTGATTTTGCAAAAGTTGAATTAAACAAAGTTTGTTTTAAAAATTTGTTTTATCAAAATATTTATAATAAAATGCAAGAGGAAAACGTTTCAAGAGATTTAAATAATATAAGATTTGGAAAACAAGAATTTGATTTGGTTGATCAAAAAAGTTTGATTGAAAAGTGTGGTGAAATATTTATATCAAAACTTAGTAAAATTATACAGTTGAACTGCAATATATGCCAAGGAATCTTTGAAGAGTTCGATTTATTTAAACAGCATCAATTTGCTGAGCACTATAGCGAAAATGGACATATTGAAGAGAATATTGGGAAAACATCTCTAGAAAAAGCTACTAACTTCGATTTGTTAGAAACAAGTAAGCTAGGGGAAACTAGAGTTGAAATTTCAGATCTTTTTAAAAGTGGAAGCATTAATAGTTCTGATGTTGATGAAAAAGGAAGTGATGTTAAAGTAGTAATTGAAGCGGTAGATTTACAAAGAAGTATTAAGCGTAATAGAAAAACTTATAAAAAAGGTCTTAAGTTCGATACAGGAACAAAAAAAAAAGTTAACATTAGCAATAATATATGTGAATATTGTAATAAGATGTTTAGCAGTACAGCAGCTTTAAATGACCATATAAACATTCATACTGGGAAAAAACCTTATTCATGTAGCATGTGCTCTAAAAATTTCAGATGCAAACAAAATCTTAAAGATCATGAACGGAGGCATAAAGGAGAAGCAAACTATCCTTGCGATTTCTGCAGCAAAAAGCTCTATTCAAAAGGAGAAAAAACTATTCATGAAAGAATACATACTGGTGAAAGTAAAACTTCAATTGATTAAAATTATGAAAAATTGATTAAGTTTTCAACTGTATTTTATAGGGCCTTGCATTTGTGATATTTGTGGAATGGGCTTTACATCGAAGTCGACACTTTCACAACATAAAATAACACATAATATTGAAAGATCACATGATTTTAAATGTAATGAATGCGCCAAACTCTTCACCTCAAAAACTAATCTGACCCGCCATTTCAAAACTCATATTGGAGGAACAGAAGAAACAAAATTTAAATGTGAGCATTGTGGAAAATATTGCAATTCTCAAGTTGCGTTAAATGATCATATAAATACGCATACCGGGCAAAGGCCACATGTGTGTACTTTCTGTCCAAAGAGCTTCAAATGCCGGTACATTCTAATTTTCACACAATAATTTTATTACATATAATTGTTTGAAGCTTGATCTTTTAGACAAACAAAACTAGCTCACGAGAAACGTCATACGGGAGATGCTAAATACCCGTGCACAAAATGCGAAAAAAAATTCTTTTCTTCAACAGAACTAGCTATACATGAGCGCTATCACAATGGCGAAAGGCCTTGCATATGTGAGTTGTGTGGAAAATCATTTATAAATGCTGGAGCCATGAACGCTCATAAGAAAAATCATGACGAGCTAAAAACTTTTGATTTCAAGTGCGAGCAGTGTGAAAAATTATTTTCGTCAAATAAAAATTTGAAGAGACATAAAATTGTACACATGACTGAAAAACCTTTTGCTTGTGATAAGTGTTCTGGGAGATTCACTAGGTTTGTATTTAAATAATTTGATTAAAAATTACATAAAAGAGAATATTTTTTTTTATTCTTCTTTTAGGAAAGAAGGACTCGCATCGCATTACAAAACGCATGCTGAAGTTAAGGAATATAAATGCAAATTTTGTGCGAAAGAATTTGCGCAGAGTTCAGTTCTCTATCGGCATATGAGAACGGTTCATTGATATTTTATTTTAGTTCTTATGTATTGTTATTTAGATTTATTTCCTTGTATACTTTTCAAAACTGTTAAAAAATATTTATGCACATTAAACATGATAAGTCCGAGTGCAAAATAAAAAAAAGAAAATTTAACTAAAGTTGGAGTTTAAATGCGACTTTTATTGAATTTTGTATTTCATGTATGATTGTAAAATTTTAAAATTTTATATTAAGTTAGATAATTCATTAAGCATTTTTAACAGGAATTGAATTGCCAGAAAATGCAGTTCATGCAGAATTCAATGTTTGGACTGTTCCAGACTGCTTTGGAACTTCAAATGAAACACCTAACAGAACATGGTTTTATTTTTCCATTCAAGGTAATTTTACTTATTTGAAAGTTTTGAAGTGTTTATAAATTTATATTGAAGGAGGAGGGTTCTATCAAAACGCTAAAATTAATGTGAAAAATTTAAATCGACAAGCTAAATTGTTCTCGCAAGGTATGACTCCTGTAATGAAAGTAGGACAAAACGGTCACTGGCATCGAATTAAAGATAACCCAACTTTCCAGGTTATTTAATTTTTTTATTTTTCGATATATTTTAAAAATATAAGTAGAATCTCATTTTAATGTAGAATGAAGAAGAAAATTTTGTAATTAGTTTCATACACAAAGTGCAAAATCATCCAGATACAGAAGTGTTCTATGCATTTACTTACCCTTTTACGTACAGAGATTGTTTAAATTTGCTTGCAAAATACGACGAAAAGTATTTGAAAAACAACGAAGAAACTGATATTCTTATTAAGCAAATATCAAATACAAACATGCCCATCACCCTTTTGTCACAAGATGTTGAAAATATTGTTAAAAAGCAAATGGCAAACTCTAATTTAGGTAAGAAACTTTTAAATTTTTTTCTAATTTTTATAAAAATGAACCATTTTTAGGTTGCCCATCTAACGCAAATTATATAAAAGATTTTGAAAACTTGGCTCGCAAAGAATTACAAAACGAAATATATTATTACCGAGAGCTGTTGATAAAGTCTTTAGAAGGAAGGAGAGTTGATTTATTAACGATAACATCTTTTCATGGAATACAAAGAGGAGTAGAAAAAAAATTAGATTGTCTATTTCCAGAACCACAACCACGTTGTCACATTTTCAAAAATAAGAAAACAATCTTTTTATCTTCGCGCGTACATCCTGGTGAAACTCCAGCTAGTTTTGTTTTAAACGGTTTTCTAAATCTTATTTTAGATAGAAAAAATCCTGTTTCAATTGCATTAAGGTAATGATAATTGCAAATAATAACTTTAGTGAAATGGAACTGAAAAGAAAATTTCTTTTTTTGTAGACGAATGTATATTTTCAAAATTGTGCCTATTTTAAACCCAGATGGGGTGTATCATGGCTTTTATAGAACAGATACTTTAGGACAAAATTTAAATAGAATGTATATGGATACAAAACTCGAATATCATCCTTCTATATATGCAGTAAAAAAAATTATTAAGTATTTTCCGGCGTAAATATAAAAATGAAGACGTTTGATAAAAATTCGTTTTAATTTACTAGATACTACCAAAATGGTGCTAAAACCCACCCAGACATAGGTGAGATAACATATGGTATTTCAAATTCCAATTTAGAAACACATACTGATGGAGAAAAAAAATTTGATAGCATAGAAATTGAATTAAATGAAGGTACATACTGATAATTTTTAATTAGTATTGCAAAAATTTACAGGTAAACTTTTTTGTAGATCATCAAGATAATATTGCTCTATCAAAAATTCTAAGTTCTCGAAGTGAATCTTGTAGTAGTGTTGAATATGATAATGTCGAAATAAATCCAAAAACAAATATTTCAAGAGGAATTATTGTAAATGAAATGACATTACGAGCTACAGAAAATGAGAACATTGCAGCTAAAAAAATATTTAGTCATTTATATGGAAAAAAAAATTGTGAAACAAAATTAAACAAAAAAGTTTCGATAAGAACTATGGTAGGTGTGTCGGCAAGTACGTCAAGTCGCAATTCTGACAGCAAAATAAGAGACAGTTTGGTGAAAACGCGTAGTTTAGTTAAAAATCGAAAGAGCGATCTAAAACCGCATTCATCAAATTCCAATACCAATTCTTCAACCATGCCGATACCCAAACTAATAGCAATATCTCAAAATAAAGGAAAAGCAAAACTTCACACAAAAACACTAATTTCTTCTATAGAGTCTGGTTCGTCAAATGTGCTAGATAATGGAAATAGTTTATTTTTATACATAGATATGCACGGACATGCTTCTAAAAAAGGTGTGTTTATGTATGGAAATCATTTTACAAATCTTGGTCAAGCTGTTGAATGTATGTTATTACCAAAATTAATGACAATAAATAGCCAACATTTTCACTTTGATGCTTGCAATTTTTCGGAAAAGAATATGTATCGAAAGTAAATATCTAATATTTATAATAAATAATTACATAATAATAACTTGATAATACTTAACAAATAAATATATTCAATGTAAATGATCTATCTGTTTTAGGGAAAAGCGGGATGGTCTTTCCAAAGAAGGTTCTGGTCGAGTTACAGTTTACAAAATGACTGGACTTGTTAAATGTTATACGTTAGAGTGTAATTATAATTGCGGCAAATATATTAATGTATTACCGTCAAAAAATAATCTATATTCAAAACAAGTAATGAATGCGGTCCCACCAAAATACACACCTTCAATATATGAAGAAGTAAATAGCATAAGATATCTAACATAAACAGGATAAATATGTCGTTTTTTTTAGTTATTTAATTTATATATTGCAACCATTCAAATTACATTATTGCATAAAATAGTTTTTTTGTTTTAAAAGATTTACTTTCTTTTTATTTTATTATTTATTATATAGGTTGGAAGAGCATTGGGGCCATCAATATTAGATTTAACGAATTCAAATACTGCCTCTCGTCTACCGAACTCAGAATATCGAACATTGCAAGGAATCCGTTCATCATTACGATATGAAGTTGATAGAACCATTTCTAGCCATAGCAAAGTAAATACGAACGTTACATCAAAGGTATATGAACCATTCAAAACTTTGATTTTATTTAAATCAAAAAAGAAATATTATACCTTGCGTTTTTTAAAAAATGAGAAAAGCAGTGTAAAAGTTACATTTTCATTACTTTTGCTTTAATCAATTTTCAGATTTTTTTAATTTTGAGTACAATTTTTTTTTTTTTTATTGTAATATAAATTCTTTTATTTTTTACATACGCTGTTTTTTTTGTTTTATAAATATGTTTATAGATTAAGAAATTTCGTAAGGTTATTCGAATTGTTGTTAAACGAAGATTAAAAAAGAAATTTTGACAACGACTGCAAGTAAAGCTAGTTGAGGCTTCAAATCTGTTTTTATACTGTTCCGTTTTATTTGTTATTTTATTTATTTGCAACAGTATGATAACCGCTTTTCTATAAAAATTTAAAGGTAGAAATTTTAATTTCCATTAATTTTTTGTTTTTCAAAATAAATGTATTTTCGATAATTAATTGCATTTGTCGTTTTAATCAATTGTAAGGTATTTATGTATGTGTTATAAATTAGCGAGATTTAATTTTAAAATCAATTTCTGAATTGCGTAATTTTGTCAGTAAAATTTTATACGCAGTAAAACAGTTTCAGTAGTTGAACCATAAAATTATTTTCAAACAAGTGTTTGAGGATTTTTTACAACAAATATTCATTGTATTAGAAATTTATATTCGTAAAATACCATTTTTCGTTTTAGAAAAATATTAAAAGAAAACAAATCTAAAATGAATTTTATATACTTATTTTGCATCAATCACTTTTATGTTATGTATTTTTATTAAACAGTTGTAAGGATTTTTTCATTAATGTGATTTTCATGAAAAGAATTTTACATTTTGTTTTGTTTATTAGAAAGACCTTAATTTTTTTCAGACATTCCTTCACATAATTAATAACTTTTTTGCATTATCTTTTAAGTTTTTTGAAATTATGACAATGAAACTTATTTTAAAAATTTTTTTTCTTACCACATTTTCTACATATATATTCATTAAAAAAAAAAAAATTATAAGATTTCCTCTAAACGGCGTAATCTTAATTACTCCTCATCATCTAATTCCACGGTTTTGTCATCAAGTAAAGAAACTACTAAAGAAAATTATAGAGAAGTTTTAAATAAATGGAATGCAGATATTAATGCTACTGCATGTTCATCTAATAACAATAACAATGCAAGTTCACATTTACAACAGCCTCAACAAACTAAGTCATCAAAATTATCCACAGAGACACCAACATTAACGTCATTAATAACAGAAACAGCCGTAACAAAAGTAGCATTATCAAATTCAAAATTGATCACAAAAACAATAAAAAAACCTAATTCATACAAAATACGTTCAACCTGCCTTTATGGTAAAAAAGATTCACCAAATTTAATAACAAAGAAAAAAACAAAAATTCTTGTTGAATCTTCAAATTCAGTTGGCTGCGGGGGAAGTGCAACCTTAAAAAAGGAAAATCATCATTCTTTACAAAAAATGTCTAATCGATATTCAACAAATGTTCCTACCAAAAGGGTTAAAGTTACATTAAAAACTATAAGTGCGACCACAAGCAATTGTAACATTAAAACAAATTCAGTAAATACCAAAGAGAAAAACCTCAAGCAACATCAACGGCAAGCTATTACCACGCAAAAAAATCAGCAAATACAAGATGAAAAACCATCAACTTCGCAAATAAGCATTTCAAGTACAACAGCATTTGATTTCAGTAATAATCACAATAATTCAAATGGCAGAAATTCACCTAACATTAGCAAACCAGTTGAAAATTTACTGGAAACACCAACAACATCTAAACCTGTAATTAACCTAATAAATAATGTTCCATTATCGAGGCCATCAACCTTTTTGTTAATTGGATCAAGTATATCGTCACTGACTTCATCAACAAAGGATATTCAAAAAAATGAAACATTAAAAACTCAAATTTTACAAGAAGATAGTAAACAATATTCCTTAGAAATATCTGAACCTAAAATAATTGAAAGTGAAATATTAAATAGTGAAAAAATGTCAAAAAGTATATCTAAAAATGAAGTAGAAAAATCATTTTCTCAAGATTCAGATCTTTTTACTGTATATAAAAATTCATCTTATAAATGTAATTCTGTTAAACAACTTAAACAACAAATAAATTCAGATGACAATACAGATTTAAATGAAGTAAACACCACCGCTTTAATAAAACCTGAAAATTACAATATTAATAGTAATATAAGTAATTTTATAATTCCAAGCTGTACAACAGTCTTAAGTTCATCAACATTTTCAAATATAATTGATAACTGCCCACCAAATGGAATTGAAGATGATATTGATCAAAATAACGATATGGGATGTAAAAATAACTTTAATGATAATTGTAGTGATAATATTATTTGTATTAAGGAAAAAAATAACATTAATAACAATAATATTAATATATCTAAAAATGAAAAAAATAATTATGATAGCAGCGATAATAAGGAGTTCAAAATATTTTACAAAAACAATGAAAATAATAATCAAACAGATTTGTATGACCATGATACAATCTCTGTTGAATCCAGGAAATTTTCTAAAAAATTTTCATTATCATCGTCATCATCATCATTATTACCATTAATGAGAGCCAGATGCAAAATGAAACCATCAAAAACTGATTCCTTAATATATAAAAATAGAAAGAAACGAAGAGATGGTGCAAATAAAAAAATTGTTCGAAATCATTTTTATACAGCAACTGAAAATTCAAAAATAAAAAAGAAACGCAACAGAGGATTGGATTCAATTACAATTAAACACAAAAAGAATAAAATTCGCAACTCAAAATTTTAAAGATAAAATATATTATTTGTTTTTATTTTGTTTGTTTTTAATAATTTTTATTGTTATATTTGTTTAAACTTTAGATTTATTGGTTCTGACACATTTGTATGTATATTAAAAAAAAAAAATTTTAAAAAAGAAAATGAATATAAAAAAATATGTAAAATTAAAGAGAATAAAAGCAAATTAAGAATAAAATAATTACTTATATTATTTTGTAAATGTTAAAATGTGAAAAAAAATTATCATTTATTTAAAAAAAGTTCTGTAAGTGAAAAATGAATAAAAATATATTAGAATTTAATAAATGAAAAAAAATTATATTTTACGAATTCTGGATTGTTTAAGTTTGAGTTAAATTGTTATACTATGTATTTGATGTAATCATAAATTTTGATTTTATTTTATGTTTATTTACTTATTTTCTAAATTAATATAATAAATTTTTGTTTTCATAATTAAATTTAATCTTGTAAAATTTGGCCTAAATTAATTATACGTTCCAAAAATACAATGTATGTACTTATATTTGAATAGAGAAAAAGCTTCATATAATAATGATTTTAATATAAAAAATTTAATATTAAATTATAAAAAATAGTTCGTTTTTGGTATTTAAAAAGATTATTCATACTTTAACTTTTTTTTTTGAATAATCATAGATTTTTGATTTCTTAATTATTGTTTGAATTTGTTTTATATGTACATACATATTTATAATTTTTATATTTTGGACTCTATTTTATTTAAATTATTGTGTTAAAATATTTGTTATTTTAATTAATTAAATAAAACAGATACATTTTGTAAACCAAACACAATCTTTCTGAAGCTTAATAATTCATTAATTATCCTTTTCTTCTTCTTTTAGTTCCTCTAATTTTTTATATTATTGGTTTGTTAGACGGTTGGCCAAACAAAATTTTTTTTTTTTTGTGTGCATACCAAATATGGATGTAAATTAATCAGGATCTTTTTCAATACATATTGTTTTTTTTTTTTCAAGTTGTTATAAATAATATTACATATTTTTTTTTTATCAATAATATTTTCAATGTGAACTTAGTATTAAGAAGTAAGTACATTTATGTACATCAATATTTTAAATAAGAGTCTCAAATTTTGTAGTTTTAGAATTGAAATGAAGAAAAAAAACATTTATTTTAATTTATCGATATACATAATACATAATACATACGTATATAAATTATTTCATATATAGGAAGTATTAAATTTAATGATTTAATATAAAAAAAAATATTTTTATGCGATTAAAAATAAAGATGTAATGTGATTATTAACTAAAGTTTATGAAACTGAAGAAACGTAAAAAATTGAAAACAGAAGAAATAATAAGTGCTCAATTAAAATATGCAAAATTTTAATTATAATATTAATGTAAATATATTCCACATAACATATTGGCCTTTGTTACATTTGAATAGCAGATTAGCAAATCCAGTCAAAAAAAAAAAATAGTTTTGATTTACAAAATTTATTAACCATCATACCTTATTGTTTTTTGAATTGAATACAAAAATTACTTAGTTTTGAAGAGAAAAAATATTAATTTTTTTTTTTTGTTCTTATGAGTAATTATATATCGTAATCAAATAATTATTTATACAAAAATATATTTAAACAAATAAATTGGTTCGTAATATTTTATATCATGGTGTCTTTATGTGTTACTCTAATTAAAGGAACAATATTTTGAGCTTTTCAGGATCACAATATAGTTAATTGGTCTAAGAATATATGTATGTATTTGCTTAGAAAATATTTTTTTATGCAAGCACAATTTACAAAAATTTTTTATAAAAAATAAACAAAAATATTATTTTAATAATATACAGGAAAGTGATTATTATAATAATAAAGTATTACTATTCTGGCAATAATTTAGAAAATCACTATTTTCGATAAATGGTTCACCATTTATAATATCCTAACCATCGTTGATAATAGGGCTAATTAATTTTGTCTAAATGTTAGTCGTTACCAATTATATGAAAAAAAAAATTTTACCCCTTTGTATACATACATATGTACATATCACTTAAAAAATATTAAGCAACGAGATAATCCTTGAAAGTTAGTTACTAAAGACAGATACAAACAGTTATTGTTGCTATAATTTAAAAAATACTGTAGTAGTTAGAATATTTTGGAGTCTACTTAAAATTTATTTGAAAATTAGTAATTTTTATATTTATGCGCATTTCTGTACATTGGATATGATTAAATTCAGATTAGAAATAAAGTGTAGATGTAATATGCAGTTGTTGACGTTCATATTTGAAAAATGAAACCCTCAGTAAAAATATTTTATTGCTTTTACTTGTACTCGTAACTAAATAAATTATCATTTTTTAATTTATCAACTATACTTATAGCTGGAATATTCTGTTTTTAATACCACTATCTTTAAATATGTACACATTATATTTAAAACTTTCATGATATCAGCAACTAAACTTAATTATTTGGAAATTCTTTTTAAAATACATAAAATAAATTTTAATACTGGATATTATTTTAGTTAATAAAAAATTTAAAATGTATGTAAATTATTTTTAGAAACGCAAAATGTTAATATTACAAAGGTAAAAACTAATGTTTCATAATTAACTATCACCCACATTCTGTTAGTCGCATCACTTGGGTTATTATTAAAAAAATTTTATTTTTCTAGAATAAAATCATTTCCAAAAGTTGAAAATTTTAAAAACCATAATACTTTTCAATATCCCATTCTCAAATTATGCGATTTACATAATATGGGTGTATGTAGATATCTACAGTTTATTTTTTACTGCCATAAAAAAAATTAGCTACTTAAGAGAAATTATTTATCATAAGAGTTAATAATTGCAACTTGATTTAGAATATAAATTTGTGACATTTTTAAAATTTATACATATGTACATATACAAATTAAACAGGAGAAAAACATAATATACCTATGTATGTATGTACAATATTGTATTTATTTTTAGTAAAAATTTAAAAAATATTTTGAAAGATTTATAATTTATCACAATCGCAAATAAAATAATTGGTGTGTTCTTATAAATTTCTTTTATTTTTTTAAAATTTTGCATTTGTAAAATATGTAATTCAAATTTTAGGTGAATAGTAGTAATAGTAATTTTAATTGGCCTGACTTAAAAAATCCAGTATTAATGTGGCACTACATTTTAACTGTTCCATATTGAACATTAAAAAATTTAAATATAGAATAAAAAGTGCAGAAAATAAGTTTTAACTACGCAGTAAAAAAGCAAACAGTGTAGTGGAAAAATCAAGGCTACAATACTGAGATTTTTAAAGTTTTATCAAAGCAGTATGTACTATGTACTGTAGTTAAGTACATAGTAGTAACATTTCTTCATTGCATTTTGAATGTCATGGCCGGAGAAAATATACGACACGTTCGACAAATTAAAACCGCAAAATCCACAAAAGCGATTTAAAACTACAATATCTTTAAGATCTAAATTAGAACTGAATTTTTAACAACCTTTAACATATTTAGTAAATATTTCGGGCAAGGTAACCTGTGGAAGGTGATAAAGAACATTCATAAAATTGTTACTTAAAATTCGCGGTTAAGAAAGATTTTTACTTTTTTAACCAGGATATTAAGTTGTTTTGATATTGTCCTAAGCGAAACTAACATAATGATGTATTTCAATCATGTTAGTATTAGAAAGGACTATTTTCGATTAAAAAATTACCATATTCTTTTTTAATAGTGCTTTATTTTAATATTAAATAAAAAAACAGAAAAGCACAATGTTTAAAAATTCTGCATCTAAGCACTTGTTGTCGCAGCTTGTTCTTCCTTGATACGATCCTTTTTGAGTGGACCCATAAAAGCCAATTTGTCGGCTGGAGTTTGGAAACGACCGTGACCCATTTTTGATGAGGTATCGATGAATTTTAAGCTAATTTCTTCTAAAGCTGATCGTTTAGTATGTACGAGTAATGATTTCCGTAATGTAATAACCCGTTTCTTAGAACCAATACAACAACCCTTAAGCATAACAAAATCATTATTTACTTCACCGTAATGCGGGAAACCACCCATTGGTGTGATTGATTTATCGGTTAAATCATACTCAGTTGCAGCATTGTTTTTCACGATCTGAAAAATATAATTAACACTTATTTTTATAATTCAAATTTATGTTCACAGTATTGAATAATAATTTTCAGGCCTATCATTGAAACTCTCATATTTGATTCAAGTTTTCGTAAAAATATCATCATTCCAATTTTAAGAAATATTATTTCACTATATTTTACCTTGCCATCACGAGTATGAATTCCTGCTCCGATACGGTATATTTTCTTATTGATTTCTGTACGATGATGATAGCCTTTTTGACCAGCACGAGCAACGGTGAATGAAACTCGACTTGGATGCCATGCTCCAATACAAGCTACTTTACGCAAACCCTTATGTGTTTTGCGTGGCAGTTTCTTGGTATGCCAACGGCTTGTTACACCTTTAAAACCCTTGCCTTTAGTTACACCAATGCAATCAATCATTTCATCTTGTCCAAACACTTGACTGACTGGAATGGGTTTTTCTAAATGTTCTTTAACCCATTTTACTTTGTCTTCGATAGTTCCACCATTAAGTTGAATTTCCATAATATGGGCCTTCTTTTGACGTTGTTTAATTAGTCTTATCTAGATTATTTAACAAATTAAATATTTAGTTAATCTACTACTCAGTGTTTTCGTATTATGATATCGTTGCATGATGTTGTCGATAAATAACAAATAATAACTGGTTGAAGGAATTAAACGAATAAAGAATACGAAACATCATGAAACAAAATCATAGCGTAAATACGTATATGAATGAATGCTGTTTTGTATCTGCTATGGTTTAACTGAATGATAATTGCCAGAAAGGCTTCAAATAGTTAGTGGAATATAGCTTATTTAGTCTATTGACTTTTTAATCTGCGACGTTGCTGCAGGCAATTGCAAATGAAAAATTGCAATGGTTACAGCCTTTTAGATAAAATCTAGCCAGATTTCATCAGCAAAAGCAGAATACTTTCTAGCCTGACTTTACCTAGGACTTCGCATACCTAATTATTTTTCATATACAGTATATGTTTGTAATATATATTTACCTGCGAATGAGCAATAACACGAATAACTTTGCAATAACGGATCATCTTCTTAAAGTCATTTTCAATGCTTTTCTTTCCAAAATTATCACTCCACTTTTTGTTAGCTTTAGTAAAAGCCTTCTTCTTACTCTTATACCTAGTTTGTTATGGTATAAAGTAAAATTTGTTAGAACATTAAATGTTTAATTTGTTTCATTCGAATCCTTGATTGAACGAATTGATTGATTTTTCTTTTTATTCCTAAAATAAGAAAACACGAGGGAAACCTCATCATTTTTTATACAAAAATGAGCGGAGATTTACACCTCGTCAACGTGCTAACCAGATGAATATTAAAAATTATATCCATAGCTCACACGAAACTTTTTAAAAGCTCTCTCATTAAGATCGAAGAGCTGTATTTTTTCATTAATAAAAAATTTTTTTTTAAATTGAACAATTACATGCTTTGATAAAGAACTTCAGAAGGAAGGCAGCATGTGATGGTAAAATTAATTATCGATCATTATCAATCTGTTACCATCATATCATCATTTTAGTCTTTTATAAACTCTTTGGTAAAGCATGCGTTTAGATCAAGGTACAAATTTAACAACATATTTAATTCTTACCAATTCTTGTAAAAACGACGACGACATTCTTCTGATAAATGTTGAGCCCATACATTAACCAAAGCACGCATTCCAAAAGGTGTTTCAATATAACCAACAGCACCAACCATAATCATTGGTGGAGTTTCCAAAACAGTTACAGCTTCAACAACTTCCTTTTTATTGATTTCTAAAATATACAAAATTTTATTGTAATATTTGTCTATTTAAAATAATAGCACTATATATTTTAGTTTTTTCTAAATCAGTCCGCCCTAGTCTAGAATCATTATTTTTCATTACGTTCTAACCATAAATATAATCGGGTTATCATCACTTTACTAATTCATATATTATATAAGTTTTTCCCATACTTACTTGAGCCGGGCCTATTTGCTTCTCTTACGATATGAGTCATTCCAGCTTTATAACCAATAAAACATGTTAAATGTACTGGTTTTTTAGGGTCATCTTTTGGAAATGCCTTAACTTTACCACGATGCCTTTGAGCACGCTTTTTCGGATAGAATGCCATAGACCCATGACGGGGTGCTGAAAATTTACGATGAGACTGCGAAGAAACGAAAATAAAAACTATTTATCAAAATCATTATTTCAATTTACATATTTTATTTAATAAATTTCAAATTTGAAATCAGTCCGCCCTAAAATTAAATCAATGAATTCATCTTTGAAATATGTACACGTTAAGGAAATCATCATCAAATATTTTTTTTATTTCTCATTTACAAAGAATAATTTTTTCACTTTAGTATGATTAAAGATTGCAATCGCAAATCGAAATTCTAATTTATTTAGCAATTAAATTAATTAATTTTGTTAAGCTTAAAAATTCCTTACCATTTTAGAACTTGCCTCCTTGGACGACGAGTGTAAAAAGACTTTCAATACACGCTATTCCTAAATTTACACCTCTTGTTCGACTCTCGTTTTTATATTTTCTTTGCTCACATTTGATATTTCCTGTTCCTGTTAAATGAATAAACGGAAGCACCGGAATATATATCATTTGTGCTGCCATATTCTTCAACTTGTAGAAGCACAAAAAATTTTACAAATAAAAATCAAACTTTCAACCTTCAAATTTTTGGTCAGCTAGTCTTACTAGTCCAATCAATGTTTTGAAAGTGGCTAAATTTTCAGCGAATTGAAGATGTTGAGTGGAGTGTGGGTGCTTGTGAATGTTATGTTAGTGATTCTTCTATTCAGCGTTCCCACTTGGATGCAATTGTATCCATTTGAATAGATTTTTGCTTTAAATTTAGTGTAGATACAAAGATACTCAAATCTATTAATTTACCGGAATTGGCTACATTTAAAAATTTTTCCGAAATATGAATACATTTTTTTTTCAAACACTAAATAAATATTACAAAACTTTCAAAGTGTTGCTAATATTAAATCGTCAAATTGCTTTTTCTTCAAAAAATGTTAGTTGATGCCCAAACAGATTTCCAAATTTTTTAGAAGAAGATAAGAGAGATACTATATTAAATTGGTGTCACCCCTCTTGTGTATAAATCTAGAACTTTTAAACAAGAACACTCCTGAAAAGTGTTGGTGTAAGCTAAGTGTAGTAAGAACTGCGTTAGCTGCACATATTTTTTAAAATTTTCATGGTAAATTGTCTTTACCGCAGCTACAGAACGTATACTTTCTGACCTTACCTTTTACAATTAAAATGCAATAGAAGTTGTACGTGATTTTTTAAATAACTATAAATAATAAAACTCACATTGCTAAATAAAGAAAATTAATATTAATTAAAAGTTAATTTGTACAAAATAAGAAGACTTAGTATTTATTCTACTTTACGAGGCTGGATACATTTTGGATCCATTTTTTTCTCGAAATTGGATATTTTATTTTTACCGAGTGGGAACACTGGTTCTACTATACTTTGAAAATTTATGTCAAAATGCTTTAACGAAAAGCTTTTTGCTTTGCATATCTACATATTATATATGATTTGTTTGCATTCCAAATATTGAATAAATTAAGGTGTCGGCATACGACAAAAATTATACCAATTAAATTTTAGCATTAAAATTAATATGAAATATTTTTTTTTATTTAATTAACATTTAAACAAAAAAAAAAGCCAAACGTTTAAATAAAAAATTGTTTTGCCAAAAAAATTAAAATTTTGTTTTACCCATATACCGAAAAAGTTCGCTTCATTTACAAACTAAGCATACGAGTATAAGCTTATGAGAATTTTGAACTTGTAAATGGAACGCAAATAACTTAAATGAAAATTACGTTGTAGATAGATTAGAAGCTATTAATTTGATTAGCAATTTTTAGAAGAACCACTTTCGTACGATTAAAGGGATCTCAAATATTATGACAAACTGAGAAGGCATGAATTCTTTAAATCTAATGTAATTAATACATATAAAAAATTTGTGCAGCACTATAAAGATTTAATAAATATTTTTTGTTTTATTTATTCGAAGCATTTCATGGTTTTTTTGATAACTATGACGAGAATTTTATAAAAACAATTAAAATTTAAATATCTCAAATATTTTTCCCTAATTTCAAATTGTAATTTGTTATTCTTTTTATTATTCCGAAATATCTGATTCTAGCCATATCAATGACGATCTGACGTATGACTTGAACCATAAATGCTGTGTAAGCCTTGAGTTAACATACTCAAATTGTGAAAGACGCCGGTGTAAACAAACACAGGGACAGATGTAGGTATCGTTATATCATACATATGTATGCTACATAAATACGTTATGTATGATAAGCAAGAATTAATAGATAATTAACACAAGTTTAACATTAATACGGAATAATTAAAACATATTTTTATAATTATTAATTTTGTTGGGTATTTCGGATTTGGATATTAAAATAGTAAAATTTAGAAGTACAATTTTAAAAGCTTACATATAATCGAATATAATATAATGGCAACCTTTGAAGAAGTTAAAAACATTAGAGATGAACCAGAGAAATTATTAATTGATGTCCGAAATCAATCAGAAATCCAAGAAACAGGAAGTATACCTGGTAGCATAAATATTCCATGTAAGTTGAAGGTATATATAACATGCATTTAGTTTACTATGCATTACTAATTATTTTGGCTAGTTAGTGAGATATAAAACCAGATGTTAGTACTCTTAACAAATGAAAATTATATTAATTTGTATGTATGTATACGTATGCACGTGATTTTCTTATACTGGCACTTAACTATTATAATCTACTTAATCTATAGTATGTTATTTGTAGATCGTTATGTACACTTTTCGTTATGTAGATATAAGTACACTTTTCTACATATGATGTTCTTGACCTTTTCATGTACATATGGTTACTTGTATGGATACAAGCACATGTATTCATGTAGCTTTCTTAGTTTGGTTGCTTTATGTAGGTACCTAGTCACATGTATGTTTAATCAAGATCTATTCATAATTAATTTTTCAATCTTAGTTACGTACCTGTATTGAGTTACATATGAGAAATTAATTTCCTACGTACGTGTGCACATATTACATATTTGCCAACTCAACTTTGTTCATGTTCTACTGTAAATTGTTTTCGGATCTTTTAATTTATCTCAAAATTAGCACGTAATGAATCACATTTTTATGCATAATTTTCAGTGCCTGAGTTAGAATCGGCTTTAAAATTAAGCGCTAATGAGTTCAAAGATAAATACGATTTGGAAAAACCTGAAGGAAGTAAAACTTTAATATTTAGCTGCAGATCAGGAGCTAGAGCACAAAAAGCAGCAGATCTTGCGAAATCTCTGGGATTTGAAAAGTAAATACAATTTACTTATTACATTTTATAAAATTAATTACATTTAACTAAATAAATGTTTTGCAGTTCTAAATCTTACAAAGGATCTTGGACTGAATGGGCTGAAAAACATGGATTGTGAAAGGATCTTGGACTGAATGGGCTGAAAAACATGGATTGTGATTTATTCGTTAATTACGTTTTGCAGCTGTTCATTTAAATCTTATTTATAATGAATTGTTAAAATCATTTATGATGTTTTAAAATATATTTGTAAAATCAGTAAATATAGAGTATATGTACAATTTTTGATAATTTTCAAATTAATACAATTTAGCTGTATATAATTATTCATTAAAAATTAAATGAAATTTATCGTTTGATTTACTTATTTTAAAAATTTAAATCAGACATTTCGCCCCATGAAGGTCCAGCTTTTATTTTAACTTTTAGTGGTACGCTTAGTTTTACACAATTTTCCATAGTAGCTTTGAGAACTTTTGCTACATTGCGTACTTTCTCTTCTGGCACTTCATAAATCAGTTCATCATGTAGGTGCAAGACCAAATCTACATGGCTTTGTACGTTATCCGAAAGGTTTACACCTAGCTTAGATTTATATTTTATGATATTTTTCTCCATTCTTAGCATGGCACTTTTGGCAATATCAGCAGCTGATCCTTGTATTGTTGAATTAATTGACTGCCTTTCAGCTTGACCTGAAAGTAATACAACAAATAAAATATATGTTGGAGTTAATAGAACTTTTAATAAAATTTTACTTTTTAGCATGTTCTCATTACTGTTGATATTTTTTAAATATCTTCTTCGCCCCGTTATTGTTTCTATGTAACCACATTGTCTAGCAAATTTTATGACTTTGTTAATGTACGCTCTAATAAAAATACATAAAATAAATTCGAAATTAAAAATACTATTATAAGTGTTTCAAATTTCACCTTATGCCTGGAAATGTTGTATGAAATTGTTCCAACATTGTGGAAGCTTCCTCCTCAGTGCATTTCAAATTTTCTGAAAGAGCCTTGATACCTAATCCGTAAACAATACCATAACAAATTTGCTTTGTTCCATTGCGCAGTTGATCAGAAATTGTTTTTTCTTCTACTGAATTCCATTTCGCGGCGATAATTGTAAAAATATCCTGACCGGAATTGATTGCACTTTTCAAACATTCATCTTGGCATAAGTGAGCTAAAATTCTCATCTCGAGCTGACAAAAATCTGCAGATAACAAAACACGACCGGGTTGGCACAAGAAAACTGAGCGGCATGAAATTTTTATAATTTTATCTGATATAAATAAAAATTTAATTAATTTATTGTATAAGTTCATAGCATTCATATTACCATCAAGTGTAATTTCAAAATCCTTTGCAATATTTTGTACATTAGGTTCACGCATAGAAATTCTTCCTGTACTTGAAGTCGTTATACTGCTTCCATAAATTCTGATACAGAACTTGCTTTAGTATAGCATAACAGTTATAAATTATTATTAGCTTACCGGTTATTTTGAATAACTCTTTGTAATGGCTGAATATTTTTTGTAAGAATTGTTGAAACTTTTCTATAATTTAAAATCAGATTAGACAGAGGGGAATCCATTTTCTCTAAAATTTGTTTAGAAGTACTACATTTTCCGTTAATTTTCTTATGAAGACCTAGAACCTTATTAATAAAAATACCAAAAAATATAAATAAAATAAAAAAAAATGCAACAAAAAATAATATTGTACTTTTGCAACAGTTAAGCTAGATCCTAAATTAAACCTAGATCCATGTAAAAGATAAATTTTATTTTCCAAATTTTTCATTGTACTAAAAAGTTGATTAGTAAGCTGTTGAATTCTGCTAAAATTTATCGAGAATCCAATCACTTCACTGCAAGCTAAAACTCTTTGAATAGGCATTTCTAATTCTTAAAATATATGTTAAATACATCAAGTACTTAAAGTCGGCAAGGACAAAATCTAGTGTAATACCATAAAAAAATTTCATCATTTGGCCATCAGCAAAAGTTTGTAAGTTTTTCAGTTGTACTTCCAAAATACTTCTAGTGAAAGAAGCCTCATAACTAGAACGTTCTTTTCCCGATATTTTCAAATTATAATTTAATCCCAAACTCAAATATCCTTTATAATTTACGGTATCTTCTAAAAAAGGTAGATATTGCGGCAAATATTCTGATATCTTGAAGAAAAATATATATCTATTAAAATACATAAAATTGAGTTTATCTTCTTTTTACCAATTTATGTATACTCGTGTCTCCATCAGGATCCAGTAACCAATTTGCAATTTTGGGATCTTCAATTATATTAAATGATTTAAAATCTTTTAATATATATTTATATAAAATCTTAATATGCTCTTTCGAATCATATATTCTTAAAGTAATATCTTCCCTACATATTAGTTCCTTTAAGAAATTTAGTTTGCTTTGAAACTTGTCGCTGTTTACATTTTTTTCATTTTGAAAATTAATAAACAATGCGCTACAATTTTCATAGGATATTGATATTCCTGAAATAAAATATTTGCCTTCAATTGTAAATATTTCTTTGACTTCCGCTGCATGCTTTTCTGTGTTGTTAATTAAAATATTAGCACCAATAATTACGTTATCATTTTTCCTAGTCGGAAGTTTTTCTATTCCTATCGAAAACCCAATTTTCTTAGATTCGAAAATTTTTTGTAAATAATCTTTTTGTGAATTTACATCATGTGGCAAATCAATAATAGAAATTACTTCTTTATACTTCGCGTGTTCTTTGACTTCCCCATTTTGTAAATTGTTTAGTAAATTTGGATCTCTTATGATTGATACATTTGAAATATCAGAAATTTCATCAGACGATTTGTTTACAACATTTTTCTGAGTGAGAGATTTAGAAATGTCGATCAAGCCCAGATTTCTTGATTTGACTTGAGGAAGTATATTCTCTCTGTATAAAATATATGTATAAATTAATTTAGGTATTTGTATTTATTGTTCATTAATTTGAAATAAAAACTATTACCTAATCAAATTTTTTGGGCTAACTAATGTAGTACTTAAGATTTGAAGCATATTCTCATTTTCCTTTAAATTTCTTGTTCCTGGTTTATTTTTTAAGTCTGAATTCATACACTTGGGGGACAAATTTTCTGAAATTGCTTCTGAAATGTCGTTTTCAATTTCATTTTCAAAATTTTTATTAACTTTAATTATTTCTTTGTTTGTAGATCCATCGAAATTTCCAATATTGTCCCAATTACAGGCAACTCCTATTTCATATTGTAAAAATTTTCTTGCACTTTTTATGAGCAATTCAGCAGCGTCCTTAATAGTTAAATTTGTTTTACCAGTGACAAAAACTTTTCGTTCGTAGATTCGTTTTTGCGCTTCATTTTCATTCTCACCGTCTTGTCTTTTGCTTGATTCAAAACTCAAACAATCATGAAGAATTTTTTCAATTACCAAACTATTAGAATTGGCCAAATCTATTAAAGTTTCAATACCAGCATTAAAAAGAGCGCGTGCTTTGTGGCCATTCAAATCTGGTAATTTCATTAAATCAATTAAATCACGATGAACCCCAAAATAAAGCCGTTCCTTGAACTGAGATACAATTAAACCCAGAATTTTCCAATTTAGTGCATTACAAAATGATGTCACAATACTTGCAAAAGTCGACGACATTTGTTGTAGGCTTTGTAACAAGCCGCGATTACATTTATATTTATTGGCTACACAACCAATCGGAACTTCATTGACAAGTTCTTGTAACGCTAAGGCTATATAAAATCTGCAAAATAGTTTACAAGTATTTATACTTTCCATTATTTAACTAATATCATACCTTTTGTGAATTTGAAGTAGCTTAAGGTCAAGTTTGTTTTGATTCCGCATAGCTCGCACCAAAAAGGATTCTTTTACTCCAACAATTTCAGCAACTTTTTTCATTCCTTGAGGCAGTTGCTCCCATATATCCAAATAATGCAACCAATCTATACTTTGTAATTGATAACATACGGAATATGGAGTTACCAAGTAAACGGCATGCAACTCAGATTCTAAAACAAAACACTTTCTTGATCTTTGTAATTCGGAAAAAAGTATGATTCCGTCAGTGGGTGGGAGAGAAGAAACTAAAATTAGATCATTATAAAATTCATTATCATAATTAAATATGAAAATATTTCCCACCTAAACAAGCCATTCCCAAACGACTAGGTACAAAATAAATATTCTCCGTCCCAGACTCATTTTGTGTGCGTATAAATTCAAATTCGGTCAAGAATTGGATAGAATCTTGAAGATAATCAAAATTTTGTTTTGCTTTTCCGCAGTCACCATCTAAAGACTCTTCTTGTTTTGTAACGTTAAATAACATACAATTTAAAAATGCTTGTAGATCTGAAGGAGTTTTTGCAGTGCCTGATGATATAACTTCCAAGATAGCTCTTTTTAAATGCAACTGAAAAACAAAGAGTATTGTGCTTAAAATTATATTTTATTATCATATAGAACTTACGCCACTATCGTAACCTAAACATGACGATATTGGTCTTAAATGGGGCTGTAAAAGTTCTTTCCCAAATTTAAAATTGTTTTCGTTGCAAATCAAAATCGACTCTCCCAAAGTATCCTATAAAATTATGTTTTGTTTTTTATTCTTTATTATATCAATATTAAAGTTTATTAAATTTGCCAAGATATCATAATAAATTTATATTTAAATTAAAATGTATTTTGTTTTACTAAATTAGCATAAAAGCTAAAATATTTTCCTCTTACTTTCCCCGTCCGTCCTGCTCTTCCAATCATTTGTTTATAAGTTAAGCGATCCATTAGTTTTCCAGCAAATAAAGGAGATCTTATGATTACTCTTCTTGCTGGTAAATTAACACCTGCGAATAAATTTTGTATTGTAAAATCAGTAAATATACATATTTATACATATTTATCTCAAATACCTGAGCTAAGGGTACTTGTTGCAACTATTATTTTTAAAAAACCATTTTTAAAATTGGTTTCAACAACATCACGTTCTTCTGTAGTTAAACCAGCATGGTGAAATGCACAACCGTATTCACACGTCATTTCTAAAAACTTATCACAGCCGTAATGTAAAGATTTTAGTTGCTCATTAACTTTTACTAAATTATTTTTGACTATAACTTTTTGTAGGTTTAATCCAAGTTCGGTATTTGAATTGTATATTTCCTTTATTGTTTTAGACAAATTTTTCGATAAATTTTCACACCAATCTAGAAAGCAATGCAAAGATTTTTCTTCAAAGCTATTAAATAACTGTAAGAAATGTTTTTAATACTTTACCCTTAGATGGACAAAATATGATGACTGAACAACCCTCTAATAAAGTTTCCAAACATAAAAAAGCAATTCCATCTTGATCATTTGGTATTTCGGGAATTGATAAAGATGCATGATCAATAACCCTAATTAATTCCAGTTTATTGTCATAAATTTTTGTATCAACCTTTATCATTTCTCTTAACTCTACAGGTCTAAAATTTGTTACATATAATTCCGCATTCAACCAATCTTTCAAAATTTCGCAATTGGGTAACGTGGCTGACATTGTAACAATTTGTATTGTAATATTTAACTTCATCGACATATATAAGATCTTTGCAAGTAACAACTCCAGAATATAACCTCTTCCTGGATCTGATATAAGATGTATTTCATCAATTATAATACAACCAATACTCGCTAGTTTTCCTAGTTCTAGTAGTCGATTAACTATTGAATTAGCTTTTTCAATAGTACAAACCGCCAGATTAATAGAATCAAATCCACCCGGAGGTGAATAGCCGCCAAAAAACCCCTCCACTCTGTATCCAGATGAGCATAAAAGATCCTAAAATTTAAATTATTTGAATTTTTTTAAAAACTAACTATGAAATTTTTTACTTGCAAATAAAATGTTTTTTCTCGAACAACTGACACAAAAGGAAGTATGAATATTACTTTTTTATTTCTTTCTACTATATTTTTTATTGCTATTATTTCGCAAACCAACGTTTTCCCAGCAGATGTTGGAGCACTGTATACAAGGTTTCCATTTTCAAAAAGTATCTGTGAAAAATCATACAAGAGATGCTTCATATTGTTTTGTAATAATTAAAATATGTATTATGAGTAAATAACCTAATAGCTATTGAGCTTACTTTTGGGTTGTTTAAACACTCAACTTGCCAGTCAAATAACGTCTTTATTCCTTTCCTGGAATATTCCTCAAGAATAGTTGCCGGTAAATTCCAGCTTGAAATGTCTTTAAGTTTAGAGTTTTCATTTGTTGTTTTATCCAAACTGAGTTTTTGCACTTCTTTTTTAGAATTGTCGAATAGTGGACTTTCTTGTAAAATATGTAATTTTTTTGATTCCAGAACTATATTTGTACTTGTTTGCAGTTTTGAAACTACATCGTTTTCCTTAACAATTTCATATTTGTTATTCCCCTCTTTTGCTATTGGATTATCATCTTCACTACTCTCAGAACTAATGGACATTTGCAGCAATGGTTTTTCAGATGTGCTTAGGTTTTCAAATTTTGAAGTTAAATTCATAAAAATTTGCTGCTCATTTTCTCCATCCATAATACTTAAATCATTTTTTCCATTTTCTAGTTCCTTATTCAACATCTTGATAGATTCTTCCGACTTTGTTTTTACAAACACAAAGCTAGGATTTTGTGTAGAATGCAAAATTTCGCAATCTGGACTTTCATCCACAAGAACGCTGAGATCAATAACTTCCTTATCTATATTATTTTCAAACGAGTCTAAAAAAATATCCAGATCTTCAACATCCATATTTTGTTTTATTGGACTAGTTTTTTCTACATTTGTTTTTAAACTTTCATTCGTGGAACACCTTTCTTCATTTTGTGATGCAATATTACACAATCTTTCTTTTTGGGAAACAATTTCGCCATTATTTTGATCGACATTTTCTTGAAAACTAATATTACTTTTAAAAAAATCTGAATAACTCTCTGAATCAACAATCAATATAGTTTTTTTGTCTATATCTTTTTTGCTTAAATTTGTTCTTCCCGGCTTACGTCTCTTTACTTTATTTACCTTGCTAGTTGGAGATTTATTTACTATTTCTAAAATTCCTTCATTCATAAAATCTGCATCTTCCTCTATAATTTGCAAGGTGCTGTTACCAATTTCAAATGATTCTGAAAATGCCATGAAAATATCAACATCAAAACTTAATATATTGCTTAAATTTAAAATCATAAATCCACAGATAAATTCAAAAATTAAATTGAACTAATTGATTGCCGCTAGGCGCTAAGATCGCAATAAGTGATATACATAAATATGAAAATAGGCAAGTAGGAAATTTAAGGTAACTACCAATGTCTCCGTTTACAATAATGGCTATTAAAGTAACGACATGATTTTAACAAACCAGGGACTTCCTTTATTTCTGTTAATTTTCTGAACGAGAATTTTCTGGTTTTGAAAATATCCAACTTGTTGAAGAAACATTTCACACTAAATTCGTGACAGAAATTCCGCTCTCCATGTGTTTATCAATGTACTGACCGGAGATTTTGGAATAAAATATGTTTACACACATTTTAATTTCATCTACATTTTATTCCATATAGTAAGAATTTGAATATAATAAAAATGCTGGGCTGAACGTTAAGAGCAGCTTTTAGTTTTATTGAAAAGTGTCAAATTTATAATTCTTGTTTTTATAAAAGCTATAATGGGTCCTGTATTTCAAAAATTCCGCAAATCATTAACTTTTCCTTAATCTTAACCTCAGAAGAAAACATCAACGATTTTATATAACAGAGCATGGTATAATTTTATTTATGTAATAATAAAAACCGTTTTTTTTTTAATTTACATCAAATGTATTTTGTTGTCAAAGTTGTATTTCTACTTATTTCAGTTTTCTATTGAAAAATTTAATTCAGTTTCCTATTAATAAAGTAGTATTTACAACAATAAATTAGTATTTATAAAGTAGTACAACATAAATTAGTATTAATAAAGTAGTACAACAATAAATTAGAGAATAGAATACTCCGCGTGTAAACGCTTAATTCTCTATTTTTAACAAACGTATGACATTCCATAAGAGATTTTGAAACGTTTTGAAATTTGACAAATTTTATGTTCGGTTTGCATAAAATTATTTTGTAATTCGGTTTGCATAAATAAAAAAATCGAAAAAACCAGGTTATATCTAAAACAAAATTACTTACACATAAACTTTTTTTATATAAATGTACATATTTTGTTTTAATATTTCTAAATAATAAAAAAGTAAAAAAGATTATCAATTCAAAATTCGAGTTTATTATTAAAAAATGTCAATTAAATCCGTGATAAATAAAAAAATTTGGTCTATATTCATAAGAAGATGCCATACACAAAAAGAAATTCGCGTTAGATTTGCACCTAGTCCAACAGGTATTGTAAGAAAATACTATTTTTATAATCAAGTAATAAAAACAAAGTGTAAGATAGGTTTAACTTTTCAGGATATTTACATCTTGGTGGGTTGAGAACTGCTTTTTACAATTTCTTATTTGCAAAAAAACATAATGGTAAATTTATTCTCAGAATTGAAGATACTGATCAAAGTAGGCTAGTCAAGGATGCTACTGAAAAATTGGTAGACGATTTACAATGGTGTGGACTTAAAATAGACGAAGGTCCCTTTTTTAGTAGCAAATATGGACCTTATAAACAAAGCGAACGATTAAGCCTGTATCGAAAGGAAGTGAAAAAATTATTAGAAAATGGGAATGCATATTATTGTTTCTGTTCTGAAAAACGATTAGAACTATTACGAAAAGATGCAATACGTAGTAGGCAAATCGCTAAATATGATAATAAATGCCGTCATTTAACTCCAGTCGAAATAGCAGAAAAATTAACTAAAAGTAATCAGTTTTGCATCAGATTTAAATTACATGCGGATATAAAATCGTTCAAAGATATAATATATGGAGATATTTTTTACGATGTGACACAAAATGAAGGAGATCCTATTATTATAAAATCAGACGGATTTCCCACTTACCATTTCGCAAATGTAGTTGACGACCATCATATGAAAATCTCTCATGTTTTTCGTGGAGTAGAATGGCAAATTTCGACTACAAAACATCTTCAGCTTTATAAGTACCTTCACTAAATCAGTATAAACTGAATTATATTACTATCGTAATTATATATTTTTATAGAGCATTTAATTGGGAACCACCACAATTTGGTCATTTACCTCTGCTGATTAATTCAGATGGAACAAAATTAAGTAAACGACAGGGAGATATTAGAATTAGTCAATATCGGTAAATGAAGCGATAAATCAAGTTGAAAATATTTATTTTTTAGTTGATTTTTAGCGAAAACGGTATATTACCTATGGCATTAATTAATTATATTTGTGCAGCTGGTGGTGGTTTTAAAAGAGTCCAGGGAATAAGTCCGTGTTTATATACTTTTGAGGAATTAACTAAACAGGTAGTGAAATTAAATACATTTTATTAATTCCAAAACTCATATACTGAATCAGTTTGAAATTAAAAACGTAAATTCACATCCAAGTAAATTGAACCCAACTTTATTGGAAGATTATAATCGTCTTGAAATTATTCGTTTGATGGAAGATCCTGCAACAAAAAATGAACTTGTAAGTGATGTGCGAGAAATCATTTTACAGAAGTATCCTAATATGTAGGCTTTATAAATTCATTTATAGTCAGAATAATTTTTAATAATTTATTTCATAGAAAAAATAGTTTGGAAGTTGATCGACAACACATTGAAAAAGTTTTAAATTGGTGCTCCAATCGTATATTTAGGTTACACGATTTAGTTAAAGATGATTTAGCCTTTCTTTGGATAAAACCACATGGGGAAGTAGAGATTGATTTCAGTCAGGGTAAATTTTAAGATGAATCACTTGTAAAAGTTAATATACACAAATCTATTTCTCTCCATATTTCAGACAAATTGGAAGATCTCATTTTTAAATTGGAAGATGTACAATTTAAAAAAGAAGAAATTTATCAAACCCTAAAAGCTTTTTCAAAAGAAAATGACATTAAATTTTCCAAGATGATGAGAACACTGCGATCCACTTTAACTGGTTTAAGTGTAAATTTACTCTTAATTCTATCCAAAATTAAAAATTAATATATTGAAATTTTTAGGATGGACCTGGAGTAGCCGAAATGATGGAAATATTAGGAAAAGAAACATCAATTAAACGGCTGACTCGCCTGAAAACTGTAAATACTAAATAAATTACCTAGTACTTTATTCTTTTAATGTTTTAAATAAGGTGAAGAGTATCCTAAAAAATTAGAAATTAAAATTAAAAAGATCATTTTTTATTAACATTTTCCTTGTTGAATTTGTTTTTTTTTTTCAGAAATCATATTTCAATCTAGTCATTTAAAAATTGCAAACTAAAACTTACTTGTATTTTTTTAATTATAATTTTAATGATTTTAATTATATGTATATCTAAATTAAATTTAATGAAGTAAAACTATAGCATTTTCTCAAAGAAAATTAACATTACCAAGGTCTTCCTCTAAAATTTCCTCTTTGGAAACCTAACGTTGTTCCGCCTCTTTGTTGGATAGGATTTCCTCTTTGGCCACTTCCACCTCTATTGAAATAAAACGGGGAACCTCTATGAGACTTCATAATTGAATTTGCTGGACTGTTATAAAATTTGTTTTGAAAGCTCTGAGACCTTGGACCACCAGGAATATTTCCACGATATCTTGGTGAATTAAATCTTTGTTTGGGAATCATATTGTGTTGAGGGGGTGGGTGATTCATTCGAATAGATGGATTCATTTGATGTTGTTTCCAATTGTTATCCCACAAACAATTATTTGCCTCAGTTTGATCTAGTTGACTTTGGATATCATTTTGGCAGTCTACATCGCCGTACTGCATTTGAAAATCTATTTGCTCATCATTAGATTCAATTGGGATGTCGCATAAATTTGAAATATTGTTTTGGTGTTCTTTCTTGGAAATATTTTGCTTGTCCACATCTTTAATGTAATTTTCAATATCATCGTCGGAAACATCCATATCAACACTTTCAGTATTGTCTTTTTGAATATTAATTGTTATGTCGTTGTTACCTCCTCTATTCTCATCACATTTTCCTCCAACACTCGTTGGAGGAGAAATCAAAAACCCTTGTTCATTATTTGCTTGAGACAATGACGTTATAGGAAGTTCCGATTCAGCACAAGTTTGCTCAATTTCAATTAAGGATGTTGGTGGCTTTAATGGCATGATATTTCCTTCAGAATTTTTGATTGAATTGTTAAAACCTTGTGTACGATAATCAACGTCTTTTTGTTGGAATAAATCGTCAGCATCGTTAAGAAATGAATTAGCAAATTCTTCTGCTTTTGAATTGCTAAGTCCCGGTGATCCTGTAAGTGATATTAGATTTCGGTGATCAACATCTATGAGCCTATTTTTGTCCTTTATTATAGACAAATTTCTGTTGTCAATATCTTCGGAAAATAAAGCCATGTTATCTAATTCTTCATCATATTCCACCACTCTTAAATTGTTTCCTTCCTTTTCAAAATGAGGAGGTGAAACCGGTGTATCAATAATATTGTTAAAAGTATTGTTACTAGTATTCCAAGATGAATTCCAATCCACCGGAAATTCTAATGAGTGATCGTTCAGCATTGGCGGAATCGGCGGAGGAGGTATCAATGTCGACTTTGGTAGAATTGATGAAGATTGTTGTGTCACATTAAGCGCAAAGGGTGCCGGTGCATTAAAGGTGTTCACGGGTTGATTATAATCATTTGAGTATAACTTTGAAATTGGAGAGCTAAATGTATTGAGTTCGTAGTCAATCCTTTGGGTTTTTTCTTCTTTTCTCGTACTAATAACCTCGATTGCCTGTGCATTTAAATCTAACTGGGATATAATCTGTTTATTTGTACTACTTTCACTTTTAAAATCATTAATGTCGAAAGGTAAATTGCCATCCATATAACTAACATAACTTGTTGATCCACCGGCACTTAAGAGGTTTAAATTTAACGTGTTGTCATCATCAGGTAAGGCAATGTCGGCATCAGGCTCTGGACTTGGAGCGTTGATATCGGGGGACACAATAGGACTAGGTAAATTCGGCATAACATCATCTAATTTTTTTTTAACTGATTTTATTCTTAAACCAAAATTTTTGTAGGCATTGACTACAACTTTTACTTCCTCGCGTTGATTTCCATAAAAATCCTTCGCTTCTTCAATACTTCGTAATAAACAATTTCGAGATTTGATTTCAGTTTTCAAACTTTTAATATACGCTTCAAGCGCTATAACATATTGTTCTATATCTTTTTCTATATCTTCAGAATGACTTTTGTCTTTAATCATATTACTTTTTATGGAATCCAAATAGGATTTATTTGAGCGTGGCAGTTTTTTAAATGTTCTATCAGTTTCCGCACCATATTTAACACAGTCATTTACTCTTTTAATCAATGTGGAGCTTTGAAAATCATTATTTATATCAATTTTATTGCTGCTACTTTTATTGTTGTCGTGCTGATGAGATTGTGAATGAATGCGTGTTTGATTGTTTTGACTGTGACTGCTACTACTATGTTTTTTGATATTTAATAAACCTTTTAGATCGCTCAAATATTCTTCAGAATAAATATCTCTTTGGAGCCAAATATTAAATATTCTACAAATTTTATCCCGAACCTTCTCATCACGAACCATTGTTGTTGCCTTTTGCAAAGCTGTTACCCAACTATCAACAAATTCGTAATGTTTTCTTTTACTGTTTTGAATAACATCATTCGCTAAATAAAAAAGGATCAGTCTATGCTCCACTCGAACTTGTTTAAAAACATTTAACCAGCAACTAACTATTTTTTTGTGATGAATTCTCCGTTGTAAACACCACGAAGACATTTGTTGGATTCCATCTTGGGTGTCTTTCAATGTTGTCAGTTTTTTTTCGAATGCTTCGGCATCAAATTCTGAATCCATAATTCTTTATAACTTCTTAACAATTTTTTTATTTATTGTAAAGTACAACTAAAAAACTATAAATTTATTGTTTTTCCCGCTTTATTAATGTTTACTTTTATCTCACATTTAAATAAAATTCTAAAATTTCCAAAATAATTTTACATTTATGTTTATGCGCAAGTTTCTCTAATAAATGTCATTCTAAAATGTCAAGAAAGAATGTCTATTATTAGGTTTTGACAGGGTTGTGTTTTAGCGAAATTGAATAAAGATGGCAAATATTAAAACTTATTTTGGAACACAAATATTATGGAATTTTTCGCTACGTTTGAAATTTTAAATATTATGTGCATTTTATTAAATTTATATTGAAAAAAAAACTGAAAATGTAATTCTTATTTTACTTAGGTAAATTATCAAATTTAAATCATTATCTTGAAATCATTAATTTATTAATCTTTTTGCATATTATTAAGGTACTATATTATATTTATAGATCATTATTTCAAACTTAAATTATCACATTTTTGATACCTTTAAATACAAAAATAAGTTGAAAATATGTATGCATGAATATGTAAAATTTATATATATAATATTTTTAATACCAAGATTTTTCTTTGATCAGATTTGAAATACTTAAATGCAATTTATTTACAATATAGTTAATTAACATTTAATTACTTATATATAAATATATGCTTTGGGTGAAACAAAAAGTAATAATTAATTCATTTATCCTTTTTTATTTTTCTTATAAAATAATAACAAAAATAATAACTGTTTCCTAAAAATACCATGAATGCACTTGTGCGTTATTTGATGTATAAAAAAAAAACTAATTTCATATAATTAAGTAACATAAAAGTTTTCAGAATTAAAAATACAAAATCAAAAAGTAAAATTAAATTATAGTAAAAATAACATAACTACAAAATATAAGTGATTATGCAAGATACTATAGTACAAAAAATATATACTGATCTGTATACATTGCAATATAATTTAATTTATTAAATGAGAAGACTAAATTTTCGTGAAATTTATTTTTATATTTTCAAGAATAACCACTTTAAAGATTAAATTATTTAAATATACATATTATTTTATGTTTCTATTTATCTATATCTCCACTTCAAATTTTTTTCTTTTTTTGAGTTTTGAAGTATAAAACTTTTAAATATAGTTTTCTTCAATATTTAATAGCTGCAATTTTCTGCTGATGTTTCAAATCAATCATTTTAACTGAAATCGCGATCTGGTAAAATTATTGGAGCTGTTAAACTCCATCCGTAAAGACCAACACACAACCAACTGGATATAATTTTTATCCACATAGATGCTTTATTGGAATTAAAGTTCATTATGTCTGAATTTGGTCTTAAATTAGAAAAAACATTAATAAATTCTTGACTTTTTAGAAATATTCAATATACTTACTGATACCAATTTGTTAAAGTCATCATAACGTATAATGTAGCCGTAACAAAAACAACATGGAATAATGACCAAGAATAGTAAACTGCGTTTTCTTCATTATCCCAAACTTGATGCCTATCACCGCTGGATGGCCGATTTGATTCATCATCAGGCAGTGGCGCTGTTAAGACTGAGTTTATTAAACAAACAAAAAAAAAAAAAAAACAAAAAAACAAAAAAAAAAAAGAAAAATCCCAAACGAGAGCAAAACATTTGTGTAAGTTGTGTTTGTTTTGTCATATCTTTGATAAAAGCTTTTGTTTTTATATCTTTTATGAAAAGAAGAATTTATACGTGAAATGATATGATAACGTACAAAAAATTTTCAAAGTAAAAATTTAATTTTTGTTTAGGTTGATGTTATTTTTAGAAAGAGATAACATATGTAAATATACAATATGTCTATAGCAATACAACTTATGAATCTTACAGCAAATGATGTCTAAGTTTTGGATTTTATTATCAAACTTAATACCTTGCCTTTCAGCATCTGGAATCGTTACTTGAGCTACAGCTGACGCTGAACGTAATGAGCTATACAATACACACAACATCCAAATAATCAGACCTATAATATTTGCTGTATCAAATGTTATTCTTGATTCTGGTACATTTGCAATATAAAATGCACTACATTCCTTGTTATCTAAAATTAACATTTGTTAACGCTTAAATACGTAAAAAACTTATAAAATAAAAACCTGGATTATTTGCAATTGCTGACCAAGTGAGGTATATGGTATAAAGAGTGACCATTGAACTTTGCAAAAGACCAGATCGTGGAAGCTTTTCTTGAACTATCGGTAAAACTGATACTACACTCACTATGACACATAGTATCAAATTGAAGGATATGAAAAATTTATTTAGAGAACAGTTGCTTTCATCGGACTACAATTAAAGTTTTTAATTACCATGTTTTAATAATTGAAGTAAAGTTTAAATTACCTGCGTGAAATAAACAAAAAGTAAACTTATCCCAGCAATTGAAAACGCATACTGCACAAACGTTACTGAAAAAAGTGCACAATACCATGCTCGGGAATCCTCTTCTTCATAATATTCTTTTATTATAAAAAAATAGATAAGATTTAATTGATTAATTTGTTAGACAATATTTTTCTTTTACTTACCAACCCAGGTTTCAGCCCAAGTATGTGCGAAATCTATAATTAATACAAGTTGTACAATTATGAATGCAAATCCGCCAATTAAACCTATCCACATCATCGCAGTACTGAATTCATTATTTGGAATAAAACAAGCTCCAATCATAATACCGATACATATCAAAAATTTCAATCCCCAAAATCCGTTTTGTATTCCAGCTCGAGGATCTCTAGAGCTTTTGACTCCAATCATAATTAGGGCCATTAGTGTAAAGAAACAGGCAAACGCAAAACATATTCGATAAACGGCCATATATCCCAAAGCATAACTACAATCTGTTTTGGGAATAGGATCTGCTTTATTAGCAAAAGAATTCAGCACCGACTGGAACTGACTTTTCTCAGTCTTATTCATGTCTTCACAAAATGGCATCTTTTGTAAAGTTGATTGCAAACCAGGGGAAAGGGCAATTGCACCAAGAATAGCTCCTAACAGAAGCATAAATGCATACATCAAACGAGATGATGTAGAATTCTTGCATGATGGACATGCTTGACAGCAGAGTGAAACTGCAGTTCCTGTGCAGCAACAGGCCATCTAAAATTATTGAAACTTAATTGCTAAAATATAAAAACAAATACACAGTCCTCTTCGTGTTTAAGTAGGTATGTATGATTGTTTATATATAAGTAGACACATTATGTATTGTGCCTGTTTGAAAAAACTTTATAAAAAAAATATTGTTGACATAATTTTTTTTTCATTTTTTAAAATTTTATGCGACTAATTTTATTAAATTGTGAACTTAAATTAATTAAATTAGAAAACCATTTTAAGTAAAAATTGGAGTCGTAATATTAGTCATCATTGTATAAATAATCTAAGAAGCCTTTAATTGCGTCACAAATATTTTTTTTTCAATGCATCCAAAATAATTTTTTAATTTTATTTGTAAATAAACTTTCTCATTTGATATTTTATACTTGCATAAATTTAATAGGTACACATTTTTAAAATATTTTAAAAACAAAGAAATTTTTTCTTCCAAAATTGATAGCTGTATGTAAGTAGGTAGGGAATAAAAGAAACTTCAATAATTTACCTGTGCTGCAGATAACGCTCCCATTACAGCTCCCATTTTATATGAATATTTCAAGACTTATTTTAATACTGATTTTAATTCCAATTTATTTGAAAAAACTGTAAATAAATATAATCGAATTCAAAGAAAATTCGACGGAGACCAATTATTTTTTCGTTTTATCTTTGACAAATAACACTGAACTGTAAAACTGATATGTATTCACATCAGGGTTACCAAAATGCCGAACAAAATATTTGACTATCGCAAAACTAGAAACTACGTCAATTTACGTGTGAATATGGTTTTTTGTTTTATGGGCGAAATTTCAAATATGTATATAATTTTATTTGACTTGTGTGTAAAAATTTTAATTTGAAATTGTTTTCGAGAAGTAAAAAATAAACATCTCCTGACACCAAACGTTTTGGTGGTTTTTTTAACGTCAAAAAATTTTCTAATTTATAGATGAAAAGTTATACAAGAAGGGAGAAATAGGATGTAACAATGCGCGAAGAATATGAATACACAGAGCCCCAATACTTGTGGTTACATAACGACTTTTACATAAATGGTTGACATTACGTTTCATTTCTCTCGGCATTAAAGTTTTTCAAAGTCATTGTATAATTAATCATCCATCATCGCTTACTCGAACAAAATAATAATAGAACGGAATAATTGAAATAAATTTGACTAAAACATTCTAGAGGATAAATTCTGAGAAAATCTTTATGGACTGGGTGAAGAAAATTGAAAGATCTTGGTAAAAAATAAGATGTGTCCATTAACCCCTTTTTTTTGACAAGTTGTATTTGTTTTAACATAAACTTTCACGTTATTAAAAAAGTAAATTTGACGCTATTATTACAGTTTTTTTGTTTTTAATTATTTTAAAACTAGCTTTGAGGCTTATTACGAGTATTTATTAAAATTTATTTATCTTTTTAAACTCATTCTTTAATTCTTGTTTTTGTGAAGGCACCTAATATTTATTAAAACTTAACTTGGTCATTTGTAATTTTTGAAACGATCTTACGTTAAATTTGATTTTGTGAAACCGGCCACGCTTTAAAAAAGTTGTCAAAAACGCAGTCAAAGTGTCAAAAATATAATATAATTTTGTTTTTGTATTTTGTTTGAAAATTTTATTGTTTATTAAATTAATTTATTTTGTGTAGTAAGCTGTTTATTTTTTGTGTACCTTTGCAGTACTGTTTTAGAAATTGTGTTGTTAAGTTTGAGCCGGTCTTGAGCTTGTTTTTATTTTTAATTAAATATAATTGGATAATTATTTCTATTAGTTTAAGTGTTTCGAAAAATTTTGAATTTAATAAACAAAAATATTTTTGTTTCGAATCATAATAATTTAATTAAAATTTTTTGTAAACTTATAACTAAAAATGAGTAGTTTATTTTCTAATATTGAGAAAGGTGCACCTATTGAAGTATTTGCTTTAAATAAGCAATGTGCTGATGATAAGTACGAGCATAAAATAAATCTTAGTGTCGGAGGTAAATATATTTTGAAAGTATCAGGCTATTTTTAAAATATAAAAATTATCACAAAGTTAATTTAGATAAAATTTTGTTTTAAAAATTAATGAAATTATGAATGAAGTACTTTCAAGGTCAAATGAAGGTTATTTGCACAGCCTCGTAGTAAATTTTTTCTTTTTTCATATATTGTGATTGCTATAATGACACACGAATAAAAATAACTTATTAATAAATTAAGGATTATTTAAAAAAAGCAATGAAAATATTTTCTAAATTAATTAGGTTTATTAGAATCAAAATATTTTTATTGTAATAGGATAAAGATGCGATAGTAGGTATCTAAGCGTATGTATTAATGTACATATTTACTTACCATAATTGTACTTTTTAGGGCAGTCTTTCTATTTTGTCTCTGACAATAATTGATCAGGTGGCATTAAATGTGTAAATTTTTATACAAAATTGCGTAATGATATTTTATTTAAAGAATCAATGAAGTTATTCAAAGCTATCTTAAATATGTTTTGAGAATTCAGAAATAAGTAACGTTAAATAAAATATTAAATTGTTGAAATTTAAATAAATATACCGACCCAACTATGACTATACATTTTAGTATTTTATTTGTGATGTTCTATAACATAGGCTGTTTTAATAGTTTGAATTAATATATTATGTGGGTAGGATGGTGTACGTTTACAGATGTAGGTAACTGCATAGGTGGTTAGATATTTATAATATTTTCTACAATAAATATTGATAATATTCTTATTTTTATATAATAATATGCCAATTTAATTTTAATTGCATACCCCTATAAATATGTATTAAGTTCTTGTAGTTGATGCTTGATTCTGATGATTGCGAATCATATGTAATAGTCAAATATATGTAATATGTAAATAGTTTAATGACTTTGGCTTGATATGTACATACATATACATATGTATATGTATCTGCCTATCTATATCTTATAAATGTATTTCTTTTATCAAAATTTGTAGCCTAAATATTGTTTTAAATATTGAGAATTTCAAATTGTTAAAGTTAATCATCTCATTAACAATTCCCCATGTTTTTTATTTTCATATTAAACAACGTAGTTTTTGCATTATTATCTACACAAAATTACATAGTTATTTTTTGTTTTTGTGTTTTTCTTTTTAAAATATTTATTTTCATTGACGTTATAAACATATTTATAACTTTTAAATTGTGCTGTTAGCACAAAAAACATAAACTTATTTGCAAAGTTTTCAGTGTTAAACTACCCTTTTTAATTCTTAACGTCAGCATGATATAGTTTCCAATTTTTTTTTTTTTTTAGATGTTAATTGATTTATTTAAATGATGCTTATTATCAAACAAGAAAAATAAATGAAATAAAAAAATAACTAAATGTTTTTAATATATTATTTTATGTGTGTCAATTATTCGAAGTGAAATGTGAAATTTAATCTGATAAATGCAAAAAAATATATTGTTTTTGTTTACATGTGTTTCAAATTGTTTATCACTTAATTGTTGTTTTGTTATTGCAAAAATTTACATAATGTTAAATACTAATAATATTCAGACGTACATACTTACATGCATAAATTGTTTTAATGTTCTTTGAGACCATAATAAAAATATTTTAAAGAAAGATTTTGGTTTATTTGTGTATAAAGTAAACGACTACTATTCGGACCTAATGCGGCTGAATCAAAATATTTTATAAAAATATTCTTTATAATTAAGTTGATTTTTCGAACTCATAGCGCTTTTGAAATAATTTTAATTTTTAGTTTTTGTTCGATTTTTTCAGATAATCTTGTAATTTTATCTAAAATTTAGCAAAAAATATTTTTCATTGTTTTCCACTAAATTCATATGTATATACATATATGTATACATATGCGTTTAAATTGTATTTTAAGTTTTAGAACAATGATTTAGGTTTATTTTTTCTAATTTCATACCCTTTTTGCTAATTTTTTTTCATTAATTTAAAATAATTAAAAAACTTTTAGATCGAATTAGGGTAACTTATTCTAGGAAAATACCTTAAACGATTCTACAGTTCAAATCCATTATTTTTAATGTCCAGAGACCATTTTCAAATGTTAGAGGTGTAACAAATAGGTCCTTAATGTAAATTTCGAATGTAAAATAGAGTAATATATACAAAACTAATGTCGGTATACAAGGCTAATGTATAAAAAATACATACATACAAGTATACATATACATATCACTGGTAAATTTTTAGACCGGACTTAGGTTTCGATCCGTAAAAATTTTGATTTTTTTTGTTTTTATACAAAAATAATATGCTTGAGTTCTAAAAAAAAATTTAATATTTTCAAAATTCGTCAAAATTTTGACATTTTTTGTTTTCTCACGAATATAATATGCTTGGGTTCGAATCCAAATTTTACCTTTTTTTTTAAAAAAAAATTTAATATTTTCATTTTGAATTGAAAATGAAAAAAGAAAAATTTTATCCTCGTAAATATTTAAAAAATAAAAAATTTTTGAAAAAAATATATGTATACTATAATTTGGTGGTTTATATTAAGAATTTGTTCCTATATATTTTGTGTGAATGTTGTTGAGTTTGTTAGTTGTTGTGTGAATGTGTTATTAGATTAAGTTAAAAGTTTTCAAAACAATTTCTACACTTAAGTTTTTAGGATTGGAGTATGACCGCACAAGCTGTGGCTAGAGGCTGGTAAATTTTTAGACCGGACTTAGGTCTAGATCCGTCAAAATTTGACATTTTTTGTTTTTTATATGAAAATAATATGCTAGAGTTCAAATCCAAATTTTACCATTTTTTAAAAAAGAAATTTTTTTTTTGTGTATTAATATTTTTTCATAAAAAATTAATAAAAAAAATAAAATTAATAAGTCAATATTTATGCGTATATGTTAGAAATTTTGATTATTATATTATTTACATTTTTGATACGAAAATAAAAAAAAAATTTAATGAAAATGGAAAATTTAAAATAAAAAATAAAATAAATTGGGATAGAATTTAATTCAAATTATTTACTAGAATTGCAGTTTGGACCCAAGTTAAAGGTTTTCATAAGAATTTCAAGAAATTCAATTCAAATGAGAAAATTGATTTATATACATGTACATTATATGGGATAGAAGAGAAATTCATTAAAAATATTTAAAAATTTTTTCAGGAAATTTTATTGGGAAAACGTGAAACCAACAATCAATTGGATTTGCTCGCTTTATATTTTTTATGAACGGCATAATTCTATGAATTCAAGTTTTTAATAGAAACATTTAAACAAATTGGACACTAAATGTTAAAGTTTTTGATTGAAATAAGTTTTGAATATTGAATGATTAGAAACAATCGGAAAAAACTTCCATTAAAATAAAAATTCAATTAATTTTTATGATAATCTTGCATATGAACTTGACGTAATTCTTAAGGAAATCAATTTTTTATTGAAAATTTAGTAATTTGCATAATCAATATGCTTTTAGTCGTGTCAAATGATAATTTGAATTGTTTATCAAAAATTTTCAGTTTTTCAAAATAAATGCAGTCTTTAAATCTGATATTAAATATTAAAAATCAAAATAAATTCTTTTAGTAATAATAGCTCATCACCCCAAGTGATGCGACGACTAACAGAATGAGTCGACAAATTTTTTTCAAATTCTCTTCACATCATATTAAATTTTAAGAGAAACTAATTAGTGATTTCTTTCGTATTTAAAAGGTTTCATTTTATTAACAATTTACTCTTCCATTATATGCTGAAAGATATAAGATGAAGAATCATGTAAACGAAACGATTTTGTATAAAATGAATAAATCACAATAATTTTTTCATTCTGCTTTTTTTTCATCTCTATTGCATGAATATAATAAATTATTTTGCATAAATGAAAAATTGTGAGCATCACACTTACATATTGTACATATTTACATACATATACTTATGCTTTATGTATATGGATAAGTGTAGAAACTTTGAATAATAGATGAGAATAAGAACTTTCAAGTTTTGTTAATTTTTCAATTCATAAATACAATAAAACATAGAAAATTATTTTTTTTTCCAACAAATAATTGTAAAATTTCACAAATTTTAAATATCTGATTTTAAATACAATGTATACATAATATAAATGTAGGTGCTTGAAAAAAAAATTCTTTCTATATCTGTGTAATGAATCTAAATAGATATAACATTTTGATTAATACAGTGCTACTTCTATATATCGAGTTCTCTAAATGTTGGAAAAAAAGTCGGTACACATAATATGCCACTCAAATTCATTTAAATGTCTATTATAATATGTTTTAATAAACATTTAAAGGTTCTTTTATTTGAAGAGAAATAAAATAATATTTTTGTTTGAAATGATAAATTAATTATGAAATAAGTAAAATTTTTTTCTTGACACTGACACTAGCTACTATTGACGTTGCTATTAAATTATCAATATTTTTGTTTAACAGTTGAATATTTTTCTAGCCGGCATTTTTTGTTATTTAAAAAAAAATTTATAACATCTTGAAATTAATTAAAAAAATTGATATAAAGTAACGGCTAACTTACATTATACATGTACATAGATACAAAAAGATAAAGAAACGTTGTAGGTATATCAAAATGCCATAAAATAGTTTGAAATAAAGAAAACATCAAGTCAGAGAGATATTCGAATTAGAAACAAAAAAAAAAAATATATGAATAAATGTTTCAAAATGCTTAAAGTAAAAAAAAATAAGCTTAATTTAAGATTACGAGATAGAAAAGTTTTACTGTATTTATATTTTGCGAAAAAAATTTTTTATTCTTATCAAAATTATTATTTATTTTTTTTTAATAATATGATTCAAATACTTATACTGATTCAAGTCAGGTAATTATGTCAATCAAGACTATTTCTCTTATCAGGCTTAATTGAAAGTGCCCCCTTTATATAATTTTTTTGATAAAATAAAAAAAAAAAGTGTTCATTATATTTGCCAACTGAGAGAACATACTAACTGAGGGAGTATACTTTAATATAGTTTAATTTATTATTAAAGTTCTTATCTTGATCAATAAAAAGCAGTTTAAAATTATATATTTTAAGTATGTATTACTGGTGTTATGATAATTTTAATAAAAAAAAAATTGTTTTTTTTTTTTTGCAAATTTTTCAAATCTTATAAGTTTCTCGTATAAAATTAAGGCTTCCATTATTAAAAACTATATAAATATTTTTTGCAGGCAATTTCTTTCTATGATAAGTTCAGGATTTTTTTCTATAAGAATTTTATATTTCTACAAGGTTAATCATAAATCAAAAATGTCAAATTTAAGTCAATTTAAAAGTACTCAATTTTTACTCGTAACACTCTTTTTGTTTTCTATCATGATAAACAGCTCGTTTGCTGCAATTCTGACATAATCAAAATTTGCACATTTGATAAATTTGAATTTGAAAGTGTTAAATTTTATATTTTATTGTAAATAATAATTTTCAAGCTAAGGAAATGTTGTTTTTGCACGAAAAAAAAAGAAATATTTTAAGTGATCTCCGTATAAATAAATCAGAAATCATATTTTTTTACTTTTTTATTCATAGTTACGTTACTGTTGCGCAGCAAATGAACGATACATAAGACATGAAAAAAATATTTAAGAATAATTAATAAAATAGTTCAGCTTAATTGGAAATTTAAAAAAGCACTAGTTGTAAATTATAGCACATAAAAATATTTATAGCTTTGGGGGCTTTTGTTAAAATAATGTGAAAATATTAAAAAAATTGTGGATAACATTCATATTGTAGTGGAGTTTGCATTAATATTTTCAAAACATTTTTGCATAATTATAAGCAATAAACGATTAACTACTAAATATACGTACTAATGAATATACCATATGTGCTAGTATAGTTTCATACATTTGGATTATTTTAAAAGAAATTTACAAAATAATTTTCATTTGATTCGAAATAAGTATACTATGAAACGCAAACAAAAAATAATTTTTATTAAAATCATTGAAAAATTTTATTTTCACTTATTTAACGCGAATACAAGCAATAATTTTTAGAACGATTCAAAAATATGCCACTATTTCAAAGTATAAAAAGATGAAAAATGTTTTTTGCATGTTGCAAAATTAGAAGTAGATACCAAGAATAAATAAAAAATTTAAGCAAGTAGCCGATAAAATTGGCAGTCAACCAAGTGTGTTCGTTGTGGAAGAAAGCAAAAAAAAAATATTTTTTGTAAAAAACTTTTACTTTAATTACATTTCCTCTTTCTTTTTTCATTTAGGGCATTTTATTAAATAAAAGAAAGTATTGTTTTCGAATCGATTTAAAAATATTTGGAAAACGTTCGTAAGGAAAATGTTCTTTTTAAAAATTGCTTTACACTTTTTAAATTAAAAATAAATACAGCTTGTTTTTTTTTTGAATTAATTTTCATGAATATTATATGTTGGTTTTTTTCATGGTTAAAAATTAATCGTATATAAAAAAAATAGAATTTAATCACTTCATAGGGGTCAATTTTAGATTTTTTTAATTTCTTGGTCAAATCTAGCTTCAGTAATTTTATATTTTTTTTTGTTCTTTTATTTTTGTTTTCTTAATTCACTTTCGCATGATTATTTTCGTATACAATTTCATTATAATGTATCTATATATATATATATATATATATATATGTAAATATATATATATAATTTTCAATTAGATTGAAATAGCTAGTTTCAGATAATATTTGACTCTGCTCTTTTCTGTTTGACTCATAAAAATGTTTTTATTAAAAAATTTTTTAAATATCACTCGGAAAATATACACAGTCGGTTGATGATGAAATGTCCACATCAGATTTGTTAAAATTTCCGGTCATTGCACTGATTTCTAAGGTTATTAAATAATGTTGTCGAATTTATTTCTATTGTCGTCCAATAGCAGAGAGTCTTCATCTGATATTAGAATTTCAATGAACTTTAAATATTTCTCTTGAAACTTCGTGAATAAAATTTATTGATGATGAATGGCATTGTCTAATTACTATATTAATTATTTAAAAATAATTGGAAACTTTAATATATTTTTAATATTGCATATTAAAATACATTGAAATATTGTATTAATTTTAAATAGAAAGGGAAAGTTCCGTTATTTATTAGATTAAAGAAACATAAAATTTAAAAATATGAGCAATAGAATTTCTTAATAATATTTTTTATAAATTGTAAAAATGATGCAATATTGAAAATTGATTTCATAGCTTTAATTATTACTACTAAATTTTATTTTATGTTTATTGCTATTTAAATATTATTAAATGGATATTATTGCTTTTTCATATATTTGCAGCTTATCGAACTGAAGATGGAAAACCATGGGTTTTACCAGTTGTGCGAAAGACAGAAATAAGAATTGCATCTGATGAAAGTTTAAATCATGAATATTTACCGGTAACGGGGAATGAATTATTTACTAAAGCTGCAACTACATTACTATTAGGAGTTAATTCACCAGCTATTGCAGAAGGACGAGTTAATATATATTTTTATAATAAAAAAACACAATTTATATAAAATTGTCTTATAATTTTAGGCATTTGGTGTGCAAACATTGTCGGGAACTGGTGCCTTACGTTTGGGAGCCGAATTTTTAACAAAAAAATTAGGCTATACAGTATGTTATTATTCTGAACCAACATGGGAAAACCATCACAAAGTGTTCATGGCTGCTGGATTTAAGGAAGCAAAAATTTATCGTTATTGGGATCCTAAAACTCGTGGTTTAGATTTTAATGGTTTAATTGAAGATTTAGAAAATGCACCTGAAGGAGCTGCTATAATATTGCATGCATGTGCACATAATCCCACCGGTTGTGATCCATCACAAGAACAATGGAAAAAAATTGCTGAACTAATGAAAAGAAAAAAACTATTTCCATTTTTTGATGCTGCGTATCAAGGATTTGCAAGTGGTCAACCAGACAAAGATGCTTGGGCAGTACAATATTTCGTTGAACAAGGTTTTGAATTATTTACAGCTCAATCATATGCTAAAAATTTTGGATTATATTGTAAGTATAATTTTGATAATGTATGATGATTTTATAACTTAAGCCGGGAATTTGAATAATTTCTTAAAAATTTTTTTGATATTATTTTAAGGTGAACGTGTTGGTAATTTAACTGTTGTACAAAAGGATAAAGAAACTACGGCCGCTGTGCAATCTCAGTTTACTTTAATTGTACGTGCTATGTATTCAAATCCTCCTGCTTTTGGTAGTCGGATTGTTGGTACAATTTTAAATGATCCTCAACTAAGAAATGAATGGATGGATTGTATAAAATTAATGTCATCAAGAATAATTGAAATGCGAGAGTTACTTTATAAACATCTTGTTGAACTTAAAACACCTGGTACCTGGAATCATATTAAAGAACAAATTGGAATGTTCTCTTACACTGGTTTAACAGGTATTTTATATACATATTCTCATTTAAGCAAGTATTCATTAAAAATTATTTTCTAAATTTTAGAAAAACAAGTAAAATATTTAATAGAAAAACATCATATATATCTTTTATCTACTGGTCGCATAAATATGTGTGGTCTTAATCCAAATAATGTGGAGCGGTTTGCTAAAGCTATTCATGAGGCAGTATTAACGGTTCAATAAAATAATACAAAAACAAAGTACCAATTTTATAAGACAACGCTTGTTAAAAATTTAAAACTATCTGAAAACAAAACTCTTTGGTTTCGTTTTTTGAAAGTATTGTAAAAAAATAAAAAAAAACATATATATATATATAGAACCCTTCCTAATATTAAATTTACAAAATAAATTTTATAACACAAATATATAATTCAAAATAACTCTGTAAAATTTTTATATTTACAAAAATTTTATATTAACATATATACAAAACACAAAAATAAAGCAGAAAATTTATATTATATTTATACTTCATCATTTATAAAGTGAAAACATTAAACAATTACATATACTGTATTTCATAAAATAAATTTCGAAATTTATTATTCTTACAAGAAAAAAGTAATAATTTTTACTATACTGATATTTTAATAATTTGAGTTATTTTTTTGTCTGTTAAAAAATATTCTACAAAATATTTTCGATTTATTGAAATAATTTTGTTTTATAGATTTATAAACCTGAGAAATAACCATAAATTGTTGAATATTTTTATATTATCTACTAGGTAATGAGCGAATAGAATTATACTTTGTTTCAATAAAGTAAGAAAAGTTGATAATCATAATTTTAGCATTTCATAATATAAATGTACCTCAACCAACAAAAATTGCAGAAAATATAAATACTAAAAATGATAATTAAATCCTAATTATGTTATATGAATATGTAAAAAAATGTACCAAAAGCTTGAAAATTTAAATGAAAAAAACAAAAATATGGAAGGCATTTATGAAGCAATAATAAAGATATTAGAGAATAAACAATAATTGTTTTTTTTTTCTATTTTTGCCAGTATGACCTATATTTGATATGCTGTTTATTAAAATACAATTAGATAGTATTTGATTTGAAGTTTATGAATAAAAATTCTTTTGTTGTGGAAGAAAAATTAACAATACATTTTCACAATACACATCTAAGAGCTATCCATTAAACTAAGATTCGGCATCGAAATAAAATTAAAAAGAAAAAACCAAATGAAAATTTCATTTTAGCACACAAATTAGTGCTTATTTTACATTAAATATAAAAATATAATAAATTTTGTATAATAGTTCAACTTAAAACTATTTTCATCATAAGATTCAGCTTCTATTATTAATTTGTATAATATTTCATGTTTTAATTCTTGTTTTGCATATAAATAGGCGATTCCTCTTTCCATACCAAATGTTTCTAATATAAATAATTTTCCGTCAGCTTTATTTTCATCAATAGAAAATTTTGTATATGGTAAGGCTCTTCTATTAATTCCATAATTCACAATTTTTAAAAAGGGTTCATTTTTTGGGATTTCTTTCATTGATAAAAGAGTATGACTTATAATTTCGGCAATTTTTACATTATTACGGCAACTTTCGGATTCATTACACATTAAAACACATTGACTGTAACAAAAATTTAATATGAACAAATATTTTAATTCAAAAATTTGAATTATAATAATTACCCAATAATATTTGTTCTTTTATATTGCGGAGGACATAGTGTTTCAATGCATTTATATGATCCAAATGTATTTAAACATGAATAATTTTCATAACAATCACTTTCGAAAACATCGCATTCATTAACATCTGAGAAGTATAAGTTACAATTTTAAATATCTATACATACATACATAATTAAAAAAAAAATTACCGACCTTCACATTGGCCATTATTTTCAATAAAACCATCCGGGCATTTTCCATTGATTACTCTAGGGGGCGAAAACAAATTATAAGAATGTTTTGATGTTAAATTAGCGTAATCAGCCATAAATTCATTTCTGTCATCTTCAAAAGACTGCGATGTAAATTTACACGTTTTATTATCTGATTGTAGCTCGAATTCTTTCGGACATGTACATAAATAACTACCAAGTGTATTTACACAAATATGAGAACATTCATTAGAAAAATCATTTAAGCATTCATTCACATCTATAATTAAAAATATAAAGTGTATGAATGTATATAAAACAAAATTACTGTATAACATTCTTTACCTTCACAATTTTTAGTAGTATCATTTTTGTTAAAACCAGTTCGACACGCGCATTCAAATCCACCTTCAAGATTAACACATATTTCACTTTCTTTACAAACATTTTCAAATTTACATTCGTCAATATCTAAATTTATATGGAATACATATGTATATATGATTTTAATTTATAAAACAAAACTTATTAGCAAACCTGTGCACTGATTGTAACTGCTAAGCTCTTGACCAAATGGGCAAGGGTTAATTTTTTTTCTATTTGCAAAATAAATAAAAAATTGCTATAATATAAGTTTGTGCTCTTTTTTAAGTGCAAAGCTTAATTTCAATTGACTTCTATTTATTAATTTTTTTAAGTTGATCTTATCTAATTAATGTGATTGCCAAAAATCAACAAGATTGGCAATCTTAATTAAGAATGCAATTTTAATTAAGCTTTCAGTAATTTTTAAATATTTACATGACAAATGGTGCTCTTCCAGGATATAAACTCAACTAAAATGAAAAATAGGATTTTAGTACAACGAACTAATAAATAAATTTATTGTTCACATACTTCCTCTATATCTTTGTCGATTGGTTTAAAAGTTTTGACTTGAACAACAACTTTAATAGTACCACTGGTTGGAGAAGTATTATTTTGATTTTCTTCATGGTCCTGATTTGACGTACTATGTTCATAATGTGGCGAAATAATTTTTTCATTTCCTAAAATTTTTTAATTAAATATTTAAGTTTTGAGATAAGACTAGTCAATAAAACATTAATATTTTTTAACCTGTAGCAAATGCATATTCATCAGAGTAATATTCTTCGCTTGGTTCGCTTTCATATTCGTCGTGAATAAAAGGAGATTCATAAATATTATTAGGACTAAAATTTCTTCTTTTTTGTAAAGGCAAACTTTTCAATATGCCAAAGTTAAAGCTGTAGCATTGACGTTTTTTACATTTTGCTATTTCCATATTAGGTCCAACGCACATTTTACCACCAAATTCAGGAACTGGACTATTACATTCTCGATATCTCTTTCTAAAGGAGTTTTCGCATGATTGACTACAATCTGTCCATGGACTCCATTTGGACCAACCACCATTTACTAAAATAATAATAGTATTGTATAAATACTAGTCAATTGAATTAAAATTTTAATTTTACTTGGGCATGGAATTGAAATGCATGTTTGAACCATTTTATCGAGACCCTTGCAAAATTTACCACCATTTGCTGGTTTAGGACTGTTGCAAGTACGATAACGTTCTTTAGTACCAACACCACAGGTTACTGAGCATGAAGTCCATGATGACCAAACTGACCTTTAAATAAAAATTTTATTAAAAAGACGAAAAGATAACGTTATAATAAAATTGCACTAGCAATGTTAATAGAGTTTGTTGTTTGAAAACAATTATGATAGGAAAAATTAAACCACTTTAAAATTCAGAAATTAAGAAATAAGCAAATAGAATACAGCAGGTATTTTGTATAGGAATCACAAACAAAATTAATAAATTAAGACATTAAGTTGGAATAACAAATATGTTGGAAATACCAGGGATCCATCAAAATTATAATGTTAGCAATAAATTTCGCACATGCAGAAGAATTTTCAAAAAAAAATTCATACCATCCTCCATCTACTGGGCATGGATTCAAAATGCATTCCTTTTCTTCTATATCATTTCCAAAACATGCCCTACCGCCATACCTTGGTGCCGGATTAATACAGAATCGAAATCGTTTTCTAGTTATTATGCCATCAGCTTCATTCCAACATTCTGTTGGACAATCTTCCCATGGTGACCAATCGCTCCAACCGCCATCTATCTGAAGCGAAAATATTTTATTTTGTTTTTTAAGTACAAAATTTGTAATTAATATTTACAGGACATGGTGGCATATCACACGATATGTACTCGAAATCATTTCCCTTGCATGCATTTAAATCTAAAGCTTTTTCGCCATTAAATCGTATACAATTTCGTTTACGATGTCTAATGCCTTTGCCACAGGTTGTATTACATTTCGTCCATGAGCTCCAAGGTGACCATATTGCAGACTCTGAAATTTAATTTGCATACTTGTATTTGTGTATTTTATATATATGCATGTACTTATTTGTAACATGATTATTTACACTTTTTGATTCTAACAATGTTAATTTAAACCCCAGTGACATGAGATTCCCGTATAATACTACGTTAACATTACTCAAAGAGTTACGAAAGCATAAATGAATTTGAAGTTTACTTACCTTTTACGTTCACATTAACGTATCTCACTTTTTCTCCTAATTCATTTCTTGCGAAGCACGCATATCGTCCGCTATGCCACATTTGAGTTGTAGGAATTTTCAAAATTTCTTTACTATCATCCAAATAAATTGTCTTTTCTTCTGCAAAATTTATTACGCTGCCATCCTAGATTTATTTAAAATTACAAAAAAATATTTATATATTTAAATATAAACATATATATGTATATGCATGTATTATGTTTTTAAAATTTTCGAAAATGGTTCTTTTATATTTGTTTGATTTACTTTGTACCAAAATATTTCTGGTTTTGGATTGCCATCAACTGCACAGTGTATTTTAAGTGGATCAAATTCAGTTACATTATATTCATTTGGTTCATTTGATACAATTCGAGGATACTTTAATATTTCCACAGTAAATTTTTTTTCAATAAAACCAAGTGAGTTATTTGCATAACAACTATAGATGGCAGATTCCTGTATATCATTTATCGCCTATAGGTAAATAATAGAGTTTTGAAGTTAGTTTTTCGATCAGTTTTATATACTTAATATAAATAAAATTTAATAGAAATTTTTCATACCAACTCGACTGCGCTTTCTGGTAAATTACTATAATATTTATTTAATTCATTAAATGAAATATTAATATTATCATTGTCTTTAAGCCAAAATATTTTTGGCTTTGGATTACCAACAACTGGGCATCTTAATACAGTATTTTGACCTTTAATTAATTTTAATTTATTTGGTTTCATATCTTCTGTGTCCTCTACAGAGCTTTCAGTTAATAGTTCTGGTGCACCTACACAATATATTTAATTGTTGTATGTGAATGAATTCTAATTTCATTTTAAATATAATACATATTCAAATTTTTAATTAATTATTTAAATAATTACTAAGAATTGTTATGTTGAAGAATTTTTTGTTTTCGCCAAGAACATTTTTTGCAATACAGATCCAAGTTCCAGAATCGGATTCTTGAGCACTAAATATTGTTAAACTTTTATTGTCGTGTGACAAAGATAAATCATTAAGATCATCAAAAGTTATAGAGAAGTTTTTCTAAAAATAAAAAAAATTGTATTTAGTTTTTAACAAATCATATTGTTGTTTAATTACAATATACTTTTAGCCAATGAATTTCTGGACTTGGGTTACCATTCCAAGGACATGCTAATACAATTGGAAGTCCTTTCAAAATTGTATGTGATTCTATGTTATTAGTATTTTGTTTATTTGAGGTTAATGCCGGTTCACCTGAGAGGAATATATTGTAAGTTAACTTTTTAAATTCGATTTACCTGTGCAATAAACAGGTACTTAAAATTTATTTTTGGCTTACTATATATTTCAACTTTTATATCGTATTTATCTGTGCCGATTGCGTTTATAGCAAAACATGTATAAACACCACTCTTTTTCTGTTTCTTATCATTTATAAATAAAGTTAAATTTGTTTCGTATTTATTACGAACTACTTTACCATAAAGACCTTTATTTTCATTTACCCATAACTGAGAACCGAATATTTCATTAGAATCATAACGTGTAAATGTATTACTAAATTTATCAATAAAAATAGGATCAGCTCTTTCGTCTATTGTTCCATTTATTCTTTCATTATTTGTATTTGTATCTATAATCTTGGATGTTGTCAATAAGATTTTGTTATTAAAAGTCCATGTTAAAATTGGCATAGGGTTTCCTTTGGTCGAACATTCCAATTCAATTGTATCGTTGCTGGTGAATATATATTCATTTTTGAAAGGATATTTTGTAAACTTTGGTGAAGCTAAAAACAGGAGTCGCTTTAATATTGTACATTACTGAAACATATATATATATATATATTTATACTCATTATGTCAACTGTAAATTCAACCTCATGTCGTCCAAGCTCATTTTGTGCTATACATTTGTAAATTCCACTATCCTTAAAGTCCGATGAATATATTATTAACGTCTCCTGTAATTCGCTTTTCAATTTTGAGCTATTTTAAAAATAATTTTTCTTAATTAATTTTAATGCTACTCTTTTAACTTCCATCACAATTGTTACCCATCTTTTTCCCAAGTAAAATTTGGCCATGGATTACCATAGATTTCGCACTGCAAAATTAATTCTTCTCCCTCGTTGATTTGTATCCAATTCTTTTTTGGTTGCTCACTCGATGGAGGGACTGCAAAATTTTGAAATTGTCTTTAAATGTTAAGTTTTGCTTAATTTATTAAATAAAAATTATTAAATTTGCTTTTAAATACAAAAAAAAAATTATACTGAAAAACCTAATACTCGAACATTGAAAATCAATTGATCGGCCCCATATTCATTTTCAGCTTCACAAATGTACTCGCCAGAATGTGCAACATTGATATCAAGTAATTTCAATTCTGTATCATTAGACAAAAAAACTTTCTCCTTACGCCATTTTATCTAGTAAAATTTATTGATTTTATTATTAAAATAACTAAGAATTATAAAGAAATAATATTTACCTTCGGTTCTGGGTAACCTTTAGATGAACATTTTAAAATTTTATTATCTCCTTTTTTAACTACAACTTCTGTATTATCTGTATCAACGATACTTTCATCATTTGTTGACATTGTTTGAATTATTGGTGGGGAATTTACAAATAATATTTGTGTAAAATTTTGTGTTCCCACTTCATTAATACCGGAGCAAATATAGTTTCCAAAATCTTTATGCGAAACATTTTTTAAATGTAAAAATTGTCCATTCCCATACAAATCAGTTATAATTTTATCATCTTTAAACCATAAGAATGTGTCAGCATATTCAATGGGACAATATAATTCAATATCTTGCCCATAATTTATTGTAATATTTGGAATTCCATCTCCAATTTCACGTCGAATAATTCTTGGTTCAACTAAAAATTAGAGGGCAATTTATTCTAAATCAATTAAAGCCATTTATAAAAATTACATAAAAAATAAAATAATTACCAAGAGCAATAATTTCTGTTGTTCTTATGTCAGTACCAACATAATTACTCGCAATACAAGAATAATTGCCAGATATTGATTTATTCGTATTGGTAATACTTAAGACTGCATTTAATTCTGATATAATTGAATTTGATTTTTCCCAATTAATTTCAGGTGTTGGTTGACCTTCTACATCACAATTTAATTCGAAAATTTCGTTCGGTTGTATTTTATACAATGGTTGAAAACTCGAAATTATCTTTGGAGGATCTGAAATTTATTATTAGAATATATTGTAATATACTAGTACTAATAATAAGTACATAATTTTAATAAAAAATTTTTACTAACAATTAACATTAAGGAAAAAAGATTTCCTTGCAAGACCATGTTGATTCTCAACTTCACACAAATATATTCCCTCCATAGATCGCGTTACATTGCGTAAAAATAATTCATTATTAATATAACTTTGTTCCTCAGAATTTACAATTTCAATAAAATCAGATTCTAATGGAGCGTTATTAAATTTCCATTTAATATCTGGCTAAAAATAATTAAATTTTAAAATAAATATTTTTTTTTGTAATATAATTTAAATATTTGTGTATGTATTTTAAAATTGAAATAAAATTTTACCATAGGATATCCCGTAAAATTACATGATAAATACACATTACTTCCAATTTTTGTTGTTATTATTTCTTTAATAGGAGGTAAAATTTTTGGTGCAGCTACAATAAATTTTAAAAAAGTAAATTTGTTGCGAAGAAAAATTAAAAAAGTAGGAGATTACCAAATACAATCAATATAATTTTTTTCTTAATTGATCCAACTTTATTATTTGCTTCACATTCGTATAGTCCACTGTCTTCAAGTTTTGCAGTAAATCTGAAAAGAATACATTAGTATATTGATTAATTATTTTTAGCATAAAAAAATTAATAAATCTAAGCTTCGAATCAGCAAAATGTTAATATTGAATTTTATTAGTTCACGAAAACAATATAATTATTAGTATCAATTAACAATTGATACAATTAAAATATACTTAAAATAAAATCACCTTAAAATAAAATCATTCATTTTCTTATATTGATCTTTAATATTTAGAAGCTGATCATTAAATTTCCATAATACATTAGGGACGGGATTACCGTGAACGTTACATTCTAAAGTAACCTCTTTATTGTTTTCAACTAAAACAACTGTTTCTTCTGTTGATTTTAATTTTGGAGGAACTAAAAATAATTAAAATATAAAGAAAATATATAAAATAAAATTGTTATTAATAATTAAAAATTAATTATTATGAAATTTTTAAGCAAATCACTTGTCTCATATCTCAAAATCTTCTTTACCTAAAACATCAATAGCAAACGTTCTTGAGTCAAACCCTTTCGAATTGTTAATATTACAGCTATATTCACCGGAATGTGTACTATTTATACCAATAATTTTTAAAAGTTCACCTTCATTATCTCGAGTTCCGTTATGAATAATCTCATTTTTATTTAAATATTGATTGTATTTATACCACTTAACGTCTGGTCTCGGATTACCTTCAAATTCGCATTCAAATATATATGTTTCAGATTCTAATGCTTCAAATGTTTTTAAATTAGCTTTAGTTGAGTTTGATATGATATCATTTATTTTTGGTAGTTCTATATACAAATATTTAAAATAATTAAAAAATTTTACTTTTATTCATAATTAGTTTGATTGTTACATATACCCAAAATGTTAATATAAATTGTCCAATTATCAGTGCCATATTCATTATCTAATTTGCAAGTATACAGTCCATCATCGTATCTTTTTACATGATTAATGGTAATGTTTGAACTGAAAATCTTTTTATATTGTTGTTCGGATGTATATGAATCAATTGATTGAGTAGATAATAGAGTTTCTGGTTCATAGTTTTTTGCTGAAATTACTCTGGACCAAACGTTGTATAATATTGGATCACATTGATCACATTTACAAGATAAGTTTAAAGTTTCGTCGATATCCAATTCAATTTCTTGAAAATTTTTTTCAATTTTTGGTGGACCTTAATTAAACAGATACAAGAAATTTTTAAAGTTAAATTTTTTTTTTGAGTTGTAAATTTTTCATGCATATTTCATTTCTTATGAGGAATTTATTTGGGTTTATTAAAAAGAGGATTTGAATTAAAAAGTAAAGTGCTCTTCATATGAAATAGTGTAAATACTATAAATACATACTCAGATTCATTCATTTTACCTGAAGCTTTTCCTTTAACTTTAAATATTTTCTTTTGCGATGGTCCAATATTATTGAAAGCTTCACATTTATAAACACCTTCATTACTTGGATCAAATTTTAAAATTTTTCCATTTTCGAAATTTTTAACTTGATTTTCTTGTTTTTTCCATATGATATTCGGTCTTGGATTACCAATAGATTCACAATCAAATTCATAATTTGCTCCGTAATTTATAAAAATTTCTAAAAAACACCAAAAATTTAACACACATGCTCGAATATAAAATTAGCAAAATAATTTAATATAAATCAAGTAAAACCTTCTTCAAATGGCCTTAAAATTTCTGGTCCATATTTAATTTCAATAAATGCAGAATCGTTAGCTTTTTCTCTATTATTAAATGCTGCACATGTATAATTTCCTGACATGGCACGATCAACATATTTAAAAAGTAAATTCCCACCATCTATCTAAATATAAAACATTTCTACAGATATGAAAATTGAGCAATTAAATATAATGTTTTTTTGTATTTACTTCGATTTTATCATTGGGAATAATCAGTTCATTATTGAAATACCATTCAAAATTTAAATTTTGATTAGGGTTTCCAATACAACTAAGTTGGAAGTTAATATCACCTTCATTTAATCCGTGCAAATGTTCTTGCGTCATATATACGTTAAGTGGCACTTCTTGTTTTTTAACTGTGTATATTGAAGTATTATATTATTATTAGGTTTTGTTCCCTTATCTTAAGTATATCTACTTATGTATGTAATAAGTTAGTAAAGTATAGTAACAATATATTGTGTATAACAGCATTATTTAAGAGATTAAAAATAAATTGGAAATGTACATATTTTCATTTGTTTTAACAAGATTTAAAAAATGGTAAGTTAATACATAATTATCCATAAAGTACTATATAAAACATTAATCATATATCAAAAAAATTAAAATTTAATATAATTTTTGTATACCAGCAACTTGAATGTGCTTTCTATCGATTCCATTTTCATTTTCAGCAACACAAACGTATGGTCCAGAATCTTGTACTTTAACAGCTTCTAACTTCAAATTGGATGTATAGTAATTATTAAAATTATCCTTAGTTACGGTAGTTGACGGTATTTGTTTATTATTTCTTAACCATATAATTTTGCTAGGAGTATCGGTATGAACCTTACACTCTAACATTATTACATCATTCTCTTGACTCTGAATATAATTATCGGAATTAATAATACGTGGAGCCTCTAAAAAGTACAATAAACCGTTTGAAATTAAGCTGTAATAATTATATTTATAAAGCTAAATGGAAGTGATTACCTCCTTTTACAGCTTTGATTGCAGTAGATAATAAATGTCTCAAAGGATTTCCATTTGAATCAAAACCATTTACGTAAATTTTAAACATACTATGAGGTGGTTCAAATTCTTTTGTTCCATATATAATTGATCCAGAAATTGAATCAGGTTCTAAACGATTAAGGGTTAAATTTATATTTTGTGGACTCATAGTACTCAAATCAGATTTTATGAAATTATCATTTGATTCTATTAATTGCAATTCCACCGAAGTTAAATTATGAATAAGATCATTTTCCGATGGTGTAATTTTTAAAATATTTTTTTGCACTAAAATTGAAAATAAAAGGAAGTTAAACATAAATATCAATATAATATGCATATTTAATATTATTAAATAAAAAATTTTACGTTGAACAGGATGAATATTCAAGTATTGTATTGTGGCCTCATTGTTTGACGTTGTAAATCCAAAATTAAATTTTAAATTGCTATTTGCTGTAAATTTAACCGAATGCTCAGAATCTGAACCAGCTTTTACATTCCAATTTCCTGGTTGTGGATTTGGAACATTTAAAATTTTTAATTGATCTAAGTTAAGAACTTGTTTAACTTCTTCGAATTTCTTTGAATCTGGATCTAAAACATTAATTGTTGGATTTTCACCAGCTACACTAACAGTAAATTGCTTTAAATTTGAATCAACTGACACATCAAAATTGTGTTGTCCGGGTTTCTTCGAATGTAAATATTGTAATGGTATAACATCTTTTTGTAAATTTAATCGAACTCCAAGTAATACATCACGTATATCAATTTTTTTTAAATTATATACTTCACCATTACTCAGTGATGCTAATTTTTCATAAACTCTATAGCCTTCAGAATTTTTAGCATTACAATGGCCAGTTAAAAGAAATGTTAACTGTAAATAAAAATGTAAATATAAAGTCGACTGCAGTATGAAATTTTTGAATTTTTAATAATTTCTGTGAATTACAGTTGCTTGATGCTTTTGAATGAGTTCTATTGTATCCTTATCTAATTTAAAATCTTTTGCAGTAGCATCTGTAAATACAAAAATATCAGATTTTGGTAGTGCTGATTCAAGTGCAAGATTAATTGCTCCAATAGATGATTCTGGACAATCACCACCGCCAAATAAATAGAGTTGACGAATTTCTTCAAGAAATTTATTGACATCTCGAGTTACTAATTTTGGCCCAATATCTAAAAAGAATTTAAAACTTAATTTCCACTAAGTGAATGAAATTTAAATGAAATTAATTTGGATTGTATTTTTATTTTTAGGTATTTTAATATTTAAAAAGTTTAGCCCTAATAATGATTTAAGAAGCATGTAAAACAATTTTTTTATTTTTACTTCAACATACCTACTATTCTTCAACACAACAATGTTTTGCCGCGGAATTAAAACAGATAAACTTTTTGTTTTGTTTTGAATCCAGCTCTCATTTTTAATGTTATTTTTTCCAAGAAAAATTTAATTCAATTTTTAATTTAAAATTGATTATGAAAATTCTTCACCGCAATTTTAATAATGTATGTATGTATATTGTTATAATTTGAAAGTCAGGGTCATACACATACAATGTTGTAAAGGGTCGTATCGCATACGTCATTTTACTCTGATACCACCAGCTAATACTGATACTAACAGCTGATCATGTCAGATGTTAAAATAATATAATATCAATAACACACTGAAATTTACTTAATCAAAAAATTTACCGTTAACAACCAACTATTGATATTGATAAAAGAAAGAAAAACAAAAAATAAAATTAACCCATACTCGAATAGAATTGTCCTTAACTAACCCTTAATCAAACAAAAATTGTAGGGTAATCTATTTTTATAAAATGATTCATTTTGTGGTCTCGTTTTTATAATAACACACTTTTTATTTTTGTTGTTTAGAGTAAAATCACAATTATATAAATGAATGAAATCAAGTAAATTTCTAATCATATTTTTTAAAAGCTTTCCAATTTTTGTATAAAATAAAAGCTACAATAGATAACAGTACAAATATAAAATTTAGAACATAATCCTCTTAATCTTGTATTATTATTTAAAATTGTGCAACGCTTATCAGCTGCTCAACATAATGATAGACACGAGAATAAATTTTTTATGGCTTGTTTATATTAAGTGCAAAAATTTTTTTGCTTATCACAAAAAAGTCTGTTAAGAGGAAAGAAATCATAATTATGTAGATTAAAATGATTAATATTTCAGTATTAAATTATTTTCAAGCGGGTACAAGTTTGATTAAAATTTTAAGGCAGCCGTTTTGAAAAAGAAATATTTTAATCAAATTGCATTTTTAAAAATTTTCTTTTAATCAAAAATAAAAGATTAATAACCATTTTGATAATTAATTTTCTATTTAAAAAAAATGAAATTTCTGAATGAAAGTTGTGTTAAGGCAAAGACATCAAAAATACTTATATAATTAATTATAATGTCTTTACTTAAGGTTAATATAAATTTTAATTATTAACTTTAAGAATACTTACAAGGGTCACGAAATGGAACAAAAATATAATTAAAAATTGGATTATTTTCGCTAGCAATGAATTCCTTTGTAATTAATTCAGCTGCTTCAATCATTTGAGCTAAATCATCAAACATTGAACCGGTACCATCAAAAACCATAACTAAACTTTTTTGACCTGTATTTGGTGAAGTTGTAAGATCTTCTTGATATTTCGAATGATCTTCTAATATTTGAGCACCATTTTTTTGAAAACGTACCATTAATTTATCTTTTGTTTTATCAGTATTTGTTAAACTTAACCAAAAATATTCATTAACTTCACGTAAACTTTGAATTCTATCCTCATAAAGGTTATTATCCTCACGATTATTTCGTTTTAATAATACATTATTATTTGTATTATTATTTTTGTTATCATTTAATTTTTTTTTATTTTCCGCTAATTTAACGCTTGTTATGTTATTTTCGTTTTCATTCTTTTCTTCAATGTTATTTTTTAATTCATCAAAATTTAAATCTTTTATTTTATTATTTTCTAAAATTAATTCATTCTTATTTATGGTAACATTTTCTATATTTAAACTGGTATTTTCGTCAGAGTTTTGAATGGATAGCTCTTTAGAAAATTCGTTTAATTCTAAATCACTTATTGATTGACTATTATCTATTTCACTCTCAATATTATCTTTATATAAATTTTTTATTTTATTTAAATCGCCATCTAATAAAGCTTTCCATAGATTATCTTTTTCATCTTCACTAAGTTTTAAATTATTGATTTTTAAATTATTACTTTTATTGAAAAGCATAAATGATATTAATAATAATTTTAAAATTAAAATCATTTTTATGAAACATAAAATATATATTTGCTTATTTATGGTTTATTTTCAAAATAAATTTTTCAAAATTTTTAATGTGCTTCGTGAAACTTTCTTATAAGAACTGATCAAAGAAGGAAGTTCAAATATAACTTATACCGAGATGTAAAGCTTTGCTATTAAATCTGTGATTAAAATTTCTTAAAAAAAAAAAAAAAATTGATAACTTTATTGAGATAAGTTATACCCTTTTGAACTATATGTATTTCAAATGTTATTTTATTTTAATTAATCTAAATAAATTCACACATTCCAGAGACACTATTAATAAAGCATAAATCTATTTATTTAACAGAATAACTTTTCATAAAATTATGAATAAAATATAATATTTTATAATAGAATATGTAAATAGAATTTAATTTTGTTATGTGCAATTAACTAACAATTAGAAGGGTATGAGAAAATTAGGAAAATCGATTTTAGCATTTTTTAGTGTTCCATATTAAATCAATTTTAATTATGATGAAAATTATAAAATTTAATAAATAAAATAGAATTTAAAATTAAACAAAATTATATTAATATTTTAAATAAGAGAATTATTTCTACATTTATGATAAAATTATCTTTGTATTTTTTATTTAAAGAAGGAACGTTTAGATCTTTAAATTTAATTTAATTTAGCGGGTTTTTTAAATGTAAAAAAGTAACTTTCTCAAGACAGGAACTTATTTATATTTCTTTTTTCTTTTATTTTAATTACTTATTATTTTCCGAATAAATCTTAAATTCGAATAAGTTACCAGTTCTCTGACAAGCAATTTTGATAAAAGTATAACGAGTAAAACCCTTTTTCATTTTTAAAGAAATGTTTTTTATCATTTTGATTAATTCTCGTTTTTTAATAATAATATTTATGTTGTTGAGATTAATATTATTCAAAATTTCATCTGCTAATTTAATAAAGAATTAATGCAACAAGGTTCAATAGTGTTCAGTGCTCGACTTCCATTACAATTTTTTTTGTGTATGTTACTTAATATTTGTGGTTTGGATTATAATATTTATGTGATCTATAAATTTTGTTATTTCTAAAAATAATAACAATGATAAAAATGAGTTTATTTTATACTAAATTGAAATAAAATACTTTTATTTATTTTATTATATTTATGTTTATTTGTTTCTGTTTTTTTTGTTTTGTTTTAAGGTAGGTATATACATATTCATTTTTTTAATTAATTTTTTTATTATTTTTTTTTCCTTTTATAAAACCGTTTGATTTTTTTGTTTTTTACAAAAATAATAACTAAAATGTATTCAAAAGAAAAAAAAAATGTGAATCATAAATTAATTATTGTTTTCATATTTAAAGGTATATTTTGAATTTTTAAACAAATAATATTAAATCAACACAAATATTCAACAATATTGTTTTAATATTAAGAAAATAATTTTTTTTAATGTTTTTTATTTCGTGTCGTCATTAATGCGTTTATTTTGTAATAACGAAAATTATAATACAAAATTTTAATTATATATAATGCTTTTGTTTGTTTTTTTTTACCATTTTTTTGATATTTTTAATTAAAAATTTTCTTTTAAATTTTTTTTACATTTGTGATATTTTAATTATTTTATTTCTTTCATTCTATTTTTTTTTGGTTCATTAACATACAGGTATATAAAGTACATATTTATAGTTTAGTTTCACTTTTTTTTTTTTTTTAAATAATTTAAAATTAAAATTAAATTTATTCAATATCTAAAATTAATACGATAAATACAAAAGTAATTAAGTTAAATGATTTTTTATATTGGCAAGTTTTATTTTATTTAATAATTAGGTTTAATAATATTTGGAAATATAGTAAAAACTTATTTGTTTTATTTTCATTTTTAAAATATTTTCTTTTTCATTAAAAATTTATTGATTATATTCTAATTTAAGAAATTTTAATATGTTATATTATACAATTTCAAATATTTGAAATTTTTACTTAATCAAAATTATAGAAAAAATTATAGAAATTAATTATATAATTGTTAAGAAATTTTATTAAATTCATTTTCTGAATATTTTAAAATATAAGTAAATTTACAATTATATAAGGATAATGAAAAATATGGCAGCTAAATCAATTTGAAATTAATAATTCTCTAATCTGTTTAAAATTTTTAAGTTTAAAAGTCCTTCAGTCTGATTTACTTGTAAGAAAATTGTTTAAATTTTTCTTTTTAAGTGTAAGGAATTATAAAAATCTGGAAAAAGGCACTAACGTGAATTTCTAATTGATTTTTAAAATTATAAATTAAAATCAAAAAAGGTTAAAGCACAATTTTAAAATAGAAAATAGAAATTTATTGATTTCTTTAAATGTTTGAAACTATTTTTCGATTTTAAATTTGTAAACTCTCATTATCATCCTTAATATTCTTCCTAATTTTACAAGTTCCAAGTTTTATAGTTGTAAGAAATTTAATACATTAATTTATTTAATTCTTAAAAAGAAAATTACAATATATGTTTTTTTATTATTCTATTAATGGAAGGAATAATTAAATTATATTTTTCTCTAAGTAAATAATAAAAATTAATTCCATGATTTCTTGTTCGTCATGATCCTTTATTCATTAGGATTATTCAGATATTTTTTATTAAATAAAACCTAATACTTTGGTTATTGCCAATATTTTGTTTAAAGAAAAACAAAAAAAAAAAAAAAACATAAGAAAATTAAATATTTGGGCTAATTACATTTAAAATAATATTGTCTAAATAAAACCGTGGATTGATCAACGGTAAAACTTAATTACAAAAAAAATTTATATTAAAATATAATAAAAAAAAAAGAAATTCCATAAAAATTGAACAAAAATTTAAATTTAAACAAAACATTTTCTTTTTGTGTGTATGTATGTGTTATTTTTATACTGTTAAATAATTTTCAATTTGAAATTTATCATTTTCATTAATCCTTGTTTTCTGTTTTTTTCTTTTTTTTTTACAATTTTTTATTCTTTATTTTTAAGTATCGTTATTTATGTGTTTTGTAATACATTTTTTTTTTAAATAAAAACATGTTTTGTATCATCGACTAAAATCTTATTAAATATATAAATGAAGCATAGTATAACAAATATTTTTATATACAGTAATATCTTATGTTATTTTAAATCAACATCATCATCATTATCATCGTCTGTTGTTGTTGAACTACTTGTATTTTGATGTTGTTGTTGTTGTTGTTGTTTTGTTTTTGCAGCTATTTTTGCGACTAGATCATCATATGATTTACTATTATGTAAAAAACAAACTAATACAACTGTCATATTATCACCACCTAAACCACCCATTTGACAATCAGGTGCTAAACAATGTGTCATTAAATCTTCACATATTTCTTCTGGATACAAGCCCATTGCAATACGTTCACGACAAAATTCAATAACTTCTTCATTAGTCATAACATCCCAAATACCATCGCATGCTAATACAAGAAATTCATAATCTTCATTTATTTCACGTATTTCAATATCAGGAAATGCTAAAATAATATAAAAAAACAAAATTCTAGATCAGTACCATAAAATGCTCAGGGTTTCGTAACTACATATATTTATTAAAAAAAATTATTTACCAGTTACTATTTGATCTTGCGGTGGTTTTGCATTATTTCTTTTGAAAACAAAATCTCCTAATGCACGTGATAAAGCTAAATTTCCGTTGACTCGATTGAATTCAACATAGCCGCCACCATCATTAATACGTTTTGATTCAGCTTCATTATTTGGTTTATGATCTACAGATAAGGCTTGGGCCTATTAAATTAAAAATTCATTTAATATACATAATAAATATTAAAATTTATAATCAATATTTACCTCTCCATTTACGCAAGCTACTGCTCTAGAATCACCGGCATTTGCACAAAATAATTTATTATTTTTAATTAAAACTGTTACAGCTGTTGAACCAGCCATTTGTTCACCCCAAGCTTCATCATATAGCATAACATCGTCAATTTCTAAGAATGCCTGAAATTATAAAAAAAAAAAATATTTTTATGTTCATATAAAGATTGAATATTTAAAGTAATACTAATTATATATGTAAAAAAATTTGGGTAAAAATGGATAATGCTAATTGTCATTTAATATCTAATCAATTAATGCTATTTGATTTAAGATGTCCATATACATATATACGAATATAATAAAATTACATATGTGCATATTAGTTAATTGAAATTAGCGCAAGTCAATATGAACCTTAAGGTGCTTAATATGCGAAAAAATTACATCTCATAATTGAAATTAAAAATTTGAAACGATTTTATATTTAGTTCAGATTTATAGACCAAAGTTTTAAATTAACAAAAAATAATATCAACACATACACGTTTTGTTGTCTTAATTAATTTTAATGCAGTCGGATTTAATTGCATGATTTACGTTTGCTTATATGAAAGGTGTTTACTTGTGTAAAGGTAGAAAAATGTATAAAATCAAATTTGTTTTACTATAATAAAGTATAGTTTTGATTTTATACGAGTTTCTTATTTAATATGGTCCGACTGTAGTTCTTAAAATTTAATCTTATTTATTTTATATTTGTTTTATATTCAAATGTTTATTTTATACTTTAATCGTAATTCTAAATTTTAATTTCAATCAATATACAAAATAAAACATTATTATACCCTTTGCATTGCTAATCCGATATCATGTTGATATTCTGGTCTTTTAACTACATATTTATGCAAATTTTTTCCAGCATATTCAGCTACTCTGGCACCTCCATGACCGTCATATACAGCAAAAAATGCAGCATCTGGATCATCTGGCAATGATAATATATGTGTATGTGAATCTTCCATATTTACACGCCATCCTTGCATACAACTAGACCCAACACGAAATTTCTCATTTTGACAATATGCTGATTCTTTAGTTGTAACTGGTTCTGATAATGTTTGACCCATTTTTTTTTTTTAAATTTCCTTTTCTTGCTTTTTTAAAAAAATTATTTTACGAAACTGGAAAAATACAAGACAAAAAAAAAAAAATTAATTGAAAAATTCAAATTTATTATAAGGAAAATAGAAAAATAAAATTTGTAAACAAAAAATTATTTTTTTTTTGTACGTCACAATAAAAATATTTGATGATTTAATTGAAATATTTTGTATTTAAACAAGATTTTTTTTTATTTAAATAAACAAAAAAAAAATAGTTGAAATTTTTAAATGCAATTTTTTGTTATACGTCATTTTTCATAGGTCATTTTACAAATATTTAATTAAATTTATTTAGAAACAGATAATTTTGATAATCATGCAAATATTTTTTAATATAGAATAAAAATTCGAACATTTACAAAATAAAAACTTTGATATTGGTATGTAATAACTAGATTGATTGTCTAGGTAAAACTCGTATACGGCAAGCTTAATGGATCACGAAATTTTTCTTTTCAAAACTAATGCTTTGTACAAAATCGTCTTCTAACAAATGAGGCGCATTAGTGGCCTAATTGCAAATATGACATTTCGAGTAAATTTCGGTTTACGTATTTCAATATTTAATTTTTAAGCAAAAACGAGCTTAGGTCAAAAAAGAGTAAAAAGAGGAGTCAAATAAGCATTTTGAAAATATAGAACATAACTCTTTCAGCCATTACAGCTCTATTGAACATAATAACTCATTTTCGCATAAATGTTTGATAGGCAACTAATGCGCTGACCGCCTCAAATGTAGGCTTTTGTTTTCCAAAACAATTATTGAACTTTTGTCTTTCCACAATAATGAACAAACTAATTAAAAAAAAATTAACAAAATAAAAGTAATTCTAAAGTTCTACTGCAATTTATTTTAATATTTTTTTTAAGGAATAAGTTCGTATTCATGACGAAAACTGTACGTGTTACACTTTCATTTTGAGGCCAATTTAAGTCTGCTATGTACGTTACATATAAGAAATAAGACGTACATATCTTAGATACCAATATTTTTTGAATTATAATTACAAACGTTCATACGCCTACATATGTATGTGTTTTGCATTAAATCTAAAATTTGTTATTATAATGTTATACTGACATAAAAGTTTGATTAAAAATTGCAATTTTTATAAATTAACTTTTTACGAAGGTCATATTGTGCGTACAAATAAAATCAAATTATTTTCATGATATCAAACAATTATGTATTAAAAACAGTAGAAATTTGAATAGGCTTTTAATACCAATTTATTAAGCACAAAATAACACCAAATGTAGTTATATAATTAACTACTTATTATATTTTTGTTACATTTACATAATAAGCAGCGCCATTACGTCTTATACTCTTCATGAATAATAGCATTTTATCATAGTAAAATGTAAATTTGACCCTTAACATTTGAACAAAAAAAAAAGTAATCCCATTTATGTATTGTTAAAATTTGCCTACAAAATTTATTTTTACCACAAAAAAATATGTAATTTGTGGATAATTTTGAAAATTTTTTAACCCATATAACAAACTTTTCTTAAAATTTGAATTTTTAGTATTATTCTTTAGGCTATTTTATAAAATAAACTGTATAAGTATATAAAGTTTATTTTAAATTTACTGAAATACTTGTATATAGTATTGGAAGTAGCAATACTTGTATTACAATTTAAAACACACTTATAGTTTGTAGTACACTACATTGACCATTTTTAATATTATTTTTGACATTATTGTGAATATGACAAATTGATTTCATATTATCGTAAATCATTGTTATTATTTATAATTTTTTACAATTCTAATCCCTTTCCGCTCTTTTATAACTCAGCCGTATATGTATATGTTATTGTAGTTCTCTTCACACCTACCACAGCTCAATTTTAAATATTTGTACGAGTACCTTCTGGCGCCAGGCGTTTACACAAAATTTGTTTTCAATTTCGTGACTGAGTGAAACTGAACTGAATGAGACTTATTCATATTTTCGCAGATAATATTTTACTTCACAGTAACCAAGATATTATGAAGAGTTTGTCAATATTATATTCATTATACCTATTTGTTATACTTTTTAAAGAAAAAAAAGAACTATATATGTATACATATATAGCGTGTCGAGGATAATTCAACTAGTCAATTTGTCTTAATTTCTAAAAATAATATACTTAGTTAAAATTTTTGAATAGAACCCGGAAAAAACGTAAGAAACAGTTTACAATAACCGTATGCGAATCATCAGTGAGGTGCAAAATATGCCAACATTTATACCTATATTATTTTAAAAATACATATCTACTTTTATAATATACTTATATGTACATAGGAAGAAAATTTTTGTCTAAAGGTTAATATCTTTCAGAAAAAACAAAAAAAAAGAAAGGAAAATAAGAAAAGATAACGTAAAATAAAGTTTAAAAATCTATATTTGCAAAATTTGAAAAAAAAACAAAAAAAAAAACAAAAAGATAAATGAACTTTTGGACCTCTCTCTCTATCATCTTTAAAAGTTCAAAAAAAAAAAACGAAATTAAAAGAACAAACCACAAATAACAAATGAAAAATTTCGTCAACAAGAAATAAGAATTGACTAAAAAAATGAATAATTGCTTTTCAAAAAAAAAAGTTTGCTTTTTATTGTTATACAATTTAAACTGGTCTGAAATTTGAAATTCATATTTTATTGTTAATAGATTATTCAAATATATTCTTTATATTATTCGTGCACAAGCATCGTCAACTCATTGATTCTTAAAACAAAATCACATAGTAATTGTCAAAATAAACAAAATCGTAATGAGAACAAATGGATTTTGAAATTATTTTGCTACCTCTATTATATACATAAATAACAATTGTTAATTATACGTATATAAAATTAATTTGAAAAGTTAATAAAAATCAGTTAATCAGAAACGAAAAAGTAAACTGTTTCAGAAACACAAATATGTAAGTGTCAAATACCATGATTTGAAAATTAACAGTAACTGTCTAACACAGAAATAAATGTCAAAAAGCAGAGATTCGAGAGTTCCAACAATATTGACAACATCAAAATGTAACAAAATAAAAAAAAATATTATTTGCTTTTAAAAGTTTTAAGAAAATTTAATTTTTTTTTCAATTTTGCTGCATTCTTCAACAAATTTAGTTTTGTCAATTATACTCGTATATACTGAATTTTCAGTCAGTCGAAATTGGAACAATCATGAATTTGAAGCCTATGCAAGTATTATGTCAAAGTTGATTTACAATTTATTACAGTTTCTGAGTTTGAAGTCTACAAGCGTTTAAAACATGTTTGAAAGGAATTTGTAAAAATGATTTTCGATTTCCCGTTCAGACAATGAAGCGGTAAGTGGACAATAGGGTTATAACCCTGAAAAATAAGTGTCCGAGTTGTCACTTTTTTTCATTAACAAATTGTAAAAATATTAATTTTTTTGTTACTTAACTCCTAAATGTGCATTTAATAGTCTTCTATTAAGTTTCTAGCTATAGGAGTTAATCACAGTTGAAAATTTATGAAATTTAATGATGTTTTATCCGAGCAGCTCGATTTTTATCAAAATGTTAGTTAACCCCTTTATCCATTTACTTCTTCAATTATTAATGAACATATTAATATAATACAGTTTACGAATTTCTTGTTATATTTCATCAAAAGATAAATATCATAATAGATTGGATAAACTATATTGCACCTTATAATGGAATTCTGGTGTGAGAATATTTGATAATTTTTATAAAAATTTCAGTTTCGCCCATTGTTTCGACTTCTAAAGGCAAAATTTAATTTGAATTAAAAATAAATAACCAATATTACGCAATTGACATTGATGTTTTATCTAGAGAAAATCTCTGTGGGTAATGTAAAAAAAAATTTTCATTTTCCCTACATTTTTTTTCTGATTTAGACATTCTGATGATAAAAATTAAGCTAATTATTAACATTTTTCGTTTCAGTGAATGAAAACTTTATTCAAATTTATTTTTTTCCATCTAAAATAACACATAATATACTTAGTTACAAAAATTATGGTACATAAAATATAGATCTTGTATATGTATGTATGCGTGTTAATTAGAAATTATAATGCAGCTACATTATATCACTTTTGTATACATACTAACTTTCTCATAATACATAATTATTATAAGAGAAAATAGATGCTATTCTGTTAAAAGTGTACATTTCATATACATTTTTAGAAAAAAATCAATAAGTAATAATCATGGAATATTACAAAAAAATAAAATAAAATCCATTCGGACATCATTCTTAATTTAGGTCAAATACAAAATTAAATAATATATGTATATACCCATATTCAAATGTACATAGATGTGGTGAATTTTTTGACAGCCGTGAGAAACTATTGTTATAATATTGTGAAAATTCGACAATGAATTGAAAGTGAGAAAAAAAAATTTTTTTTTCAAAAATATAAGAAACTTTACAATCTACACGTATGTATTGCAAAATATTCAAAAAAATTATAATAATAATTAATAATCAAAAGATTTTATTGAGAAATTGTAATTATAATTCGTACGAATTTACAAAAAAAAAGAGAAAAAAAAATATGTAACTCAATAATTTTCAACATTGTGCAGCTTGCGGCACCCTATAGTAGTAATATTTCAAAATATAGCGGCACCTATTTAAGATTTATTTAATTATACAACACGTGAAAACTGCGCTATATTTGTATTCATATACACATAACTTAATTATCACAATATAAGATTGTTATATTATTAGTAGCGCAATTAAATTTTGTTTTGCTTTAACAGAATAGCAAAAAATATATTACATATCTATAAAATTAAATTTTTTGCAGTATTGCATTTATGAAAATTTCCATGTTTATTGCAGATTATTTTGCAATATTGTAATAAATTTTATTGTGCAATATTGAAATAAATTTAGGTTCCTATTCCACTGCATTTTTATTTTTGTTTTAGCTTCTTAAAAAAGTTATCATTTTACATATTATAAGTAATGTTTTAGTCTTAGTGCAACAAAATTTTGCAAATT